CTTTTCTTTTCTTCCCCACACAAACCATAATGCCTCAACCAACAAAAGCCAGACCATTAGACGCACTCCACAATCATCACCTTCATCATGACTTCTTCTCTTCTCCTTCATCATCTTCTTCAAACCCTTATATCCACCATTGTTAACCCTAAAACCTTTCTCAACTTCACCACACTCCATCTCACTGTTTCGTCCCTTTCTTTCTAATAAAGCCATGAACAAGAACACCTCTCCTTCTCTTGTTCATCTCGTTCTCCTTCTTTCTCTTCTTCCTTTCTTCGCTTTATCTTCCTTAGCGCTCAAGGTTTCACCTCAACTCTTGTCTCTCATTTCCCTCACGACATCTCTCTCTGGCTCTCCCTCTGCCTTTCAAGACTGGAAACTCCCTGTTGCAACAACCACTGATGGTCAAAACGACGCCGTTTGGTGTTCTTGGTCCGGTGTCGTCTGTGACAATGCAACGGCTCAAGTGATTTCCCTTGGCCTCTCTCACCGGAACCTCACGGGTCGTCTTCCTCAACAAATTCGCTACTTGTCCAGCTTACTCTACTTGAATCTCAGTGGGAATTCCTTGGATGGTTCCTTTCCGACTTTTCTATTTGATCTCACCAAACTCACTACACTTGACATCAGCCACAATTCCTTCGACTCGAGTTTCCCTCCCGGAATCTCCAAGCTCAAGTTCTTAAAGGTTCTCAATGCGTTCAGCAACAACTTCGAAGGTCTGTTGCCTAGTGACGTGGCTCGTCTTCGTTTCTTGGAAGAGCTTAACCTTGGCGGGAGTTACTTCGAAGGAGAGATTCCTGCCGCTTACGGTGGTTTACAGAGATTGAAGTTTATTCATTTGGCCGGAAATGTTCTCGGAGGTGATTTACCTCCGAGATTGGGGCTCTTACCGGAGCTCCAACACATCGAGATCGGTTATAATTTGTTTACTGGAAACATACCCTCACAGTTTTCTTTACTCACAAATCTCAAGTACTTGGACGTTTCCAATTGCAGCCTCTCTGGCTCTCTGCCACAAGAACTCGGAAATCTCACCAAGCTCGAGACTTTGTTTATTTTCCAAAACGGTTTCACAGGCGAAATTCCACAGAGTTATAGCAACTTGAGAGCTCTAAAGTCTCTAGATTTGTCGAGTAATCAGCTTTCTGGTAGCATCCCATCAGGCTTCTCGAGCTTGAAGAACCTCACATGGCTTAGCTTAATCAGCAATAACCTCTCAGGTCAAGTCCCTGAAGGAATCGGCGAGCTCCCGGAGCTAACCACATTGCTTCTATGGAACAATAACTTCACCGGAGTTTTGCCGCAGAGGCTTGGATCAAACGGAAAGCTCGTGACAATGGATGTCTCTAACAATTCCTTCACAGGCACGATCCCTCCTTCTCTCTGCCATGGAAACAAGCTATACAAGCTCATCCTCTTCTCCAACATGTTCGAAGGTGAGTTGCCAAAGAGCTTAACAAGCTGCGATTCTCTGTGGAGGTTTCGCACTCAGAACAATCGATTAAACGGCACGATTCCGCTCGGATTCGGCTCTCTGCGAAACCTCACTTTCGTCGATTTGAGCAACAACAGATTCACCGACAAAATCCCGGCGGATTTCGCCGCCGCTCCTGTTCTTCAGTACTTGAATCTCTCCAGCAACTCCTTCAACAGCCGATTGCCGGAGAATATATGGAGAGCCCCGAATCTACAGATCTTCTCAGCGAGTTTCAGCGATTTGATCGGCGAAATCCCTAATTACGTTGGATGCAAAAGCTTCTACAGGATCGAGCTGCAAGGAAACTCTCTCAACGGGACGATCCCTTGGGACATAGGACACTGCGAGAAGCTCCTCTGTTTGAATCTCAGTCGAAATCATTTCTCCGGGATCATCCCTTGGGAGATTTCGACGCTTCCGTCGATCGCCGACGTAGATCTTTCTCATAATCTCCTGACGGGAACAATCCCTTCCGATTTCGGAAGCTCCAAGACTATCACGACCTTCAATGTCTCCTACAATCAGCTAATCGGTCCAATCCCAAGCGGCTCCTTCGCGCATCTGAACCCTTCGTTCTTCTCTTCAAACGAAGGTCTCTGCGGAGATGCCGTCGCGAGACCTTGCAACTCCGACACGGCAAGGGAATCGGATCTCGACGCTCATCATAACGAGCAGCGACCGAAGAAAACCGCCGGAGCTATTGTTTGGATAATGGCGGCGGCGATTGGGGTCGGATTCTTCGTCCTCGTCGCTGCCACTCGATGTTTCCAGAAAAGCTACGGAAGCAGCAGAGTCGACGGTGGACGAGGCGGCGGAGAGATAGGACCGTGGAAACTAACCGCTTTCCAGAGGCTGAATTTCACGGCGGATGACGTTGTGGAGTGTCTATCGAAGACGGATAACATCCTCGGAATGGGATCTACCGGAACAGTCTACAAGGCGGAGATGCCTAACGGAGAGATAATCGCCGTGAAAAAGCTCTGGGGGAAAAACAAAGAGAACGGCAAGATCCGACGGCGGAAGAGCGGCGTATTAGCGGAGGTCGATGTCTTGGGGAACGTACGGCACCGGAACATCGTACGTCTCCTCGGTTGCTGCACGAATCGAGAGTGTACGATGCTTTTATACGAATACATGCCTAATGGAAGCCTTGACGATCTCCTTCACGGTGGCGATAAAACGACGAACGCGGCGGCGGAATGGACGGCGTTGTACCAGATCGCGATCGGAGTCGCTCAGGGGATCTGTTACCTTCACCATGACTGTGATCCAGTGATCGTGCATCGCGACCTGAAACCTAGCAATATACTCCTCGACGCCGATTTCGAGGCGCGCGTGGCGGATTTCGGCGTCGCGAAGTTGGTTCAAACCGACGAGTCCATGTCCGTCGTTGCCGGATCGTACGGATACATTGCACCAGGTACCCTCGACTTTTCTCTTTATTACTTAATTTAACCCCAACTTTTAAAATTACATTCTTCTCTTTTTTGTCCGTTTGTTAAAACATTCTTTTTGTTGGATTGACAACCTCTGACTATATTTCTACTTTTTGTTTTTTGGTGTCCTGCACAGAGTATGCATACACACTGCAAGTGGATAAAAAGAGTGATATCTACAGTTACGGAGTGATTTTGCTAGAAATCATCACCGGAAAAAGATCGGTGGAACCGGAATTTGGAGAAGGAAACAGTATTGTGGATTGGGTTAGATCAAAGGTGAAGACGAAGGAAGACGTAGAGCAAGTTCTAGATAAAAGCATGGGTAGGTCGTGTAGTCTCATAAGAGAAGAGATGAAACAAATGTTGAGAATCGCATTGTTATGTACGAGTCGTAATCCAACAGATCGGCCACCGATGAGAGATGTGTTGTTGATTCTTCAAGAGGCAAAGCCGAAGAGGAAGACAGTAGGTGATAATGTGATCGTTCTCGGTAATGTTAGTGATGTTAGTTTTGAAAATGGTGGTGATGTTGTTAAGTGTCAAAAGATCGGGGCGTGATTGTTAATAGATCTTCGTATCTTATGTTCTATGTAATTGTAGAATTTTTTGAAGATTGTTATGGTATATATGAGTGTGTTTTTGCTTCTTTTTTTTTTTTTTGACGGCGTTCTTAATCGTTATATGAGTGAAATGTTTTGATATTGTCTGGGAGGATCAAGCTCCTACGTTGTTCGGGTAGCAGAGTAATTAGAGATATTTTGTTTGAACATTGAAGAGAGTGACATTAGAGAGATTTTTGTTTGAACTCTCAGGTCCTACTAAAATAACATTTGTAGACATTACACAGTTTACACTCCAGGTGCAACAACTTAGGAAACACAGAATGGTGGCAACGTCAAACATCAAGACTCGATAATTTTGGAGAGTAATGTTTGATTGTTTGAAACATGAATTTTTGTCCTTGCGTCTACATTAACGTTTGCATATTGATATCTTATATATGTTTTCCCAAAAAACACAAAAGATTAGTTTTCTTAGATCAAATATCATTTGTAAATTATTAGCATGTGTTTTTGTTTCACATATACTGTAATTTGCAAAATCATATACTTAAAAAAACATATTTAGTTTATTTTCGATGATTTCAAATAGACCATTTGTGTTCCTTAAAATATATTTAAGAAACACAGATGCAAATAAATAATCAGATTATAAGTCAATAGACAATAGAATGACATTGCCGTTTAACGAACCATTCTTACTTATCTTTAATCGTATTCCTATATCTATCAATTGAAATACGAATAATAAGGCAAATGGAAATAGCTTAATTAATATTGGAATAAATAGTGATACGACTAAAGATAAATAAGGATAGTGCGTTAATTACACAAATGTTACCTTTGAATAGAAGATGAGATTTTAACATGTTGACATAAATGTAACGAAAAATTCAAACTACGACTCCATTGTTTCCATTTAACGTATTCTATTCTTATTTATCTTTAGTCGTATTCCTGTTTATTTTTATTACGTTATTTCCTTTTACATCAATATTCCGATAGATATATTTGGAATGAATATCTTTGACTTGGGTTAGTCAAACAAAACATAATTTTCCGGTAAACATAATTTTTTGGTTGCATAAGGAGATATTTTAACTACCTGTTTTCAAAATTAAAACATAATTTATTTAGGATGAATGTTGAGTTTTGTTTTTTTAATAACACAATATGATGTATAGTCTTTTATCAGGTAGATTTCTCTACGTGACATACTGACATTGTATCTCTGCATCAGTAAATCCATATTTGAATTCGGTACTCCGAATTAATATTTCGATTTAAACAGTTTTTCAAAGAAAGACTTCTCAATAAGCGATTTTATGAAAATAGAACATAAGCTCTAACAAAACTTTTATTAATATAGGAGAAATCAACTAAAAAAGGGTAAAACAACATAAAATTAGAAGACAAAAACAATACAAAAACATAGAGAGCATAGTTCATCCAAATCGCTTAATCACCCAAATACCACCGTTCATAGGTTGAAGACGACTAACAAAGCATAGACGAACTTTAATTACTTGGTTTAAGAAACAAATAATGAACCTTCTTGTGACCACCAAGTGCTTGACCAGACTCAAACACTCTGTCACAAATATCACACTTGTAATGTCGTCGAACCACTAGCCCATTTTCCGGTTTCACGGCTTGGTCATTCTTCTCGCAAAGCTTCAATCGTTTGTTTCTGTGGCTCGTTCGATGACCGCCTAATGCCTGATACGAACGTAAAACTTTTCCACATGTATCACACTTATATTTCTTCTTACACTTTTTCTCTGTCTCTACCTTATACGTTTCATCACCATCATCAACATCACCACCATCATCATCATCATCATCATCGTGGTCTTCTGCTATGGTTCCCACATTTGAAGTGAGAAGATTAGCAACATGCTCATATTTTTCTTTTCCTTTTTGAGTTGATACCAAACGTCGATCAATAGCTTTTGGCTTCTGACAATTTTCTGGCCTCTTCCCTTCAGACATCGCTACAAGACATAAAGCACCTTCTTCGTCAGTTAAACAGCTGTCAGACTCTGACGAATCTTCTAAATCCACAACGACCTTTCTCTTGCCAGTTATTTGACGTTGTCCACCTTCTTCTGTCTTAAGATCTGGTTTCGGACAAGCGCCAACTTCAGTGCTAGTGTGGACAGATCTCATCAAAACTGTTTCGAGAGGTCGTCTAAACTTTGCTCCGAGTTTGTTGGATGTTTGTTGTGATGGAATGGTCGAGCCAGTTGCTGATTCTGCGTTTGATGCAGAGAGTTTCTGAGTGTGAGATCTCATGTGACCTCCTAAAGCTCTTCCATTTGGGAATGATATCTTGCATACTTGACAGGTTTTCGTTTCTTTTAGAAGTGAATACATCATTATGATGAAAAAGAAACAAGGGAAAAAGAAAAAACAAGAGATTATTTTTGGGGGTTAAAGATTTTGATTGCTTTTTTCTGCGAGAAGTGTTTCTTTGAATTTGTTGCTATGTGATTTTGTGTCGATGGGAGGTATATATAGCTGCAGAGAGTGAGGATAACTTGAGTACGTACAGAATTCTATTCAAAAGGAGTTAACTACTTAACATAAGTGTTTGGTGCAATATGCTCTTACAATTATTTACTAGCTAATCTTTTTTCTTATATTATTACAGCATAATACAAAATTTATGGCGTTCTTATATACGGTAGAATTTAATTTGACTGATACATATTGACTAAGACACAAGATTTAAAGTTCAACTGGTATGACGACGAAAAAGTCATCATCAAGTCCACACACACACACACAAAAATTAAAAATCATCAGCAAGTATTGAACAATTCACGTAACATTCTCTAATTCACGTTCTTCAAACTCGTACCGATTGGAATACGTTTCGGCTTCTCCACAAGATTCCGGATTGAGAAGATATATGAATAAAAATCAAATAGACATCAAAACATAAAACAGAGTACCACTAATATATAGACGGTATAGTCTTGTCACTTGTGTGTTATATTTTCGACTACAGTTTGTAAAAATGAACATGATCATGCTCAATATGTCTATTGTCCTGACTCCTTACAAGTCCCTTTTGCTCAACCTCTGCCCCCCCCCCTATATATATATATATAATCATCTATATATATATTAAATCATCTATGATGTAATCAAATCTAGATAATGTAATTTACGTAATTTTTTGTGATTTGGATCATACTACCATAATTTTAGTAACAAATTTCTATCAATATATGAGATATCAGTGATGTTTGCACATGGGAAGAAAAGCTAGTGGTTGTGCAATACGAGCACGGTAAATTCCTCAATTAATGAACATCTGAGATTTTCTTGGATCACATGTGAGAAATTTCCATAATAGTAATTTTAACTAATTTATGGTGGCGTAGAAAGATTCCCCATGTGAGTTAAAGGAGTTGGAATTTGGACTTTTGGATTAATTATTATCAAATCATTTAAGTCTTACGTTAAATGTTTTATCCTCTAACACAAATACCAATCAAACAGTCTAGATTTGACTTACAATATGTTGCATGTCAGAAATATCAATGCAGCTATCTGACATTCGTAAATTAAAAATACTAGTCCATTAATGGAGCATATTTCTACCGTTAGTCATAGACTCATAATTGTATTTTTTCATGTTTACACAAAGTTGGAAAAGAAAAAAGAAAATTGTGACAATTCTATCCAAAAAAAATCACGGTCCTCTCCACTATATCTCGGATCTATTTAAAGCGTAGTAGAGATGTGAAAGCAAGGTGAACCATCCAATCCATCATCAAAATATAAAGCAGAGTAGAGACTATCTCATGTCTATCTTTTCATCGACATCAAGAATGATGAGTTTTAGTCCTAAAACTCTTGCTCACGTTCACAAAGTCCCTCTCTGTCGTAAGAAGACCGAGCAATTTCTTTGTCCTCGCCGTTTGCTTCAAAACAAAACTCTTTCTCGAAAACCAACAAAACAAGTTTCGTTTTGTGCAATGGCTACTAGTGGCGATCTTGAGAGTACTCGTCCCTTGGCTCCGTTTACTCCCACTATTCTAGGAGATCACTTCTTCTTGATCCCCGTTGATGGTTCTGTAAGTTATACATAGACACGACACGAACCACATGTGCTTTCAAACATAAGTTTCTTATATCATATATTTTGTAGGAATTCGATGCAATTAAGCATGAGATTGAATCGGATATGAAGCCGCACGTGAGAGACATGCTCATGTTACCTCACACATGTGAGAGGGAGAAGATTCACCTCATTCACTTGCTTATCAGTCTTGCAATCTCCCATTACTTCGAAGAAGAAATCGAAGAGATTCTAAACAAGGCTTTTGGGAAGCTGGAAGGCCTAATTGCCGAGGAAGATAACCTGGAAACAATCTCGACTATGTTTGAAGTTTTCAGATTGTACGGTCACAAAATGTCTTGTGGTATGACCTTATATATATCAGAGCATGGTCACACCAATATACTTGATTCACACGTATATATATTTCGGTTTCGTTATAGATGTGTTCGAAAGATTCAAAGGCAAACATGATGGAGAGTTCAACGAGGATCTAGTTGAAGATGTTAGAGGGATGTTGAAGTTGTACCAAGCGTCGTATCTCAAAAAAAAAGATGAGGATATAATGGAGGAAGCGAGGACTTTCACTAGGAATCACTTGTCAGTGACGAATACTGATCAACCACATCTCTCCAAGCATATACAAAACGCATTGTACATACCTCGATATCATTGCGTAGAAATAGCGGTTGCTAGAGAATATATCTCATTTTACGAACAAGAAGAAGATCACGAGGAGAAGCTGCTCAAGTTTGCGAAACTAAACTTCAGCTATTGCCAGCTGCATTTCGACAAAGAGCTCAAAGCTGTCACTAAGTAAGTAACTACATTGTAGCCTTCTCACAAATCACATATATATAACTTGGATCTTTTTTTTATATCTTTCTTGATCATTTTATATATGTAGTTTCTGCTTATTGTAGATGGTGGAAGGAGCAAGATCTTGCGTCTAAACTGCCTTTTACCTTTCGTGATAGAAATGTGGAGTGCTATTTCGGCATGATGGGAATATCTTTCGAGCCACGATATTCCCTTGCAAGAATTATCGGCACTAAAATTTCTATGATCATGACGCTTGTTGATGACACATATGACGCCTATGCCACTCTTCCCGAAGTTATAAGTTTCACTGATGCTTTGCAAAGGTACTTACTATCTTTTTTTCTTGTTGGATATGTTATCTCTATCTAGTTCTTTATATAGAGTTAATGGCTAGGTGGGATATTGGAGCCATTGACGATCTACCAAGTTATATGCGAATTCTTTTCCGAAATTTGTGGGATATTATAAAAGACATCAAACAAGAAATGGGTTCGCTAGGAAGACATGGCGGTGTGGCACCGACAATAGATGAGGTACGTAAGTGTTGGTTATGAGAGAAAACAATATGGAAGGTATAACAAAAGTAACATTATATTGTGTCATGTGTGTAACATAGATAAAGAGCCTGGCGAAGAAAGGGTATCTAGAGATAGCAAAATGGGCACGAGCAAGTCACGTGCCAAGTTTTGAGGAGTACATGGAGGTTGGAATCGTCACAGGCGCAATGGATGACATGGCACTCTACAGCTTCCTAGGGATGGAAGATTGCGATGAGAAGATAATGTACGGGTGGTTAGCATCCAGAACCAAAGTCATCCTAGCTTTAAATGTCGTGTTTCGTCTGATGAACGACATAACCACGTTCGAGGAAGAATTGGAGAGAGGAGAGGTGGCCAATGGAGTCAACTGTTACATGAAGCAACATGGTGTTAGTCAAGAAGAAGCGGTTAGAGAATTGAAGATGATGATTAAGGATCACCATGAGATCATGATGGATGAGTTCTTTAGTGCCTCATCTACTGTGCCACGCCAGGTTCTAGTGCGAGTCTTCAATATTGCACGTGTGGTCGTTTTGTTTTACAAGGATGGTGATGGATTTGGTCATCCAGATGAAACTCTCAAAGCCCACTTTACTTCTTTGTTTTCATAAATTTCGTATATGTGTGATCATTGGTTCTCATGACTCGTCATGCTTTGTGAATTGTGATCAACTGAACATCTCTATCTGTATTTCAAGTTGTGTTATGCTATTTTTTTTTTTTTAAATATAAACTAATACAAATGGAAAAAATAATAAAACGAGTCTATTGGGCTGGCAAGCAATGTGGCTACTAAGGCCCATGTTAAGGTGATTTTAAGGCCCAATTTTGTTCGTGATAAGATCGGACGGTCGACACGGACATAATTAGCATACCACGCGACGTAGAATAGCCTCTCTCTCTTTCCCGCCCTAAGCACACCCCCCATGAATGGCCACCTCTCTTTCCTCTTTCTAATTTGTTTCCTCGAAATCAGCCGGAGTGTGAAACCCTAGAGCGCGACAGCCATGGCAAAATCTGCGGCTCGACCCAGTGATTCCTTCATCAAACAGCGTTCTGGGTCGGGTACGATACTTAGAATTAAGCTTGAGAATTTCATGTGCCATAGTAATCTCCAGATCGAGTTTGGCGAGTGGGTCAATTTCATCACTGGCCAAAACGGAAGTAAGTATTTATTTCGTCTCTGAAAATTTGATCTTTAGCTCTTAAATCGACTGAATTTACATACGCATACCTTATTGGGGATTGGGTTTCGCCGAAGTTTGAATTCTGATCTTTGAAAACTCAGTTCAGGTTCAATGTTTTGGTTCTCGTTGGAAGCTAAGCTAGTGGACATATCTCTTTCCTTTGATTTAGAATTGGTTTATCTAGGATGGTCGTAAAGTCATGCTTAAGAATTTAATCGGGACTTTTGATCAAAAATTTTAGAAAGGTGTCAGCTTCATGGAATGTCAAACGGCAATCCAAATATTTTTTTTGGCGTCAGATAGTCTATGTAATGGTTAAGCTTTTCTCGCTCTATGATCTTTCCCGGAAAGTTGAAAGCTAATTTCTTTTGGTGGTAAAATTTCAGGTGGTAAGAGTGCAATATTGACTGCTCTATGTGTTGCATTCGGGTGTCGAGCAAAAGGGACTCAGAGAGCTTCCACTCTGAAGGATTTTATAAAAACTGGATGCAGGTTTGTACATTTATCTAAAAATTCAAGGTTGCAGGTTGGAAACAGCTCAAAAGCACATTTTTAGTGCCGCGTTATTATCTCTTGTCATGCTTAGGAAATTGCTTCTTGTCGAGATTAATGGTAAGAGTGACTGAAAACTTCCAACCTCGTTGGGATTTTGTTGCAGCTACGCTGTTGTCCATGTAGAAATGAAAAACCAAGGAGAAGATGCTTTTAAGCCTGACATATATGGTGACATCATAATTATCGAACGTAGGATAACTGAGTCTACTAGTTCTACCATTCTCAAGGATCATGACGGTTAGTTCCCCGTAGCTCTACTCTCTCTTTGTGGTTTGAGTTACAATTTTTCTCATAGCCCGCGTGGTGCTTGTTGTGATTACTGTCTCCGTTCTTATTCTCATCTCCACCAACTCTTTCTGTGTGTTATATATAAATTCATTGATTCAAAAGGTTTTCTGTTTACTTATTTTTAACCTGTGTTCTGCAGGAAAAAAAGTATGTAGCCGAAAGGAGGAGCTACGGGAACTTGTTGAACATTATAATGTGAGTTTTGGTCTTTCATTCAAATTTAGAAGTATTATTACGTAATATCAGAAATACTTTTTTTATTTCTGGTCTTGTATACAATTTATAATTATACCAGCCATATTGGCATATCCATTGCTGGATCTGTCTTATATTATACAATTGTAGATTGATGTTGAAAATCCATGCGTGGTAATGAGTCAAGACAAGAGCAGGGAGTTCTTACATTCTGGAAATGACAAAGACAAATTCAAGGTATCTCCTGTGAAGTGCTATATATCAAAGTCAACCATGTTGATGTTTTGACTTAAATTTTCTGTTTTTTAGTTCTTTTTTAAGGCAACCCTTCTTCAGCAAGTTAATGATCTTCTCCAAAGTATCTATGAGCACTTGAATTCTGCTACTGCGATAGTCGATGAAATGGAGGAGACAATAAAACCAATAGAAAAGGAGATCGGTGAATTGCGTGGAAAGATTAAGAATATGGAACAAGTTGAAGAAATAGCTCTAAAGTTGCAGCAGTTGAAAAAGAAACTTGCTTGGTCATGGGTGTATGATGTGGATAGGCAGCTCCAGGAACAAACTGAGAAGATTGTGAAGCTTAAAGAACGTATACCTACTTGCCAAGCTAAAATAGATTGGGAACTGGTAAGTCATACTTTCCATTATCTGAAATTTGGATGGCTGTTGAAAATCGAAAGTTACAGATGCTGGGGTGCATTACAAGTTTTAACCTCTCCCTGATATCCAACCCAGGCGTCGTAAGATAATAATGAAATTTGTTAGATTTATAAAAAGTGCGGGTTTGATTAGGTGAATTCTTGAGGTATTTCCACCCTAAAGCATTCTCAATGGTTATGGCATAATATCTTGGTTCCATAACTTTAGGCGAGGTTTTACCTCCAAAATGTTCGATTTGCTTAGAGCGTGACCTTGTAACCTGCCTTATTTTAGAGAGATATCTACACATGGCTAAATATATGCTTATTTGTTCTGACACAAACTGTTTGATTTTAACTGACCATTTCTGTAGGGTAAAGTGGAATCATTAAGGGATCGCTTGACCAAGAAGAAAGCTCAAGTTGCATGTCTGATGGATGAATCAACTGCGATGAAGAGAGAGATAGAGAGTTGTCACCAATCAGCCAAGACGGTTTGTAAAATTAGTTTAAGAAGGGTCTAGTGGCTGGGATTTTTCGTATAGAATTGACAATTTATCCTCCCATATTTAACAACATACATATATTTTTAGGTTCAGTGCTTGTAAAAGAAGAAGGCAAATGAGAATTTACCAAATGCGTTGCAATGCTCAAATATGCATCATTTTTCTCAACTTGAACAGCATGATATTTTTTTTTTACGTGATTTAGTTTGGAAAATTTACTTTCGGTACTTTTATTACATTGTGTATGCGTGTTTTTGACATATCTTGTTTGTTCGTAATGTCAATTCTTATTGTAGGCTGCACGAGAAAAGATTGCGCTAGAAGAAGAATACAATCATAAGCGCAATAATGTTCACAAGATTAAGGATCGTGTTAGAAGGCTTGAACGGCAGGTTGGAGATATCAATGAACAGACAATGAGAAACACTCAGGTCCTCTACATTGATCACTGAAAATATCTATCAAACTAAAAACTGTCATCCTTGTTTTGTGCTCAAGTGTGCATGTACAGATTTATCTGGGTAACTTTCTCATAGGTTGATAATGATGCAGGCTGAACAATCTGAAATCGAGGAGAAACTGAAGTATCTGGAGCAGGAGGTTGAGAAAGCTGAAACATTGCTTTCCAGGTTATGATTTTAATTTTTCTATTTCCTTTTCATGTGCCTATCTGTCTTCTGTAGTAGTCTATTCGTCTTCAGACATTTATTAACTATTGGATACTTTAGATTGAAAGAGGAAGAGACTTCCTTATTGGAAAAAGCGTCAGCTGGAAGAAAAGAGATGGAACACATCGAGGATATGGTACATCGATGCTTATATCTGTTACTTACATTCCAGCATAATGTTTAGTCTTAGAATTTAATCAGTTTTATTTGCAGATTGCTTTAATATTGTAATTAACATCTTGTTCATTTCCTTGGCCTTTTGGATTCTAGATTAGAGACCATCAAAAGAGACAAAGAATCATAAACTCTAATATTCATGATCTGAAGAAACATCAAACAAACAAGGTGCGGCTTACATGTTTAGTCACGTTATTTGGTGTTTCAACTGAAAATTGTCAAACCTTTTTCGGTAAAATCTAAGAGGCGTATAATATACATGCATGCTCGCTAGGTTACTGCATTTGGAGGAGATAAAGTCATTAATCTTCTGCAGGCTATTGAGAGACATCATCGTAGGTTCAGAAAGCCACCAATTGGTCCTATTGGCTCCCATGTGGTGAGGTTCTATTTTTTTCTTTTGCATATATGTGCACTAAACAAATTTAGTTCACATGTTGTCTGATATTTGACCATGCATAGCTCAAGAAGAAACTGACATTTTCAAGTGTTGTAGCAACATTTTTCTAATATGAATATTTTTTGGGATCGAAAAATCTCTTTTAATACTCTGATGTTCTGCAGAGGTTGATCAATGGCAATAAATGGGCGTCTACAGTTGAACAAGCTCTTGGAAATTTATTAAATGCGTTCATTGTGACTGACCATAAAGATTCGCTCACTCTAAGAGGCTGTGCAAATGAAGCCAATTATAGAAACCTTAAGATTATCATCTATGACTTTTCGAGACCAAGGTTCAAAATCTAATAAGCATTTTAATATTTTCTTTCAACCTTTAGCATTGATGAATGGGTAGCTTTGTAACGCATATATTTGTTAAATAATCATTTATGCAGGTTAAATATACCACGGCACATGATTCCTCAGACAGAACACCCAACTATTCTCTCTGTCTTGCATTCTGATAATCCAACCGTTCTTAATGTCTTGGTGGATGTGGTAATTTAACTTTCAAATTTTTCCTTTACTTACTAATTTTCTTCATTGTTACAGCGATATTCAATATTTGCTCTTGTTTCATGGATATTCAGAGTGGTGTTGAGAGGCAAGTGCTTGCAGAGAACTATGACGTGGGGACGGCAGTGGCCTTTGGGAAAAGGCTCTCAAATCTGAAGGAAGTTTTCACTTTAGATGGATTCCGAATGTAAGTAATGTTATGAATTGGCATGGACAGTCCCGTATATCTTCACTTGCAAACAAGAACATATCTTTTGCAGGGCCGGAGATCACTTTTTTTTTTGAAATACAATTTTGAACGATGACATAATTCCCCAGTTTCTCTGGATTTCTCCAAGTTTTCTACTATATGACAAACATGAAAAGTGATTGACTTGAGACCATCTAGAGGATATAGGACGATCTTCCTCAGTCCTTTCACTAATTTATCTACTCTTACCTCAGGTTTTTTCGTGGGTCAGTTCAGACAACCCTTCCCCTTTCTTCTCGTAGACCTACGCGGCTCTGTGCTTCTTTTGATGACCAGATCAAGGATCTTGGAATAGAGGCCTCAGAAAAACAAAGCGAGATAAATCAATGCATGATACGTAAGAGGGAAGCAGGGGAGAATCTCGAGGAACTTGAGTTGAAAATGCGCACACTGAAGGTAATGTAAATTCATTGAGTTAATCCAGTAGACATGTCGAAACTAGAGTTCCCAGTCTTTAAGCATCCTAACTGAAATGATTATCTTACAAAGCTTTAGTTTGCTCGTTCATAACCATTTTGCATATTTTTCTTTATTTGGTTTATACAGAGGCACCGAAGCCAAGCAGAGAAAAGTTTAACAACAAAGGAACTCGAGATGCAAGATTTGAAAAATACAGTCGCTGCTGAGACTGAAGCATCACCTTCTTCAAGTGTTAATGAGCTTCAACTTGAAATCATGGTTAGTTTGTCGGTGAACCTATTGCATTGTCATTGGTTTCGCCTAAGTAGCATCCCTTAAGTCGGGCACTTTTTTCTAATTACTATATCAGAAAGACCGAGAAGAGATAGAGGAGAAAGAAGCTTTCCTGGAGAAACTCCAAAACTGCTTGAAAGAAGCTGAAGTAACGGCTAATAAACTTAATGCTTCATTCGAGAATTTACGTGGTATGTCTGTGATAGACCACTGTTTCTGAAAAACAAGTATCTTTTCCTTGATTTGTGATCGAACATGAATATTTATCATCTTGATTGACTGACCGACTTTATTCTTACATTTTATCCGAATCGTGCATGAAGAGTCAGCCAAGGGTGAAATTGATGCCTTTGAGGAAGCAGAGAACGAGCTAAAGAAGATCGAGAAAGACCTTCTGTCTGCTGAAGCGGTACCCTTCTTGCCCTAACGTAAAGATTTTGATGTTTTTTTTAGTTGATTTACATACAGAAAGTGAGCGTGATTCTAATTCAGGAGAAAATCCATTACGAGAACATAATGAAAAACAAGGTCCTACCGGATATTAAGGAGGCTGAGGCTAATTACGAGGAGCTTAAAAATAAGCGGAAGGTATGTATAAGTAATTATGACATAGCATTAGGGTGATATTGCATATATATGTATATTTATCTCTTTTAAACCCTGGCCGGGTTGAAATCTGGTATGCCATGTTGTCTAGTCAATGGAACTTGGCTATTAGACTAACGTGTCTTTGCTATAGAATTTTTATCTTCTTGTAGTATTTCTCAGGCCCTTTTTGTGCCATTTAATCTTGTGGTAGCCAATTACATGTGCTTGAATTTCAGGAGAGCGACCAGAAGGCCTCTGAAATTTGTCCTGAGAGTGAGATCAAATCTTTGGGGCCCTGGGATGGGAGTACTCCTGAGCAACTCAGTGCTCAGATTAACAGGATGAATCAGAGACTTCATCGAGAGAATCAGCAGTGTGTATTTTAGTATTGCCTTTCAGCTTTACCTTCACACAGAAAGTACCTGTGAGAGTAAAGCGCATGCTTCAATTTTGTGGTGCAGGTTTTCTGAATCAATCGATGACCTTAGGATGATGTATGAGAAACTAGAACGAAAGATTGCAAAGAAGCGCAAAATCTATCAAGACCATCGAGAAAAACTCATGGTATAGCCTTGCAGATCTGTTTATGTTAAAGCTGTATGTGTTGTTATATCTGCATCACTGAACGTATTCGTTACTGATTGATCAGGCCTGCAAGAATGCTCTAGATTCACGGTGGGGAAAGTTTCAAAGGAATGCATCTCTTCTTCGTCGCCAGCTAACATGGCAGTAAGTTGCTTTCCCCATTGTAGTTCGGTTGTATCTTGAGATCTAGTATATTTTTTGTTTTTTTCCATATGGAGCTTTATTTGATGTTGCTCTTCAAATCAGATTCAACGCTCACTTGGGAAAGAAAGGTATCAGTGGACACATCAAAGTCAGTTATGAAAATAAAACTTTGTCCATAGAGGTAGTTGACACTGCTATGCTACAGTATTTGCGATTAACGTGTCCATATAATTACATTATCTGATTGATGGCTTTTCTTTTTCGACAGGTTAAAATGCCTCAAGATGCAACAAGTAAAGCTGTTCGAGACACTAAAGGTCTTTCAGGTGCTGCCTCCTCCTCCACCCAAAAAAAATTCCAACCTATGTAACTCATTGCTAAGTTGAGATTTCCTATATTGGCCATTGGTAATGTCTTGTCATATAATTTCCAGGGGGAGAACGCTCGTTCTCAACCTTGTGCTTTGCATTAGCTCTTCACGAGATGACAGAAGCCCCATTTCGAGCAATGGATGAGTTTGATGTGTTTATGGTATTAAGTCCTTCCAAGAATCCTCTCTTTACAAGCATTACATTGGGATAATACCTATTGAAACAAACATTTGTAACTTGTCGATTCTGGAAATTCAGGATGCAGTCAGCCGGAAAATCAGTTTGGACGCGCTGGTGGATTTTGCGATTGCACAAGGATCACAGTGGATGTTCATCACTCCTCATGATATCAGGTAAACAGATTAGTTTTCAACACCTTGGAACTCTGTTTGTGAAGTGGATGCTTGGATCAAACTCATCCTCTCTCTCTCTCTCTCTCTCTCTCTCTCTCTCTCTCTCTCGTGTTCTGTTACAGCATGGTGAAGTCGCACGAGAGGATAAAGAAGCAGCAAATGGCTGCTCCTCGTTCTTGAACTTGAAAGAACCTCTCTTTCTATGTAATATATTTTTATCTTATTGTTTTTTTAGTTACTATCTGGATTTATAAGAAAGTAAAAACGTATCTCATACAAGTTTCTAATTTCTGGAAAGAGATGCTCATGATTTTGTAAATTATTAAATACACTGTGGTCAGTCTTAATTCAATTTCTCTAGTATCTTCTGCCAAAAACTAAGGGAAAAAAAATCCATTGGCTTCTACCATAGCCGTTTAGATGTAGTATTCCATCTATTCCATGAACTATAAGAACGTTTACATTCAACCATCTTTTTTTTTGGTTTTAAACCATCATTTAATATCTAACAAGAGATAAAGCAATCAATAATTGCAGACTACAAGTGATCACAAACATCAAATTAAATTAAATTTAGCATACAAATTTGTTTTTCCTGATATTTTGCGGATGCTACATCGATTAACCCAAATTGCTTGTGCCTGAGAATGAGCATAAAATGTCCATAGGTTTCGGTTTTTTTTTTTTTTTTTTTTTTGGATTAAGCCAATATATTATCACTTAGATTTACATTAGAAAAAAAAATACTGGGTTATTTTATCTATCATTTATGGGCTGGCCCAACTAAACGTGGACTCAATTCTGAATATGGGCCAATAACCATAATTATCGTTAATTAAGTACAACAAAAAAAAAGACAGTCCGTAAAAGGTTAGGAAACTAGAAAACTCTTATTCAGATGTCGGAAACATCAACAGAGTATTAAGAGCGATCGAGATTTTGAAGACTAAAAAAAACTTCTTCTTCTCCGTCAACATATTGCAAATTTGAAGATGAAGGACAGAGAGGAATCTTCCGGTTCGTCAAGATCAACAAACAACCCTAATGGTGAAGACGAACCTAGAGAAATCAATATCCGACCATTCTCTTCTGTTCCTTCTTCTCCTCGAAACGCTTCTTCTAAGTACGATTTCGTCAAGGTTCGATTTTTTTATATATATTATATATAATGAATTGACTTTCAATCATCAATAATTTGAATTGGAGCTTTTTTTCTGACGACAAATTTTCAGGTGAAGGTATGGCTTGGAGATGCCGATCACTACTATGTCCTGTCTCGGTTCTTAGTCTGCAGAATGTTAACTGTAACTAAGGTTTGTTCAATTTAAACACCAAGCTTCTCATATCTTTTGTTGAATAGTGTTCTTAGATTCTAAGAGCTGGTACTGAATTGATTCTCCATAACACTGGTGAAACATTTTGCCGATTGGATTTCAGATCCCAAATCATGTAGCCGTAAAGATTTCTCTTGAACTCAAGAAGCTTCTGATTGATAACAGCCTTCTGGATGTGTATGCCCTTTTGCCACAATTGGTCTTCATCTTCTATATCGATGAAAATTTTACATAGTCTCGATGTTGTATGTACATAATTCACTTCGTTTCTCTTTGCAGGTCTCAGTCCGATTTGGAAACCAGTTTGTTTAAGGTGCATACTTTATATTTTTCTCTGTTTATGATGCAACATGTCTTATGAACGTTTACTTACTATGATAGTGATTGCAATCCTGCAGCTTATGGAGCGACGTGGTTACGGGGAGGAGTACATTAATCGCTACAATATGATGACAAAGTAGATACACTAAAAATGTTTTGTCTGGTTCGGAAATTCCTTTTTTTTTTTTGCTTTTCAAAGTTTCATACTTTATTGTTTTTGGGGGTTTTAGGTTTCATCATCAGAGAGTACCTCTTGTCATACTTGTTTGTGGAACAGCCTGTGTCGGGAAGTCTACAATAGCTACACAACTTGCTCAAAGACTAAATTTACCAAACGTTTTACATGTATCTACTCAACTCAATACCCGTTCCTCAGTTTGTTCCTTCTCATTTCTCTTGTCTTTTGTTGTTCTTATGTGCTATTTTTTATCACAGACTGACATGGTATATGAGCTGCTTCGCACAGCAACTGAGTAAGTTTTTGCTTTTATCTACTTTTGTCCGTTCTTATCTTCTAGTCTTAAAGTTATGCAAAAGCATTATCGCATAAACACGTTTATCTCTGTTTAATTTAGTGCTCCGTTGACATCAACCCCTGTGTGGACTCGAGAATTCGGCTCGTCAGAGGAGTTGATAACCGAATTCTGTAGAGAATGCAGAATTGTTCGAAAAGGTACTTCCTTTAGCTTTTAGAAACCGCATTATTCATTTGCTTTTGTTTACACTCTGTGTTTGTGGATTCTTATCTTTTTTTGTTTTGTTTTTGGAATCCCAAATGGTTTGTGGTTGCTTAGGACTTGCTGGTGATTTAAAGAAAGCAATGAAAGATGGGAAACCTATTATAATTGAGGTAAACTGCTCCATACGTCTGGATTACGTTTCGGCAACTACACTTGTTTTCTAACCTTGGCTGAATAATCACAGGGAAGACATTTAGATCCAAGCATATACTTAATGAATGATGAGAACAAAGCTCCATCTAATGATCCCAACAAGAGTAGCAAAGAACCAAACTCTTCAGAAGATGTAACCTCGGACAAAAATCCCGAGGCAGGTTCTTCAAACACTAAAGAAACCGACAATAATCCTACGAAACCACCCCATTCTCAGGCTGAAGCCATGACATCTGTGGAACAAGTATCAGAGAAAGTTACACAGTGTAAAATCGATGGTATTGTTTAAAACTTTCTTTCTATGAAGTTGCTTGCATTCGCTTCTGTATAATGTATAGTTTTATTTTCGTTTCAGGTGTGTGTGCAGCCGAAACTTCAAAAGAAGCTGAAAAGAAAAGAAAATCTGCAGACGGAAGTGGAAAGGCGAAATCTGGCCCTGAACCAATAGTCATATCTATTGTTCTAAAGATGGCTGAATTCGATCATAAGGTGAATCAAGTTTTGTAAATTTCGAGCTATATGACGCGGAAAACTAGTCTTTCTCAGTTCTTGATTTTCATAATCTCATTTTGTCAGGCTTTGCTAGAGGAGTGGATCTCTTCCCGTACATCCGGAGATAAATATACATCTAAGGTATATAAACAGCTTCAAGCTTAAAATTCAGTAAAGTGATCTTGATCAATGTATGAACATAGGTTTTGTCTCTTGCTTTTATTTTTGCAGGAGAAAGATAGGCTAATTACAAACCTAAAGACCATTGAAGACTACCTTTGTTCCTTCAATTCACAGGTTTGTTGGTGTCCTTTCATCGCTCAGAATCTATCTACCTTTCCGGTTTCACGGTTCTAACACTTGTTATGCGTAAACCAGGGAGTGACAGTTGTGAATATATCGGCCACTACATTCCCGCAGACACTGGACTGGCTTCACAACTATCTTCTTCAGGTAAGAAGCTAGAAAATTCGTAGCTCTAAAAGTCTGAATCCTCAACCAAAAACCGTAATCATGTTCTTCGTGTGTTCTGTAGCGTATTGAAGAAGGGATTCGATCATCAGAAAATGAGAAGCCAAAGTGAGACGCAGAAGAATTCTCAAGGAGGCTAAAGGCATCTTTTTCAGGATGAAGCTTGCTACTGTAATCTGAGAACAGGAACTTGTTATATAGTTGTTAAAAACAGAGTTTTTTACAGGGAAGAACTCAATGATAAGAAATCAGTCAAGTGTTTTATTAAAACTTCTTTCTTTTTGTTGAGAACAAAATTTATTAATGTATCATCGCTCCATTAAACCTTGATCTCAATTATCTCAATTGCTACTTCTAAGGCATGACGACCTAATCCAGAAAAAAAAACTTGTTTAAATTTGAAGGACCGAGTTTCTTGCTTGGCAAAGTTTCAAGTAATTATCAGAGTTGATATCTTCCAATTCCAAATGTGCTTATTATCCTTTATCTGTCTGTTAAACAGAAAACATTATTTTACCATATTAAAAAAATATATTAATGTAAAAAGAATGGAGATGCGGGGTATCGATCCCCGTACCTCTCGCATGCTAAGCGAGCGCTCTACCATCTGAGCTACATCCCCATTGTTGAATGTTTCCATATTTATGTTAGTTATTATATGATTTAAGAAAGTAGCTCTCTTCTTCCAAAATCCTCTTTATAAGTCCGAGCTAAACCCTAAACCCTATCATTCAGTCTCTCTTCTTGCTTTTTAACGGTGAATACCTAAAAATTTGTTTCTTCATCAAAATCTTAGTTTCTTTTCTTGTTTGGTTTCATATTCTTGGTTTGCCTGTTTATATCATCTAGTTGAGTATTAAAGGATTTAGTTCCTGAAAGTTCTCGACACATTTTATTCTTTTTACTATATTTTGAGGGGATATCTCTTAGAAATCTCTTTGTGAAAACAATTTTAGTGTAAAGCTCAAGTCTTTTTCCCAACTGGGTATTATCTGATTTTGGTTTTTGAAGCTTCTTTTTTTGTTAATTGGGTTTGTTGTGCTTTGCAAGTGACGATTAAACAGACAGGGACATCAGAAATTATCTGTGTTGACTATAGTCTATAATGGGAATCTCTCTGATGCATAAACAACTCTCTCTCTACTTTCAGTTTTTCAAAAATCTATTTTTATCTAAATATTAGGGGGTTTTGTGCTGTTTTTTGAATTTTTGTTAAAACGAATCTTTTTATAACTTATTGAAAGTGTTTGGCTTTACCAATGATGGAATTCAAATAATCATCAGATCTGATGTGTAAACATATGTGATTACAATCTTGATGCTGAGGTAAAGCCTTGAAATTATCCCTTAATCCGATTATGAATATTTTCCAGTAGCCTTGAGATAATAAAATCTTTTGTCTCTTTGGCCCAGAGTGAATCTAAATACCTATTTAGGAGTTTCTAATATAATTAAACAATATTGATTCTTGATCTTAAGATCCAATCCAAGATCCAGATTATTAAAATGTTATCATAAGACAAGTTTGAGCCTTTGAGGTGCGGCTTGATTCAATCTTGGAAGTTAATTGAAATTGGCATTGCTAGTAATGGCTTAAAGAACAAATCCTAGAACTTAAACAGAGCTCAATGATACTAACCAATAATCATATCTACAAATCAATAAGAACCCTAATGAAAAGATATCTTTTTACAACACCAACTTTTGATGTTGTTCCTCTGTTTTATAACAGAAGTTGCTAGCTGTCGATGATGACAACAAATCTTGATGCATTGTTAAGGAATCCAGATTCATTTTCAGTTCCCCCACCGATGCTAAAGCTATGAGTTCCTTGTTGTCTAAACCTTTCGCTGGCCCGAGGCTGCATCTTTCGCTCCCGTGCTTCTCCAACGCTTTCTTGAGCTTATTGATCTGCATTTTCAAGCAATAGGAGATCCAAAATAATTACTGTTAATTGCCATTGTCTTGAAAGCTACAAAATGTTTTCGATAATTTGATTTGCTTACTGTGGCAATAGTGCAGCTGAAACTACATAGTTTACCCTCTGCTCCTCTAAAGAACTTAAAGAAAGGAAGCACGTGAACGTTAAGACCATGACACATTGTTCTAAGCTCTTCTTGATTCACTTTCAGAAACATCACATTCGGGTTTGATTCAGCCAATTGACAGATCTGTTATATAAAAGAAAAAAAAAAACATATCAAAACAGAAACCAAATTAATTGAAAAATCTGAAAGAAGTTCTTGACTATGCATACCTTTGGGTGGAGAGATTTGCAGCCACCACAACCGGGAGAGTAGAAATCAAGAACAACTAATCTATCTCCAGCAGATAATAAAGAGTCAACAATATGATTCGCAGAGTGAATCTCTAACATGTTGTGTTCCGTTGACTTTTCCCACCATCTCATTCCTCTACTCATACCAATTGATGATGATGGTGTCTTTGCCTGAAATGAACCGTTTTAAGCAAGCAGGTTGTTTAAGAATCTACAAAGCCAAAAAGATCTGGATTCAAGAAAAAGGTAACACAAAGAGATGTCTTTTGCTTACAGGAGCCACAGAGGAAGAAGAAAACGCGGCAAGGGTCTGGTTGGTGAAATCTGTTGAAGCCATGGGATGTCCCTTCAAATCAAGGCTCATAACCGGAAAAAGTTTCGATTTTGATTTATTTTCCTGAGAAAATGGACAAAACCAATGACTGGTTCTAGGTAGAATCCCAGAAAATTGAGCAGCAACTCCACCATCTGTTGTTAGAGATGAAATGGCATCCATGTCCGTCTTAAAGAAAATTAAGAGACAGTTTCTGTAATCTGTTTCAGATCTTTGATCATACCAGAGAACAAAAGAAACTCAGCAATTTGTGATAAGGAACTGAAAGGAAGTTTCGAGATGAAAAAAGTTTAGAGGATTTGAGAATGAGAAAATCACAAAAGTACGTTACTTTATTGACCTCTCGATATCAATGAAGAACACACTCTCGGTACAGTTTATGCAGAAACTTGTTTCTCCTTTTACACAAAACATTGGACTTTACTCGCAGGTGGGTCCTTCTATATCCAACTCGATTTTTTTATGACTTCATCCATAATTCCATATCCAGTTTCCCCTCTAATTTCGTGATTTTTAATGACATTTGTCAATTGTCAGTAATCTGAAAGATCAGGATTGGATGATTTTTTTGATAATCTTGCTCTTATGAATTTACCAGGATTATCCATTAAATGAAAAAAAAAAAGCTCTTTTTCCTTTTTGGTTGTAACTGATATTCTTTTCAATATACTTTTCCTAACGAGAAGGGAGTAATAAACATCACAGTCAGGGTCGTTGCATGAAACGTGTTGCTGACTGTGTTCGAGGGTTTTCCTCGTTGGATGGGCAGATGGCCCCCACTTGGCTTATACAACAATGGGCAAAATGCATAATTAGTCCAATTGGAAGATAAACTTACTAATATATTAAATTAATTACAGAATAAAATCATACAAATTTGGATAAATATTTTCAGCGTCTTTGTTTGTGAAAAGGATTGGGAAATGGGATGAATATCTAATGTTAAGAATATATATATATATATTCATTTCTGTGATTCATTTAATTTGGATTTGTTTGCATTATCCATCAACTGGTTTTTTCTCAGGATAAGATAGAAAAGTTCACCAAAGAAATGATAATGCAGCCCATAGTTTTTGTTTGTGTGTTGTTGTCATTAAAATATATGGTACCATAGATATCAAATGCGGCCCACAGGACTTTGATCCAACCAAAACAATGGTAATACAATTTATTTTGTCTGAATTCAAACACATCACCGACTAACAGTTTTTTTTTTAATGTTTGGGTCATCTACAGTTATATTTAATTTTGGAAAGAATTTCTTACATTTCCTAATGGTACTTCTCTGCTTTTATGGCTCGGATTAGATCTTGTGCGTCAAAATTCCTTCAAATGACAGGGTGATACCAGTACATTTATGCCACTTAATACAAATATATGCAAAGGCTCGAAAGCATGAACCTCTCCGGTCAACTTAATCTCCCGTTGGTTTAATACTTATTTCTCAATACTCATAGACTCTTCAAGATGTAGACAGGTGGTCATTCGCCTAAAGTTCCATTGTTTTAGGAAAAACAAAGAAGACGTGGTCAAAACTCAAAAGTTCAAAAGAATACAAAATTATGAAATCGTTCAAAACAAAACAAAAGGAAAGGATTGCGATCTAATACGTGGTCTTGTCTTTGTGGATGTTTTCCTTAAATAGAAATATTGGTTGCTATCTTACCACCTAATTTGCAACATTTTCTACAAGCAGAATTTTAATTTTATTAGACGACCAAATCTTTTATTCGATCCGTTCTTCGGTTCTTCCCCAACACCGTGACATTATTTTTACACCAATGAAAACATCACCGACTAGTTTGACATTTTGTGTACTTAATCGTATTACTTTTATTAACAATTAAGAGTGGAATTATTAAATGAGATTTGTTATAGCAGAAAAGTTATAACCTATATGATAAGGGTGGAATTAGTTTCTAGTGCGTATAATATTGTTATAGACTTAGAAGCGTAGATAGTCTTTCTTTTTACTATGTTTAGATAAATAATTGTCAAAATGAAAAGAAAAGAAAAAGAAAAAAAAAAACAGGCTAAGTAATGGGGAACTCTTCTCCTCTCACTCTGACTTGCCTAAACTAAAGCTTTTAAGAAAAGTTATAGGGAATATGCTATATTCTTCTACTTTTCTCTCTTTTATGATTTAGGTCAATTAGTGAGATCCATGTTTTAATTACGTATAGTTGGTGTTGACTAAATAGAAGAGACGCCCACCTTACGGATTATGTAATTTCATCGCATGAAACGGTGTTGGTTCTGCCCGAAAAAAAAGAATGAAGAAGAAAAGGTATTTTTAATTTATATACATAATAACAATATATCACGATCATTGATGACTTATATTTTATCAAGAATAGGTTTTTTTTTTAGGGGGGTCAAATATGTGTGTATATATGTCAGTGTAATACATATTGTGATGACGTACTTACAAGCGAAATATAATATCTTCTCGATACAAGACGATAGTACGACTGTTCTCCTCCTTGGCCTCTTTCTTTTCCGACTTCTTTTAGGGTTGTTAGCATCCATCGGTATGTTTCCTTCTAATTTTTGTCTTTTGGCCTTTTAACCTAAATCGATATACGGATTGATGATCCTCCATCAGCTGAAAATTTGAAATGGTTATGCTCTATAATGTAAACCGAGTGGAGTGTCAATCTTAATTGTTTGGTGAAACCCAACTACGCAAAAGATGAAAAGTGGAGATATTTTGGTGCTTAATTATTTTTTATTGAGTTAAATTATCTAAAATATCTATTTAAAAATAGCAATGGGATATATGGGATGGTGTTGTTCCAAAAAAATTGCGTTCTATTTTCCGTAAAACTACGCTAACTCACTTAAGGTCTTGTGACTCTTGTCAATCAACAATTCATGAGTAATAGATTGAAATTAAAAAAAAAAAAACACACAAAAAACAAAAAGGTATGTACGCCATTTTAAATGTGCAATATGTGCTAGATTCCTAACTATACCTCATAAATTTTATTGAAACTAATAGCCCTTCAATATTTTAAACTAATGGCAATCTAGGCGAATATCCACTCTTGAAATGCCAATATTTGGTACCAAATAAAAAAAATACAAAACCGAACATAAACCTTGTTTAACAAAAAAAAATACAAAACCGAACGCACTTCAGTCTTTAAAACAGAAAACTTTTCTAAAAGAATAAGTTTCAAATGTGTTAGTTCTCCTTAATTTGACCTTTTCTAAGTGGTTCTTCTAATTGTAATGTAATAAAGATAACAATTCTGACGAACAAGGTTACCAATAAGGGTGCCAGGAGAAACATCATTCGTAAATCATGCCTTCTTGATTCTTCTTTGGGAACGGACGAATAAATTCGTGTAAACATTATCTTAACACAAGATACTGCAACATACTATTTAAATACGCATTTTGCGAATAGTTTATAATATACATATTCATCTAAAACTATATATTTTTAACGGCTTTGCTATAGAATCTATATCTAAAACATTAACTCTAAAATAATTCACTAATCACTGACGAAAGTGTTTTCACCATAAGTATTCGATACTAAATGGTTAGTTATTCTCTTTCTCACTTATTTTTCGAAAACATAGTCATTATTCATTGTATTACTTAACGGACGTAAGATCATTCGTTGTACTTTTCATGACAATTATAGTAACTATGCCTAATGCGTTAGATTCAAAGAATCGTAATTATCCGTTCTCTGTTAATTTCGCAAATATCTATTTATTTTCTAGCTCCTATAACGATCCAAAAATATCCCGTTCCTTTTTGGTTAAAGTCAAATATAGTTTTTTTCAATTTAATTTATTCCTACGAATATTTAAAAAGCTCAGAAGAGTATTTTTTAAAAAAAGTGGAAAGTGCTGAAACAACCTACCCAAGTTGCGTTACACACTACGTATCTTTCTCCTCACACAAAAAAATGGGGAAATACTTTTTTTTTTTTTGCCAAATTCTAAAACAAACAAATTATTCGTTTTAACGTAATTTTCTTATAATTAAGAAAATGAAATATTGCAATTTTGTTTTTCTCCACTCCTTCAAAGTTCCAGCCTTTATAGTTTCACTTGGCTCTTTTCTTTTCCTAACCTTTCTCCCCAACTTCGCTGTTCATCGTTTTCTCTCTCTATTTATAAATATATTCACATAATATTATTATCTGAATCCATCTATATACAAAAAAAAAAAAAATCAAGAAATCCATATTTTAAAGAAAAGTTCAGGTTTGTTTGAAGGGTTTAAGGTTTCTTAGTCGAGAGGAGAAAGATGGAGACGTTTTGTGGGTTTCAGAAAGAAGAAGAGCAGATGGATTTACCTCCTGGGTTCAGGTTTCATCCAACAGATGAAGAACTCATTACTCATTATCTCCACAAGAAGGTTCTTGACGTCACTTTCTCAGCTAAAGCTATTGGTGAAGTTGATTTGAACAAATCCGAGCCATGGGAGTTACCATGTATGTTTATAAGATCACCATCCATGATCTCATGTTTTTAACATTCTCTCTGTCTGAATCAAAACTGGTCTTTTCTTGAAACCTAATGATGCTGGGAATTGAATTTGGGATTTCTTATTTAATTTAATCTTTCTTTATAAAGGGATGGCAAAAATGGGTGAGAAAGAATGGTACTTTTTCTGTTTGAGGGACAGAAAGTATCCAACCGGTTTGAGGACTAACCGGGCAACTGAAGCCGGTTATTGGAAGGCGACCGGGAAGGATAAGGAGATTTACCGAGGCAAATCGCTTGTTGGGATGAAGAAGACACTTGTTTTCTATAGAGGAAGAGCTCCTAAAGGTCAGAAAACAAATTGGGTGATGCATGAGTATCGTCTTGAAGGGAAACTCTCTGCCCATAATCTGCCTAAAACCGCAAAGGTTAAACCGAAACCCTAATAATTACTCTGTTTTCTCTATCTAAAATCCTCTGTTTCTGCTGTCTTTTTTTTTTCCCCTGTTTTTCTCTTCTCCTTTAGTTTAATGATTTTTCCCTCTTGTTGTGATGTCTTGTTTTTGGGGTTGTGTAGAATGAATGGGTGATATGCAGGGTGTTCCAGAAGAGTGCTGGAGGGAAGAAGATCCCAATTTCGAGTCTAATCCGAATCGGTTCACTCGGAACCGACTTTAGCCCTTCGCTTTTGCCTTCTTTAACCGATTCTTCGCCTTACAACAATAAAACCAAAACAGAACCGGTCTACGTGCCCTGCTTCTCCAACCAAACTGATCAAACCCAAGGAACCATACTCAATTGTTTCAGCAGCTCTATTCTTAACCCGATCCAAACCGACATTTTCCACAGGATTCCACTCTACCAAACTCAATCCCTCCAGGTTTCCGGTAATCTACAAAGCCCGATTCTTGCTCAAGAACATTCAGTTCTACAAACTATGATTGATAACAACAGAGGACAGAGTCTCAAAACGATGAGTGTCTCACAAGAAACCGCAGTTTCTACTGACATGAACACCGATATTTCCTCCGATTTTGAATTCGGTAAGAGACAATTCGATGCTCAAGAAGATCCGTCTTCCTCCGCTGGACCGGTTGATCTTGAACCTTTCTGGAATTACTGAAGAGTATTCAAGAGTCACATGTCCACTAATTTACTGTCATAAAGAAAGTAAGAAAACTTTTTTCACCTTTTAGTGTGGTGTGTTAAAGTTTGTATAGATTATTACCATCTCAACTTCCACTACATATTATACTCATAAGAAAATTTATAATACAATTTGGTACTTGCTACTTGCTAGAGAAGAGAGTCTACTGGGTGATGTCAGAAAAAAAAAAAATCATAATTAATGAATATCTATCTATAGATACATCTTAAAAGTCTTGTTTCCCTTTTGCCATTGGTTTGTTTTTGCTGTTTTGACTTTTGACATTTGAAGTTGAAAGTCTTGGAAATGTGAAGGTCATTCTTAAAAGGTTTACATGTTTATATTAGTTGGTGAATATAGAAGTCTAATATGAAACTAACATAGTAGCATATAGTCTAGGTAATAAGTAATAACAGTTGAAACCATGTACATTAATAACTAAATTCTTGAACAAGATTATAAATGAAGAAAAGAATAAGCACATTACATATATTTTAAATTTTTATATATAATTCAAATAGACCCGCGTATCTCTCTATTAAAGCAGGTCTTTTAATTTGTTTATCGAAGCTACATATTTTGTATCTTAGCGATTTTATAATCAATGTATATTTTTTGGGACCGGTTACCATGGTATTCACATTCATAGCAAAACTTTTTTTTTTTTTTTCTAACAAGCAGCAATTTGTTTTTGTAAAAGAAAAAAAAAAACTCAAAAAGCTGGTTGAAAAAGAGTATAAAATTCAGTATCAACGTTCTTTCTTTTTTTCACTTACGCTTTCATAAGTTGCATTATAATAGATGTAAAAAAAAAAGAGTTATATATTCATTTCTGCTGCTTGTTAGAAACCAGTCTCAATTTGGGCTTTACAGTCTTAGAGACGTAGAACACCTCAAGTTTTACTAATTATTTTACCAATATTTTTTTTACTAATTAGACACTAATTCGAATTTTCTACTAGTAATAATAATATTGTAAAAACATAAATATACGGTATATATTATATATGTGCATCCGGCATCCCCCATGTGATTTATAAAATTTATGGGAATGTGTAAAGTGAAACACAATTTCCATGAACATAAAACCTAAATTCACGTAACGTATCAATTAGTAGAGTTTTAAAAGTATTTCATTTCTAATACTACTAGAGAAAAGATGTGAGGAAAAATAGAATATACAATAATATAATTTATTCAAGGTTCAAAATATCATATGTAATATTTATGTATATTTTTATTATTAAATAGGTCTAGTAATATTATCTAAAATTTTAGGTGTATTTACTATGCATAGATAATCCTAATAAGGATAACTCTATATATTTTATATTTAGTAGTTAATTTTTGAAATGTTTATACTTGGCACATTTTCTCAAATCCCTTTTGCATTCGTCCCGTGACGAATCCATTCCGTTATAAAGCTGTTATGCGTGATGCTTGAAATTTGTGTGTATTTTGATAAAGAGAAATTTTTGTGTATTCTCTATATATATTACGTAGCCCATCTTTTATTTTTATTTTTTGTTCAACTCACATCTTTTATTTATAGATATTCTTTTTATATAGTTTAAAAGTATTCTTTTCATTCGTCACATATACATATATATATAGATATATATTTCCTTTAAGAAAAGACATCATATATTCTTAAGCTCCAATATATAAAATCATTAGACTATGTACATTAGGGAAACTCAAACTCTCATGCTTTTCCTCCTCCATTGGTGATGTCTGCGATGGAGAGAGAGAATGATCGCAAAATTTTTTATCCCAATAAAATCCTCTTTTTAGAAGCCATACAATATTGTGCTGACACTTGGTGTATGAAACCCTCTAAAAATCGGTTCATAATTTTTTTTTGCAAGGACCGATCCTAAACGATTGGGCCTTTTTTAATTTTTTTAATCCAAAAATGCTTAAAAAACCCTTAACCAATTCTTTAAAAACTTCAATGGACATGCTTTTATATATTACACAATGTAAACTAGTGATGACTATGCAATCAGTCGTCAAACTTTAATTGATGTATTGTAACAACTAACAATCACTCTCAGTAAAACCATTGAGATCATTAATTTTGTAGATAGCTAATTTACGATAGTTTTTTGGCGTACTAATTTACGATAGTTAAGTTGTTGACGACTCGATATGTAATTATTACAAACTATATGGATCTTTTCACAAGTTTTTTAAAATAATAATTATTTGGTATAAAGATTTGCGGTTTATCTAACTAACATACCTCTAGACTGAAGACTCGATAAATAAATTGTAAAGTTGTAATTCTATAAGAGAAATTCTATTAATATTATATGTTATGCTTTGTTTTCTAAAAATACTACGAAATATTGAATTAGACTTGAACTCTAAGTTTAAGGTTTAAAATGGCCATAATTTTCTTTTTAAACTAAGTGATTTAGGAACTCTTGTTTAACGTTTCATAGTCCTTTATAAATCTAAAAGTTGTAGTATTTTTGAAACTACAACTTGTGGTATTCTAAGTTAATTACAAAATTTTGATGATCATATTGTTTTACTTGGTAAAAAATTACGGGGTGAACACTCATAAATCTAAATATCATCACAACAGTCACCAAATCGAGTATAAACTCTGCGAATCACTATCTGGCTTAGAATGGTTCACTGATGTTTATTGAAAGGTATTATATAACCATATGAACATCTAAATTTATTTTTTAAAATCGGATGTAAATAATAATGATCTCTATCCTTTATTTATGACACACTTCGAATTACCAAACAAAAGGCGAGAAGAGTTGGGAGAGGCACGTGATGGTATGATCATAAACTAGAAATGAATTAAATTGAGTCCCACACGACATCTTCCTTAACCCATCTTTTTAAACATTTCTCTTCTTCTTTTCTCCTTTTTTCTTTTTCTTTTTTTGTTTTCCATTTCCCCCCTCAACTATTTTATTTTTTAAGAGAAAATCTCCTTGTTATTTAATTCTTGGAATATATATAATTTTCTCGTTATATTGTAATTATATCTTATAATACTCCAAATTTCTCGATATCAAATGTGGATGTGAAAGGTTTATGAGCATTGATTAAATTACTTATAACCATTAAAATATTATTGATTTTAGAAGTTTGTATGCAGTTCACAGTCTTAGTAGTTTACGATTTTTAAATTCCCAATTATTCTAGTCTATATATGTCCACTGTTTGTTTTGGGAACCAATAGGCCTCATCTTGAACTGGAGTTAACCATGATTGAACAAAACTATTAACAATCTAAACCAAAAACCATCTGCTCGTCTCTTCTTCTTGTTGTCTCTTGTATGTAAACCATCTAAGTGGACCTATTTTGTACTAATAATGGATCCTACCTTCATATACAAGAATCAAGAACTGTAACGTAGAAATTAGGTCCAATAAAAGCCCAATATATATAACCGAGTCTAGCGATTTTTACGTTGAATCTACCCACGCAAAACAAAAGTCAAGTAACACGGATATCAATCGTCTTCTTCATGCTTCTTATACACGAGCCCTTCAAGTCATCAAATGTTCACTATGATCGTCATTTATAATAATATAATAAAATCAGTACTTTTGATGATTATGTAACAGACAACAAGAAATATATATACAATCACATATTTCAGGGGTCAATTTGATAGTGGTTGTCTTTGTATGTATTTGTCTTCAAACTTGTTACTTATAAATTTTGAGGGTAGGATAATTGTCATGTATTAAAAAAAGTTACAGCCATATTAATATTATATTATTGTGGTAACTATATATATATATATATTCTGGTTTTTAGAATGTATAGGAGTATTTTTTAGTATTGTGCAAAGCTAAAATATGACTGGTGAAAATAAATTAAAATTTCTACGACTTTTTTTCTATCTAACCAGCCCTTTAATTAATTACCTAAAATGGTAAAAAATATATTTATATTATACTAGTATCATTTAAGCGGAGTTGCTTTAATCATCCAAACTACTAATCCACAAACACATAGTTAAGTGAGAGGTAGTAATTTTGGAGGAACGAACCAAACCGATTAAGGTCATAACTTATCCTAACATAACTCTCATTGGCCAAGATATTGGTCACCTAAAGTTTTTATTTTTAATTTTTTTAGTTTCAAGGCTCATCTGAAGTTAGTTTTTCATCAAACACGTTTGATGTTTAAAAGATCTAAACTACTATTTATTAGATTATTCTAAAAAAAAGATCTTAGCTAATGTGATCAAACTATTTATAGCATTAAAGGCTTAGATAAAAGACTTACCCTTATCATCATCTAATCTAATACACCAACAATTTATCAATTTCCTGTATTGCCCCAAAATCTAATCATGATACTATTCACACTCAAACTAAAATGGGAATTATCAATTTCATAAATAATATGTTTAAATGGTTCGAACGAATAGTCGAATACCAAAAATACGAAAGATATAGAGAGTACTCTCAATTTCATTAATTACACCATAAACTGAATACAATTTTAGATCTAAACGACTTTATTATAAATAAGTTTTGAAATCTTGAAATACTTTATAAAAATATATAGGAAATTATCTAAATTAATGAAAATAAATGATATAAAATACTTGGAAGTAATATTTCGCTGCGTCACAGTCACTCCAAAAAGCATTAGTAGTAGCCGATTAATAGTTTGCTCGATCATCTTGCTCGACAGTAAGTGTTTGGTCTAATTCAAGTCTGCATGCATCATTTTTCGTGCGTAAATGCGTAAGACCTAAAGGCTGAGACATATCATGATATCAAATACTTTGAAAGCACCAAAAAATACATCCTAAAAATGCCCAAACAAAGTGATACCACACAAAACTTAAAATTCTCAGACATGAAAGAAAATACGTCAGGTATTGTTATCACATATAATATTATCTTTTTAAACACTAAACTTCGAACCAAACGTTAATTAATACTCATAAATAATTTGTAGTTGTCGCGAATCTATAAAATATTAATCAGTCTCCAAATGTAACAGTGGTGAAGTCGGAAAAAAAAAGTGAAGTCGAACATATATCGTAATATTGGACTCGAACTAAAAAAATATTATGTCCCGTACGTTGAAGAAATTAACCACATGTGGATAACTTCAAATATTATTAACATGTTCTAATCTACACCAATCAAGTTCTGTTCTATTTGTTTTATATTAGAAACACGTACAAGAAACGCTTTCTTATTTTATTAGATGATTTAATACATTTAATTTAGCCGTACAAACAGAGGATTATACACACACCAAGTATATATATATATGGGAGGAAATCCATATAGATACTTTATTGAAGAAAACGATTATCTGACTTCTTCATATCTTTCATTTGTACTTGGATTCGTTTTCTTCGAGAGAGTATCCAATATAGACCACTATCATCTTGTTATCTCGTGTACCAAATCTTAAAGTTAAATATTAAAAGATTTTAAAATCATAACTAAAATTCTTGTAAGATAAACAAACATTAGACCTCAAAAAGAAGAAGATAAACAAACATAATACATTTAGTTAGCAAGAAAAATGTGAGCCTATATTTAATTAAGATTTAGAAAAAGGCGAAGAGTAGAGATCCACATGAATCTTACCATAGAGTAGCCCCCACCTTCCATCATTTCATTGCTTTTCATTTTTTGTTTTTATCTCAAAAAGAGCTCTTCGTTGTGTGGTCTTTATTAGCCAGTCCAAATTCACTATAACTTTTTAAAAACAAGACAAATTTACTAATTGTGAATATATTATTGGAAGTTCATATTTCTGCAATTTGAATAAACCAAAAGGGGTGAATATGTCCCTATGTCAAGGATAGTGTTCACAAGAAATACACAACAGTTATTATGTGTCTAACTAAACTTGTTGAAAGTTGATGAAGAAATGTAACATACTAACATTAAACAAACCTGGACTAATCTTGAAAGAAAAACCTGTTTAAAATCTACTTACGTCAAATTTTATACTACAATGTACCTATAGAAGCTGTCGTATATGAAATCATAAAGTTTTATCAAATGCCGGGTCCTTCTCTTTCTAATTCTTATCCTGTTTTCTCCACAAAAATTATGAAATAGTTAGTCAGGTCGGATTAATCACGAAAATGACAACTTTTACTGGAGAAAAACAGTGGTGAAGTATTGTTTTTTCTTCCATCATTTCATTCGTTTCCGGGAAAATGGGAAAGGAGAGTTACTATTTGTAAAAAGGATATTCTTTCATAGTTTCCACTGAGTCCGATGTATTTCAACATATTTTCAGAAATATACTTTTTAATTCGATTATTTATAATACGAAATTTTTTTTATTACTCGATAGTGGAAGAATGATACATAATCATCGCATGGCGCAAGACATTTTCTGATACCAATTATTTGAAAGAAAAACTAATTGAGACCACATCTGACAGCAACTGAAATCAGTCATTAAATCCCTTTCGAAAGAAAAGTCGAAAATATTCCTTTCTTATTAGTATAAAAAATTAGTTACATCTTCTAAAATGTTTAATGTAAAGAAATGCTTCATCAGTTTTTTTTTTTTTTTTTTTTGGGGTGAGTGGTCGTTTCCCACGTTTGGGCCTTAGCTACATGGTCCCAAAAGAATGGCTGAAGTTCTTTATTACATCAACTTTTTTTTTGTAACAATTATTACATAAACTCATGGTTTAAAATTCTTATGTTTTATTCAAATCTAAATATTATTTCCATGACTAATAAATCATGAACCAAACAGATTATAAATAATATATACAAGATGCATACCATATGATGCATACGAATTACGATTTAATAGTCCAACAGACTAACTAAATCGGTTGTTGTTAAAAAAATGCAACTCAGTTTGGTTGTCGTAATATTGTATAAAATACTTATAATATCACTAGAAATGATCGTCATTTACTTAATTAGTAAAAAATATTTGTTACTTACTTTCCCCTACAAGATTAACAAATTAAATAATATCAGCCAATATTTATAAGTGTACTATTTGAGTACTGTATATGCATATCTTTTTTTTTTTTTTTTGTATATGCATATCTTCTTCATGTCGCAATATACAGAGTGGAATGAAATGTTTCCACTGATTAAAAATCCAGTTAAATTCCGATACTTGCAATTTAATAGCGTTATATTAACTTATTAATGAGCCCTAAGCCTAACTCTACGTCCGGATTCAGAATCAGTAGTGGCTTTGAGAACGAAAGTATAATATTTGGCGTGAAGAAGTGTTTAATCACGATATAAAGGTAAACAAAAAGAAGATCAACTTCGTGTGATGTGGTGATTAATATACAAAAAGTATATTGGTATAAAAATTGTCGACCGTAATAAAACAAGAGTGACAGCATGAAGGAATAAATATATTGTCGAAAAGAATTGAGACATAGAATGGAGGGTATTGACAATTGAGTGCATGATAGGCAAATGAACCCCATAAAGCAACTCGTCCGAGTATATATATACAAAGAAAACAAACGTCATTAAAATAGGTTCACACAAAAAAAAAATGATTTTGAAGCAAAGTGGTTCACAAAAAAAAAACGATTGTAAAGATCTCTCAACGGAGTTTTGAGGCGTAAGGTTCTATGAGATCAGCCCAATACCTAGAAGAAACCAACAATATGTGACCAAAAGTTAGAAAAACATATTTGGAAAGATGATGCTTGCACCAAATTGTTTTAGCCCAAGGGACATTAGAATAATTATTAAGAACCAACAGCAAGTAAAGCATGTTGTGGGACCATCTATGTTTGTTGACATATAGAACGAGCGGATCTTAGGGATACAAGTTGGTTGACTAGAATCAAGGACTCCTCTATGGCTCTATGAATTATCCGATCACAAATTAAGCATTGGAAAAACGATCATCAAAGTGGGCTCCAAACTCGTTAAAATTTTACGTACAGAGCCCCGAAGAGGCATAAAGAGAATCAAAGTAAATAAAAAGTTCTTTTATGTTTAAGCTAATAAAATTTTAGAGAAGTAAAATGAGAATATGGGAGAGGTGGTAAGAGACGAACAATAATAGGACATGACAACAACGCAAACGTGGCAAACAAATTGGACCTACGTTGAAAATAACACGTGATGTTACAATATCTCTTCAATTCTCAATGATCAACAATAATGCCTATTACTTTCCCGCTTTTTTTTAATAAAAGCTTTAGTATCCAGGACACGATTTGTTTCCGCATTTTGGCGTTTGTAAAGTTAGATTTAATTATATTATTGATGTAAGCCAAATAACCAATATTTAAACATACACATGTTTTGAACATAATATATCAATAAAAGTTAAATATTTTATTTTACTCATATGGATTTCCTTTTTACCTAATAATTTTATGGATACTTTTAAGTTTTAACTCTTCATCGCGGACCACTCCTCATTGGATCTTTCGTTCAATTCAATAAATAATTTAATTTAATATTTTCAAACCAGCTCCAATTTGATTTCCTATGGTAATTGAATATGTAAGAATCTCCTACATTTAGGTCTTATAAATTTAATTTCATCCAGTGCCAAAATGCATTTTCCTAAACATTATACTTCAAAATAAATATATATATATATATATATTTATATATATTAAAAACTAGTAATTTACAGTATCGATTTGCAGACATTGTTCTTGTTCAAAAGAATTACGAGCGTTCCGTTAACAAATAAATATATTTAAAGGTTTGGCAAAAAAAAATATTTCTATTAAAAGAATCCATACTTCCCAAAAATATCTATAACATTAATTATGAGTACGTACGCGCGTGTATATATAGAGGAGTATAGCTAGTAAGCTCACCACTATCACACAATTCATGTCTCTTGGCTCTTCTTCATAAGCTTATCTTGATTCTGATCTTTAGAGTCGTATTATTACAAGAATAGAAAGAAAAAATAAAAGAATTAGAGTCTGCAAGAAAAAAACATGAAAACACCCAGCAGCTCTGTGGGTAAGACCCAAGAGCGTTTCTCGATTAGTCTCATATTCAGATGCATCAGAGTTCTCATCAACAGATCTATTTCTTTCTTAACTTGTTAGAAAAAAATCCTTTAAAATTTTACTTTTCTGAAGCTTTTTTTTTTTAATTATTTGTTGGGTGTTGGTGAGAGGTTTATATGAAATTTTACTCATTAGTGTTTATATCGTAAAAAAGATGTCAAGAAAGCCATGTTGTGTCGGAGAAGGGCTGAAGAAAGGGGCATGGACCACCGAGGAAGACAAGAAACTTATCTCTTACATTCACGAACACGGTGAAGGAGGCTGGCGCGACATTCCCCAAAAAGCTGGTTAATATCCTATTAATTAAAATCTCTACATGCTTACTTACTGTTTTGTTGTATGAAATTGTTGTGATCATGAATATGGTGTTATTTAGGGTTGAAACGGTGTGGAAAGAGTTGTAGACTGCGATGGACTAACTACCTAAAACCGGAGATCAAAAGAGGCGAGTTTAGTTCAGAGGAGGAACAGATTATCATCATGCTTCATGCTTCTCGTGGTAACAAGTACGTTTATACCGTTTATATATATGCACGAATATTGACATGCATAATAAAGAGTTTCATATTAGTTTAAGGAAGATACGATCATTATTTTAGTATCGGCATCTTTGATCTCTCAGTTAATCTCTCTTCTTGCCGTTAGGTGGTCGGTCATAGCGAGACATTTACCTAGAAGAACAGACAACGAGATCAAAAACTACTGGAACACGCATCTCAAAAAACGTTTGGTCGAACAAGGTCTTGATCCCGTGACGCACAAGCCAATAGCTTCTAGTTCCAACCCTACTGTTACCACGCCGCCTGAGAATTTGCATTCCCTGGCTGCATCTAGTTCCGACAAGCAATACTCTCGGTCGAGCTCAATGCCGTCCCTGTCTCGTCCTCCTACCTCTGGTTTCAACACGGTTTCTGAGGTGTCCGAGATTACCAGCAATGTTTGGACACCGGTTCAGGACGGTTCCTTGGGTTGCAAGAAACGGTTTAAGAAATCGAGTTCTACATCAAGGCTTTTGAACAAAGTTGCGGCCAAGGCCACTTCCATCAAAGATATACTGTCTGCTTCCATGGAAGGTAGCTTGAGTGCTACTACGATATCACATACAAGCTTTTTTAATGGCTTCTCTGAGCAGATTCGCAGTGAAGAGGATAATTCTAATGCATCCCTGACAAATACTCTCGCCGGATTCGATCCCTTCTCCCAATCATCTTTGTACCCCGAACATGAGATCAATGCTACTTCTGATCTCGGCATGGACGCGCAGGGTTACGATTTCTCACATTTTCTCGAAAAACTCGGAGGAGATAACCACAACGAGGAGAACAATATTAATATCATGAATGTCGAGTATGGTCATGATCTTCTTATGTCCGATGTTTCCCAAGAAGTCTCATCAACTAGCGTTGATGATCAAGACAATATGACTGGTAACTTGGAGGGTTGGTCAAATTATCTTATTGACCATGCTGATTTTATATATGACGCCGAATCAGAATCCCTCGAAAAGCATTTCATATGAATCTTCATATCCAAACAGAAAGGTTTCAAAACTATTATATATTTGAAACTTGCCTGAACGAGAAGTTATGTATTTATTTCTTATTTGGGTTTTTAGTATATATGTCCAAGATCTAGTGGTTATTTATCCTAAGTTTGGGGTTTATATGATGTTATAAGGATTCCTGAAGAAGAATAAATATCAGGATTCCAATTAGGGTACCTAATTTCTCTGACACTGAGAACCATGCATGTAATTAACTTCGCGGATCAATTGGTAATTGATTTGTGCGGGCCACGATGTTTTATAAGTGTTATTTTTTATAATAAAAGCTTGTTTTATATCATCGTACTTATTTCATAACAGCGCCCATTATAATCATTTTTCGTTTATCTTTTTTGTTAAAGTTCATTGGAATCATCAATCATGCTCTTTTTTTGGTTTTCATGCTCTTCTTTTTACATAAATCATTTAGTCTTTCCAACTTTCTATGGCATGAAGGTGGTGGTACCTTTCGTTGGATTTGAGCCGACCACAACATTCTTTTTTTTTTCGATATACTGTGTAACAATAAATAAGAAATTTTCAAAATAATGATATAAATATAGTATAAATTTTAAAAGAAAATGCTCAAACGAAAAAGACGTCTCAACAAAAGTGTATCTTTGTGGTCCATAAACAATTTAGATGAACGTTAAAGATCAAGAGGTGAAGCAGATAACTGGATTTATGACCCGAAAAAACTTGTTTTTAGACATAATAATCATGTAATTGATTTGTATTATAATACAAACCTACTATCAAAGTATTTAAGTGCTAAAAAATATTCCAGAATACTACTATTACAGCACAATCACCTTCTGATTCTTCGATTCATAATTTTCTTTTTCTTTTAATATGATTTTTCATTTCCTCATTTCAATATATTACACATTATATTTTATTTTTCCCTTTATTTAAATGATCATGAAAATACAATAATTCTTAGAAACATGATTTGATATCTTAATTCGCTTACTATTTCCAAATAGAGAAAAAGGCGATAAGATTTTGTTAAAGTTTTTTTTTTTGTTTGACAAATAATAAAGCCCCACTCACTATTTGTAAATGGCCTTTTGACCCACTCATCCCCTCAATGATTTTTGTTTTTAATCAATTGTAAAAAATGCCCTTATGATCTTACAAAGAGGCACAAAACAATGCCAATCTGCAAGAGCAAATCATCACGCACTCGACCCCATTCGTGCCATGTGTCTCTCACGTCGTCGATCGACTCTTTCCATGATCACTACGTTTTATCATCCCACACTTCATATGAGAATTCCACCATCGTCCACGAATGATTAGTTATTCTATATTTTTACGGTATTTGTTTTGGTTATATCTATTTATTTATAGATTATTTACAACTTTATTTACAAAATTATAATGGCTTATATACTTCTAGGCTTAGGAGTTATAATTAGTTAACAAATTTTGCAAATAATTTATAGATAAGTAATGTTAACCAATAATATAACTGTATTTTTAAGAAAAAAAATTGGGCGCATTTAATCTTCTTCTTTTTTGTCGACAGGCGCATTTAATCTAAAGTAAGATCATTCTTTTAATTTTATGTACAGGTTATCAACTTGCAAAAATAATGTTATAGGCCGCAAGCCACTATTTTTTTTAATAGGGTTACATTTCTAGCATTGCTCTTTTAGAATTCTAATCGAACCCATTACACCCATATACAGTACTCCCTTAATCGTTTGAAGAAACAACTCAAAATATAGATAAGCCACAGAAACAACTCAAAATATAGGACCATCTACACAAAATAGTTAAGCCCAATATTAATGGGCTTATAAGCCTAAAAGAGTTAGCGACTAACGAATGCGGAGAGCCGTTGGATTTATTCAACCCGTTAATAAATGGTAACCATTTTGTAAATGTAACTCGATATTAATCAATTTTACGAGGTGTCTGACCAAAAAAAAGACAGTTTTACGAGGTGATGTGAATCAATTAAATATTGCAGTGATTACAGTAATCTTGGGAAGCTTCATTTTTTGACCAACGATTCGAAATGGGCTCCCTGTTTTTCTCTCTATAAATAGCCAATGTTCAATCACCAACCTTACCCATCCTCAAACCTCCAAATTCTTGAAACATATTAACAGGTGAAAAATGAGTGGAAAAAGCGGCAGCAGCGGTGGAGGAAAGAGCGGTGGTGGTGGTGGCGGTGGTGGAGGAGGAAAAAGCTCCGGCGGGGGAGGAGGAGGAGGAGGTTATATGGTAGCACCGTGGTCCAAAGGCGGTGCTTACATCTCAAGAGGTGGTTTTGAGAGTAACCCTCAAGGCTACTTTAGTAATCTGCATGGCAGTGGGCAAAGCAAGAAGTGATTTGTTTGTTTGATATTACAAGCAACATGAATCTTCTTATCTAATTAATAAAATGCAATTAAGTTTAATTATGTATTGAATAAATGAGATTGATATCTTTATAATCTGTGTTATTCCTTGTTAAGCTCGTTTGAATCTCGCCAGTCGTCATGAAATGTTTAATGGGCAATGAAAATAATTTAACACGGCGGGCCAACAAGTTAATATTGGTAATAATATGAACCAAATTAGTGCTTGGTTTAGTGGTTAAGACTTACATATTCAAAGATGGACATGAAATCGCATCTTCTTCAAATTTGTATTCCACTTAATCAATACACATGTGCTTGGTTACTTTCTGTCTTTAATGGGACGTTATAAATGGCCAAAAAGCTTCAAATTTCTCTGGGCTTAGAATATTAGTCTTGGATTATACCTTAAGTCTTAAGATGACTCCAGTCATCCAAAAAAAGAATTTATAATACAAATACAAACGCAGCATGTGATAGAATCATAACAAATTTTCTATAAAGATGACATAAATCTGCTTGGTTTCTCACTAAAACAAAATTTGCTCTTTTAGGTTCAGTATCTTTACACTAACGTTAAGTTTAATTATATAGATAACAACACAAATTCATCAAAAGTTATAAATTATAATGAATTCATTAAAAAAAATATAGTTTTGAAACTGAAACAGAAGAATCTTTTTATTTTTGTCAGAAAAAATTATTTTCTATTTATTTGTAGTAAATAATGTAAATATTATTATTTCATGTATTTACCTTTAAAAATAGCTTCCAAATTTACAAGTCAGCAATAGGGAGCCAACCATTTGAGATAAGCTGCTTTGGATCAGAAGAAGAAGAAGAAGGCGTTGCCCACGAGACCGTAAACACACGTGGCGGATATTCAGATTTTCTCCCTTTTTTCTTTTTCCCGGAAAAAAAGAGAATTTCTTGTTGGTTTAATTGAGAGGGAGAGATTGTTTGAGAGACGAAGGAAGAAGAAGAAGAGGGAAGAGGAGGAAATAAGAAAGATAGAACGATCGGGGTTTCTCTCACTAACCTAACCCACCAACTCTTTCGCGATTCTAGTGAGAGAAACTTGAATCTCTCTTGAAGAATAATAGAATCTAGGATTCGGACATGTCGAGCTCAGCCGCTTCGTTGTGTTGTTCATCAACCCAGGTCAATGGATTTGGTCTTAGGCCTCAAAGGTCGCTTCTTTACCAACCCAATTTGTTTACTTTCTCCAGGTAAATCATCAATTATCTGCTCTCTCTCTCTCTCTCTCTCTCTCTCTCTCTCTCTCTCTCTCTCTCTCTCTCTCTCAAGTCCCCAGAACAAAACTCCCTTCTTTTCTTCTAGGCTTGAATTTGATGATTGGAATTGAAAATCCAGTGAGACTGTATTGTATGCTTGAGTAAACATTGTCAGTTGCTGCAATAATATAGATGTTGATCTCGAGAGCTTCTGCTTGTGATTTTTCCTATAATAAGAATCAATTTTGCATTCACTGTTATCCTCAAGTCACACTTTGGTATGTGTAACCTTTTTTATTGCAGAAGGAAAACTCATGGTGTTGTGAAGGCCTCAGCTCGGGTTGATAAGTTCTCGAAAAGTGATATCATTGTTTCTCCCTCGATTCTCTCGGCTAATTTCGCCAAATTAGGCGAGCAGGTTTTTGTTGCTTGCTCTCCTTCTGAAAGTTACTTCCAAGGTTTCCTGTATAATGACTTCATTTACCCTTTTCTCGCTTCTTCCAGGTAAAAGCAGTGGAGCTGGCTGGCTGTGATTGGATCCATGTCGATGTGATGGATGGTCGTTTTGTTCCCAACATCACCATTGGACCTCTCGTGGTTGATGCTTTGCGCCCTGTTACAGATCTTCCGTTGGATGTTCATCTTGTAAAGCTTGCTCCTTTTTCTTCTCTCTCTCCATAAATCTGGTTTCTTGATGTTTCAAGTCACATTTTGATTTTAAGAATTTTTTTTAAAACCAGATGATAGTGGAACCGGATCAGAGAGTACCGGATTTTATCAAAGCAGGGGCAGATATAGTCAGTGTTCATTGTGAGCAGTCGTCGACCATCCATTTGCATCGCACCGTAAATCAAGTACTGTTATTTCTCCAGCTTCCACTTTCTTCAAATTTACTTCTGGTAAAGTATTCTTACAAAATAGCTTACCTTGTGTTGCGGCAATGCTGTCTAGATAAAAAGCTTAGGGGCTAAAGCTGGAGTTGTCCTAAACCCTGGAACCCCACTGAGTGCAATAGAATATGTCTTGGATGGTGAGTTTTCTGTCCCAACGTCTGCACTTGCTTTAGCTGAAGATGATTTAGATTCTTCTCATTGAGTCTCATTTGGTACTCGAAACAGTGGTGGATCTGGTCTTGATAATGTCAGTCAACCCTGGGTTTGGTGGACAGAGCTTTATCGAAAGCCAAGTAAAGAAAATCTCGGATCTGAGAAAAATGTGTGCAGAAAAGGTATCGATCCAGTAACTTCTCTCTGAGTTGAAAGCTTCTTCTCTTCTTAAAGCATTGTCTTGTATGTTTAGGGAGTAAACCCATGGATTGAAGTTGATGGTGGTGTCACTCCAAAGAATGCATACAAGGTGAAGCTCGAAAACTCTTCCGAGATTCATCTTTAACTCACATCTCACTGCTACAGAGATCTCTGGATCATGAATCTTTTTGTGAGTTTTAATAGGTTATTGAGGCTGGAGCAAATGCTCTAGTAGCTGGATCAGCTGTGTTTGGAGCTAAAGACTACGCAGAAGGTATTGACACGAAACCGTTATAATTCTGAGTTTAGCCAGAGGGACAATATTCTAACACTGGTTCTGCTTGTTTGTTTGTAAAATGTGCAGCTATAAAAGGAATCAAGAACAGCAAGAAGCCAGAAGCTGTGGCTGTGTAATGTGAAGCAACAAGCTAAAAGACTCTGTTAATCTTAGGTTGGTGATTTCGCCGTATCTGAATATCCATGTTAGTATCTAAATACTCTGCTTCCAATACACATATTTGAATCTCAAAAACGAAAATTCTTTGGGTTTTATCTATGTCCTTTGGTCTCTGAGTTGCAATATCTATCTATTTCAGGAAAAGCTAAAAATGTCAAAGACGACCACCAAGATGTTGTTTCCATTCACCAGATTACATTCGCCACAAAATCCACAAGAATCAAAACAGTTTCAAAGTAGATCATTTATTATACTCTTCTGTACCATTGTCTTGTAGATTGTGGATATGCAGATTTCATACATTTGCAATGAACCACTGTAATAAGAAATAAGCTGTTACATATGTATTTTTTACTGTGGGAAAGTAAAGTATTTTCATTCGTCTTTTGCCCAAAAGTCGGTACAATCAAGAAACTCGAACTCTCGGTATACAGTAATAATAACTTTGCTTGATCTTCTCTGTAAGCTTTATCCTTATATAATACAACAAAGAGCCTGAGATTAAACAAAAAAAAAAATCGCAAAGCTAGCACGATTAGTGAGATTTACTTGAGAGAGAAAAGAAGAGAGATTCAGGAATTGTTGTTAACTAGGTGATAGTTCCTAAACGACGCGAATTGGTCAAGAAAGAAGCTGATCTTAGATATCCATTCTCTTCGTAAAGCCTGCCTAGGAATTCATCCACCACAAGGTTTGGCAAGATTCCAGTTTTGATCATATCACAGTGCAACATCATTGTGTCAATAATACGCTTTTCTTGACGATGCCCCTTTAACATTGAAACATAACTCCACAAGTCCGGGTTTAGCTCGCCAGATCTCATGTCCGAGAAGAATCTGCTAGCTCTAAGAATGTAGCCGTTCTGACATAACCCTTGAATCAAACACGTAAAACCCACGTGATTCCAGCAGCTACTCTGACCAATTGATTTCCCGGTGGCCGCTCGTTCATTTTCCAGATAAAAAGCGATGGCATCAGAGACTCGCCCTTCTTTCCAGAATCCATCTACTAGGCAAGCGAACGTGTGATCATTTGGGTGGATTCCAGCATCTAGCATGTTACTGTATAGCCTGACTGCTTCGTTCTTGTTGGCCTCCTTGAAATGTGCATCGATCAAAGCTGTGTAAGTCACAACATCAGGAACTATACCTTTGATGGTCATTTCGGAGTACAAGCCCATTGCAGCTTTTATGTTTCTCACTTTGCAGTAACCGTCGATCAAAGTAGAAAAGGTTATGATGTTGGGTTCTATGCCACTTGCTGTCATCTCTGAGCACAAATCCAGAGCTTTCTCCATATTGTATTCTCTACAATAGCCATGAATCAGCGAATTGTAAGTCGCAGAGCTCGGAAAAATTCTCTCCTTCTTCATCCTCTGAAATAATCTGTCTGCTTCTGTTAGCCGATCTTCAGTACATAGCCCGTTAATAAGTATAGTATAAGTGAATACATCAGGCGAAAGATTAAAACTTTGCATCTCGGAACTCAGTGCCATTGCTTCCAACATGTTCCCTGATATGCACTGTCCATGAATTAGACAGTTGTAAACATATAAATTAGGATCAACCCCAAACTTGGCCATATGCACGAAAAGGCTCCTTGCAGCAACCAACTCGTGAGCTTTGCAAAAACCATCAACTAATGTGCCAAAAATAACAACGTTTGGCAGCAATTCAGCAACCAGAATCTCCTTATACAATGTGTAAGCTTGTCTCAGCTTACCGGTTTTGCAATACCCACCAATGATTGCACCGTACGTATACAAGTTTGGAATAACACCATGTTTCTTCATCAACTCGAACATTTTCTCCGCTTCTTCCATCTTATTTTCCCTACACAGATCTCGGATAAATATGGTGTAGATATAAACATTCGGCTTGATCCCTGAAGATGTCATTTCGTCAAGAAGTATCTCTTTCTTGGAGGAAAAACCTTGTTTTAAACAGCATTGAAACAAAACTGAGTAAATGTAGACATCAGGGGAAAGCCCACGGGAGATCATAAGTTTGTAATCAACCCAGACTGAATCAAACCTTTTCCTTCTAACTAATCCATTCAAAATCGCATGACAAGCTTTCGAATCGGGAGAACATCTCATCTCTCGACTCACCCAAAGAGCTTCTTCAAACCAGCCCATCTCCACAAGCTCCATAATCAGTAGACTAAACACCCCGATACAGAATTCCGGAGTTTGAATATCCTCGAGAGCATTGAAAACTCTATAAGAAACGTTAGTAGGCTTATTTTGGCGCCTGAGACTTTCTATGAGGCGTTTTATCAAACATCTGGCGACCGTAAACTTCTGGGCTCCGGTTAAAACGTGAATCAACGCCGAGAAAGATCGGAGATCGTTTATATTCGAGATCTTGAGTCTCGAAGACGTTTCGAACAGCCTGAGCGCTTCTTCCGCGGATCTGCATTTAAGTATTGCTTCGGCCAGACTCGAAGAAGACGACGACGACAAAGAAGGCAACGAAGATGCTGGATTTGAGGGAGAAGGAGCCTGAGATAACAATCTAAAGGCGAAAAATTGGAACTTGTAGAGGTAAGGTGATGTTCTATGCTGGAGAAGCAGAAGCTTCAACATCTGGAGCGGAGATGGTAACGAGTCCTCGAATTCGTTACTGCTGAGTTAACATACACTTTCCCACCTGGCTTCGTAATTGATACAATGCTCTCATCGGTTTATTCCTTTGGTTTATTCCTTTGGTTTATTCCTTTGGTTTATCAGACCATTCTGTTAAATTTTTAATTTAAATGACTGAAAGGGGAGTTCTGAAGAGTTGATTGGGTTCGTTGCAGATGATGACGTTAATTTTAAATACAGTACTCTAATTTTCATATCACCAGATTTTCAACAATAACAAAATCTTGAAATCAACTTAAGTAAAAATTAAAATTAATTAGAATATCATTAGTTTAAATGTTTAATAATGGGTTTAAAAGTAAAACAGTTTAAATTATAAACTCTGTGATTGGTATTTCTTTTTTTATTAATAAGACTGAATATCCTAGCTTTCTATGGTACGTTTTTGTTGTCCATTTTCAACTTGTCAAAAAGTCCCTAAAATTTTCTTCTAAATTTTATTGTTTGACCAGAAATATAGTTTCCCCTTTTATGAAAGTTGATACAGTGAAGGCTTGTTTTTATCATTTTCCTATTTTAGTTCGTTTCAAAGCATGTATTTTCTCTTCTTTTTTTTTAATTGTACTCTGTATTCTAATATAATTTTCCAATTTAGTTGATTTATCCCTAATATTTTAGATATTTAGAAAGATATTAGCCTAATTTTAATGTCATTTTTTACTTTAGCTAATTTTAGTGCCTAATCTTTCTTCTTCCAGATTCTCTGAACTTAAAACTGATAAACCTTTAGATTTTTTTTTTAAAAGAAAAACTTTACAAGTTGAACAGTGGAAAAACAAATAGTATATATATATATTCTTAGGACACCGACCGAGAAAGAGAACCCATTTCAAAAGCGGTCTTTGTCCAATTCGTTGGGCAAAGAAAGATAGCAAAACCCACCTTACTAAGTTTCCTCCGCATAAATCTCCGCTCAATTTACATTCCCAAATCCAAAAATTTCGATACTTTTCACAATTTCGGCTCAAAAATGGCTGGTCTAACTCCGGGTGAGGACCGGTTAGAGATTGCCTTTTTCGACGTCGAGACGACAATTCCGTTTCGACCTGGCCAAAAGTATGAGATTCTGGAGTTTGGATCGATCCTGGTTTGCCCCAAGAAGCTAGTGGAGCTTCGAAACTACTCATCCCTGGTTCGACCCGCCAATCTCAGCAACATCACGCCTAAATCGGTTAATTGCAACGGCATCAAGCAAGAGGACGTCAAGTCAGAACGTATGTTTGCAGATATAGCCGATGAAGTCTACGATATCCTCCAAGGTTACACCTTTCGTCTTTCTTCTTCCTTAAATCCTTTTTTTTTTTAATGAAATTTCGTCGCTTTTGTTTGGTATATGGTCCAGTGTGTTGATGTTTCTTGGGTTTGGGTTTGTAGGAAGGATATGGGCAGGTCACAACATATTGAGGTTTGATATTCCAAGGATAAGAGAAGCATTTGCAGAGATTGGACGAGAACCGCCAGAGCCAAAGGGCACTATTGATTCGTTGGTGTTGCTTACTCAAAAGTTTGGGAGGAGAGCTGGTGATATGAAGGTAACTATCAAATGGTTCTCTGGTTTTGACGACATATTATCGATCTGTGTATTTTGTATTTGATTGATGGAGATTAGCTCTTGATTTCCGATTTTGTTGGATGCTTATTCTGTTTTCTTGTGGGCTTTGTGTTTGGACAGATGGCGACATTGGCTGCATACTTTGGGCTTGGCAAGCAGACGCATAGGTATAAATAATAAATATGTGAGCTTTGCTATTATACGGTGTTTTCATAGGCCGCTTGAGTTCTCTAATGTTTTGTATCTCTTTAGGAGCCTTGACGATGTCAGGATGAATTTCGAGGTTCTCAAGTACTGTGCCACTGTTTTGCTCTTGGTATGGTCTCTTTATCTCTTCGAAATGGATTATAAATTAATAATGTAACAACGAGGAGCTAACTCAGAAGCATGCTATGTTTCAACAGGAGTCAAGCCTGCCTGATGAACTTGTAGAGAACTCGGTTACTACGCCAGAGACAAGTTCAAGAAGGCGTAGGAGTATCAAAACATCTCCTCTGCAATCTCCGGTTGATCAGCAGACACGGGAGAACACTCCGGCTATACCTATTCTATCGTTCGTTTCACCTGTAGAACCTCAAACGGATCCGTTTGATATGAGCACTTTAAGGAACGAGATAGCCCCCGAGATACTTGCCATAAAAGAAGAACAAAATCAGCCATCATCTGAGGCTGTTGCCTCTGAAGGAACCAATGACCAGGAAGGATTCTTGAGGCCTGGAGATATATCTATTCCAAGCATCAAAGCAGTTCATGTCCCGCTTTATCAGGGGAGTCAAAGAATGAAGCTTCAGCTTTTCCTTGGGGATAGACCTCTTCAGCTCCATTGTCCTCGTCTAGTAGTACGGTTCGGAATCAATGGGAAATTTCTGGATAACTCTGGGAGAAGGAAGTTGAACTTTTTAATTGATGTGAATCCAAGTCTCTGCGACGTATTGGAAAAATGTGACAGTGCTGCAAAGGCAGTATCTACTGATTCAGGAAGCGGTTCTGACTGGTTCCCAGTGATCATTCCAATGAAGGGGTTACTGAACCCTCCTACCGCAAGAATACAGTAAGTTATTGCCTATATATCTCCTTTTGCCAAGTTTCATTTGACGAACCATGTGTGCTTACTTGTTCCTGATTGTTGGTGCAGTATACCGACAGGATTAAATGGAGATGCAGACCGGTATGCAGCTGAGATACACCAGAGAGACTTCTCTGGAACTAGTACTACTCAGAAACTCATCTCAAGGAACCCAACCGCTGAGGAGCTTGAGCCTTTGGTTACTTCAAGAACTGTTCTCGGCGCTTTTTTGTCTATTGAGCCATATGATTATCAGCAGAGAGCTGGAATCCGTCTAATCGCTAAAAAGCTGGTTATACATTCGTTTACTCAATAGCACCAGGGAGTGTAAAGAAATATGAGTCTAGTAAACTGTAGTTTTATTTTATTCAGTTCATAATAAGAGTATAAGACCAACACAGAACTGCTGTTCCTGACAGTAGAAATATTAGGTGACTCTGTATTCAGTTTCAAATTAATTGTAATTCAGATTTAGATTCTTCGTACGCACTTGGTTCCTTATCTGGAACAGGATTGCATCTGCAACCTTGTGCCCATCCGAGTAAAGAGAGAAATTTAACTTATGGAACACATGCCTCTCTTTTTATATCTCTTAAAAGAGGTAAGGTAACAAAGGAAAAACAAGATTCAAGGAAATGATGCTGGAAGGGAAAGACGGGTTTCTACATGTACTCAAGAGAATGTGACTGAACATGATCAAAAACACATTTTATGTTTAACAACGAACTAAGCCACACCCACAGAGTAATTTTCAATGCTCTGCTCAACCTGAGAGCGACAAGAGCCATCATTTCCTTTGAGAGTACTCGATATCCAGTGTTTTTGGCTGTAGCAGCATCATTCTTTCTGAGTCAGTCGATCATCTTGTGTTGTTTGATATGATGCAAGCAAAGCCATATAACATGGTTTCAGCTCTTGATGTTTGTTAAGTTCCCAGAGCTTCATCCTGAGGAGATGAGTCCCGATTCTCCTCCTCTTCTTCTTCTTCCTCCTCTTCCTCGTCATCATAGTCAGCAGAGTCAGGCTGCCCGTTTAAGTCAACATTTACGCCGTTCATTTTCCTAACAAACTGACCCTTAACACGCGGTCTCCTCTCAGCAAGGCGCTTTCTATTCACATACCTAATCTTCTTATCAAAACACCTTTGTTTCCTTTTACGTCTAAATTTGAGCAAAGCTTCCTCTCTTCTGTCAAGTTTATTCACCCTCACCTCGTTAGAAGACGGATTTCCTACTGGTGACCAAGAATGCTGAACCATAGACATCTGACTGTGCTGTACCGATGTGTTCATTGGGTGGTGGTAATAAGGAAATCCTGTCATTCCACTAACATGATTAGGTGGGCAAGGAGGAAGTTGATGACCATACTGAGGCACCATGGCTGCTGATTGCATCATAACTTGGTTCATGACCCCATGCATATAGTAAGGATAGGCATTTTGTGCAGGGAAACCCGAAGCATCAACTTGAGATGAATCCTTACTTCTGTTCATAGCAAACCGGGCAGGATTCATATTTCCTTCTTGGTAACTCCTCCCATGAAGTTCCATCGATGTGGGAAGCGTACGAGACCGCTCAATGGAATTTGGATAGCTGGCACCATTGTGTAAGTTCTCTCCTTGAGAATAGTTTTTCTCGGTCTCTTTACCTTGGCGTGCTTGTTTGGTGTTGTTGATCCCATCACTGGCCACCAGGCCCACCACTTGAAGCTTCTCCGAGATACTCCGAGGAAGATGAAGTGAGCCATTTCCATTGACATGGGGAGGATCCTGACAGTTGGTTCCATGGACAGTAGACTTGACATAAGTGAAGAAAGCGGAGGACTCTCCAATCTTCAATCTACTTTTCTTTGGCGCTGAAAAAAATTGCGCTGCAAAAATGTCCTCGCTCAATCAGAATTCACAGAAACATAGCTCAACATTTATAGAGACTAGCTATTAGAAAGTGATACATCAAAGAGACGCAATCACCTGGATTACTATTTCTTTTGACTGGTTCATGGTGAGACCCAGCAAGATGACTCGATGGAGGCTCTATAGCAGGAGTAGAAGTGGCTGTGCCATCAGAACCAAGACCACCATCACCAGCAAGAACAGGAGCAGTAGCAACAGACCACTACCAGCAAAAGCATGAGCGCAAACTACAAAATCAGTTCTTCTCCTTTTTCAAAGGACTTTAAACTTTCATATACTGTCTCACCTCATTTTCTTGGTGGCTTAATGTTCCTCTCTGCGGGTTGGTGGACCTAATACTTTTGTCATCTGTGTCATCAGAGAACAGGGTGGTACTATTTGTGTTTGGATCACTTGGATCAGATCCCGCGAGATCAAAATCATAACTCAACATATTCTTCTCAGCAAGTCCTAGCTGTCAAAACAAACACATACGATCAACCGCATAAGAAACATGACAGATATAGCTATCAAGAAATGCTCCTAAAAAAGTTAGCCGCATAGAAAGAACTTCAGATAGCAAAACAAACCATGCGTCTTCTTCTCCACATATGTGTCCACAAGTTCAGAAGCTCGTTTGTCCGAAGAGGCTTCACAAGGTAGTCGGCTGCGCCTAACTTCAAGCACTTGACCACAACAGGGACCTCGTCTTGCCTCGACATCACTTAAATTGGAGAATATTAAAAGATTAGTTAGCATAAAGCAAAATGATCATGCTCCCAAAACAAACATTGATAAGCAAAGAAAGTACAATTTTTAGAGCTCCACGACTGGATAATGAAAAGAAAAGGAACAGCAAAGAACACAGCTTACTTATCACAGGGATTCTCCGAAGATCTTTGTCTCGTGTGATGTACCTCAGCATCTTCATACCCTTGGCCATTGGGAGATCAATTTCTGCCAGTATTATATCGATATCAGGTCCCTCTGCATTAAGTGCATCAATCACCTGCCTTGCCGATTTTACCGAAGTCACTGCATTCCAAATATATATCAAAAACTATTAAAAGAAACAACGGATACACTATAAGGAGAAAAACTCAAATCTATAGAGCTCCAGTAGTCCCAATATGACAACATAAACAAAGTAAAAAGAGGATCTTTTGACAACAACAACAAGTTTACCAAAAAAAAACGAAGCAATTAGTTATAAATCATACCCTGATAAGAACACTCGGAGAGAAGAGTGAAAACTTCATCCAAGCTATTGGAATCATTGTCACAAAGCAAAATCCTGACTCTGCTTCTGTCAATGAACCCATCTCCTCCCTTACACTCGCCGTTCAAATCCATGATCAGATTTACAGATAAAACCCACAAAAACTATAATCACAGAAACTAATCTCCCCTAACAAAACCAGAAAAAAAAAATTTATACAAAATTACAACAAATAAAACCGACAATAGAAAGTCTATGACACTTCCATGACCAAATCAGAACTAGGGTTTCGGCACAGTGTCCCTACAAAGTCGCCTAATTTGTCTCTTCAAAGTCACTTAATTTCACAACAAAACAAACTTTACTCTCTTAGTTCCCCAACCTAATCGTTTATCCATGGAAACGTAAGAAAAAGAAGAAAAAAAGCTAAATCTAAAGAACGAAGAGATGAAAAGACATAAAAAAGAAAAAAAGTGGAATTTTTTTTCCGGGAAAGTATTGAAATCAAGAATCGATAGGAGCTCAAAAAGAATCACCGGAGATCCGGCGTAACGCCGGCGGTGAGATGAGGGAGGAAGGGGAGTTTCCGACAAGAAGAGTGAGAGAGAGGCTCATTGTTTTTTTGTCAATCAATAGTCAAATTATGAGATGCGAAAAGAGGAAATGGTAATCTGAGACGTTGAAAGAGGAGAAAAGGGACGGTGGAGATTGGAAGTTTCTTCGAGAGTGCGCGTTGCGCTAATGGTGGTGGGACTCGGGGGATATTTTAGGCGAAGAAGATGACGTGGAAGAAAAAAGTGCAGAGAAAAAATGAAGAAAAGTGGTGTGGATAGTTCGGTAGAGATAGAGAAAAGGCCACGTCATCTTTCGAAAAATATCTTTTGATATTTTTATGGTGGATACAGCAGATAAGATGCATTCTCGATATCAAAATCAATAATCATATTGACAGAAATTTTGATTAAAAAAAAAAACAAATCTATGACCCAACCAAATATAGGCAATACCAAACTTTAGGATGGTTTTCCATTTCGGCTTCGTTTAATCAAATTATATTAGGAATAACAGACAAAACAAATATTTATATATACACTAGTTTAGGCCTATATTTTTATTTTCTTAGTACTGATTTACAAAAACTAATGCATATGATAGACCCAAAAATGGCTACTCTTTGCAATAGAACTTAGTTGATTTGAAAATCTTCGTAATTTTTGAAGCCAAATTTATAATAAGCGAGCATAATTTTTTTGGTAAGGAAAGTGGATGTCCAAAAGATCGTATGCATTTTAGTTTTTATTATCACACTTTTTTTTCGACATCCATTTTATTATCACACTGTTTAGACATCAAATTCATCTTATGTGGATTTATTTATTAATGAATGTTATTTTTGTAATAAAAACAATCATAATGTCAAAAATATATATAAAAATGTAAATTCATCAGTGGTTGGGGAAACAATAATTTACTTGTCATAATCATAACAATAGTTAATAAGTAGGGTAAACTAACTTTTATAGTAAGTAAGACGACATGCTATAGTATTTTTGTATTCTATATAGACGCGAATCTGGTTGGCCCAAGTGTACCAATAAGGCATAAAAATTGTATAATATATCAAATAATATTCATCGGAGGACACGTCTCGCCCCCGACCAACTTTCATTACGTTTTGCCATCGGCCATTGACTAATTAGATTGTGTACAGCTTGCGAAGATGATTAAAGAAGATGAATGATTGGCTATCTTTCTAATCAGAGATGAGTTTCATCGGTTAAGACTTAAAGATCGGTTAAGACTTAAAGAGTAAACTTAATTAATTTTTCGATTTCCCATAATTATGTATGTGTCGACTGCTTTGCTAAAAGGTGCTCGAACACGAGAGATTTTTTTTTTATGTGAGCTTTATGATTTTCAGGTTGCACTTACGAGGCTAACCGTAGTAAAATGTGGAGATTTTGCTATATAAAATAACAGTAAAAATTAAGATATATATTTATTAGATTGCGACAAAAAAAAAATATTTATGAGATTCGATTTTCCATAAGAAAATTTATTTATCATGTATCGCTGGGCCTATCACGGGTTGAACAAAAAAAAATGTATCGCTGGGCCTCAGGATAATAAACCCGGTCAGAATTTGATTTAGAACCGTCCTCTCCCGGTTTTTGGTTTTATCCGGTCATATTTACGGTTCAATTTTGTACGTTGAAACTTTGAAGATTGATGAACTATAGAAAGACTAAAATGTCCCCTCTTTACGCGGGCGCTGTAACAGCTAATATGAGGTGTATATATATTGTGTGTGACAGAGTGTTCTGCAAAATCAAGTCTTTTGGTAGAATCTGATTTTCTTCTTCTTTAGAGAATTTATAGCGAAGCATTAATTTTCGCTTAGATTCATGCAACTCCGGAGAGCATTCAGTAACCCTTTCGATGGTTAATCATCTCTGGTAACTTCAGGAGAGTTAGTGCACACCAACTGTTTGATGAAATTCTTCAGAGAAGATGCTTCCCATAGTCAGATCAAACGGTTTTGCGTTTTTAACATATGCTACAAAATTTTCGCGCCATTTATGCTCACATCACTTGGTAGATCAATCGGACCATGCATCGATGGAGTTGCATGAAGTTATTCGGATTGTTTCTTCCCCCATCGGTGGTCTGGATGACCTTGAAGAAAGCTTGAACCAGGTTTCGGTTTCTCCATCATCCAAACTTGTTCACAAAGTGATTGATTCCTGTAAGGATGAGACTTCACCGAGAAGGCTGCTGAGATTTTTCTCCTGGTCTTGTAAAAACCTGGGATCTTGTTTAGAGGACAAGACATTCAACCATGTACTAAGAGTTTTGGCTGAGAAGAAGGATCATACAGCTATTCAGATACTCTTATCAGATCTCAGGAAGCAGAATCGGGCCATGGATAAGCAAACGTTTAGCCTCGTGGCCGAAACTCTGGTTAAGATTGGTAGGGAAGAAGATGCTATAGGAATCTTTAAGATCTTGGACAAGTTTTCGTGCCAACAAGATAGTTTCACTGTGACAGCTATTATAAGTGCGCTCTGTTCCAGAGGACATGTGAAGAGAGCATTGGGAGTTATGCATCATCACAAGGCTCTAATATCCGGGAATGAATTGTCTGTGTACAGAAGTCTTTTGTTCGGTTGGTCGGTCCAAAGAAACGTGAAGGAAGCAAGAAGAGTTATACAGGATATGAAATCATCCAGGATTACACCAGATTTGTTCTGTTACAACACAATGCTTACCTGCCTCTGCGAAAGAAACGTTAATCGAAACCCGTCTGGGCTTGTTCCTGAAGCTTTGAACATTATGTTGGAGATGAGGTCTTACAAAATCCAACCTACTTGTATTAGTTACAACATATTGCTTTCTTGTTTGGCAAGGACGAGGAGGGTTAAAGAGTCTTGCCAGATTCTAGAACAGATGAAGAAATCGGGATGTGATCCCGATACAGCGAGCTATTACTTCGTCGTGAGGGTTCTGTATTTGACAGGAAGGTTTGGTAAAGGCAACCAAACGGTGGATGAGATGATCGAGAGAGGACTGAGACCTGAACGCAGATTCTATTATGATCTGATTGGAGTTCTTTGTGGGGTCAAACGGGTAAACTTTGCGCTTCAGTTGTTTGCTAAGATGAAGAGAAGCAGTGTGGGTGGTTATGGTCCGGTTTATGATCTGCTCATACCCAAACTATGTAAAGGAGGAGACTTTGAGAAAGGAAGAGAGCTTTGGGAAGAAGCAATGTCACTTGATGTCACGCTTAGTTGCTCTGTCGATTTACTTGATCCTTCTCTCACAGAGGTTTTCAAGCCGATGAAGAAGAAGAAAGAAGAGGCTGCCATGGTAGATCGTCGTGCACTCAACTTAAAGATCCATGCTAAGATGAACAAACCAAAGCCAAAACTGAAACCAAAACGGAAAAGCAGGAGCAAGACGAAGAAGAATCAGCAGGGCTGATTTCTTCTAACCATGTTTAGAACATCTGATGTAGCAGCTTTTTATAAATTAACAATGCAGAAGCAATGAGTAGATTGTAGATTTTGTTGTTATTCACTTGTCACAATACGACAACAATTTCAGCAATTTTTGAACTGATGTGTTCTCTTTGTTTCGTTGATTCTTATTCTTGAAAAAAGTTTGGCTTTTCTAACAGTTTTGAGCTACTCAGAAGGAGAGACCCTAACAAAAAAAAAAAAAAGTAAATAAACAATATAAAAAAAATTTGTAATCAATTCAAATGTTTTTTCTTTACAAGTAACTCGAGCAGTGTGATGCAAGAGTTGAGCTATTCTCTGCATAAAACACAAATCAAATTGTTAGAAATGAGAGATGACATATGTAACTATTCGTGTCTTGTTGACATTTCTTTGAACACTGAAGCAAAAACAAAACAGAAGACAAACCTTATCTTTCTCGGTATGTCTAAGATAAGCTGCGGTTTCTCTTTGAAATTATTCATTTGTTTGATGATGGTTGCGTGCTTTGTTTGTACACTTTTCATACTATTGATTCTCTAAAAACATATTTAAAAGCAAAGTAAAAAATATATAATACATTCATCGGTAATTTTGCCTCTCAAAATTTTTTTTTGATTCTGCCATTTAATCTAATCCAAGTGTCTGATTATCTATTATTCGCAATATGGGGTCTTCAATTTTCACCATTTGGTCGATTTAAGGTCAATTTGCATCGCCAAGGATTGTTCCTCTAGCCAATTAGCCGAGCCTCTATATTCTTAGTTACAATCTTTTACTATTTACTTTAGAAATCTGCCTTCAATAAATTGTTATTTGCTTACCAAATTAAATTTACAATTAACTTGTATTCAATTTTTAATTTAATAAATCTATTTTGATGAATAGGAATTTCAATATGTTAATTCCATTTTTCTTGTATTGTCAATACTTTTCTACACTATCCCAAATTTCATGTGAAAAAATGTATTTTGGTGGGAAAAAAAACAAAAAACTACTAAATGCATTATCATCAAACAAAATATAGAAAGAAAAACGAAATCAAAGTATACACAACATAATCTACAAGGAAAGACAACCGAATGTCTTTTGAAAACGATCACAAATAAATAAAAAATCTCATGTCCTTTTCGAATCCAAGGAAAGAGATAAAATGAAACTGCAGTTAAGAAAGAAAAAAACAAAACGAACCAAAAGGCTTTTCTAAAATCCTAAATCTTTATGAAAGCCAAACTAAACATGAAAAGAAAAAAAACAAGCAAAGTTTCACATCGGAAACCGCTGATGTCACGGCAATGGACGCGGCAGAATCTGCATCTCCTCGCCGGAAAATTCGAGTTGAATATTCATTGTAGTCTTATCCTCCGACAAATCAACTTGAGCTGATGCTTCTTGAAGTTGCAAAGCATACTCAAGATTCCACAACACATCTCCCATTCCAGGCCTATCAACACCGTACTCGGCTAAACATTTCTCTGCAGCTTCCACGAATTTCCTCAACGATCCTTTACTGATCGTTCCCACAATTTTCGGGTCAATGATTTTCTCCAAGTTACCTTTTCTATGCAAATTCATAGCGTACTCTGCCAAATTAACTTGTTCTCTAGGCAACTGTGGGTTTATCACTGGCCTCGCGCAAAGAACCTCGAATAACACCACACCGAATGAGTATACATCGGATTTATCCGTGAGTTGCTGTCTTCGAAAGTACTCGGGGTCTAAATACCCGAAACTACCCTTCACCGCAGTACTTACATGCCCTTGTTCCATAGGGGCATCTTTGGAGAGTCCAAAGTCGGAAACTTTAGCGAGTAGGTTCTCGTCCAAGAGAATGTTAGTGGTTTTGACGTCGCGGTGAATGATCCCCTGCGCCGCACCTGTGTGGAGATAGTGGAGCCCTCGCGCTGATCCAATGCAGATCTCTAGACGTTGCTTCCACGACAAGGTAGGTATAGGGTTAGGATCATTTTCCTTGGAGCCGTATAAATGGTCTCGTAGTGGACCGTTTGACATGTACTCGTAGACGAGAATCATCTCTTGGTTTTCGTCGCAGAATCCAATGAGAGACACCAAATGTCTGTGTCTGAGTTTGGACAGCATCTGAATCTCCGTCTGAAACTCGTTGATTCCTTGCTCTGAACTCTGATTCCCTCTTTTGATCGCGACTTGCGTCCCACCGTCGATCTCTCCAATATAAACTTTCCCGAATCCTCCAACACCAATCACGGATTTCTCGTCGAAATTCTGAGTCGCGATCTGCAATTCGGTAAAGGCGAAATAGCGGCCTAATCCCTGGTTCGAGAAGAAGCTAGAGAATCCATTGCTTTTGCTTTTCCTCGACCCGAAAATACTCATGCGTCTCGATGTTGACCCGCTTTTGCTAGAGATGTAACTCGAGTGACTTGCGTGCAAAGGAAGCAACCAAGAAGAGAAACTATTCTGTTTTTGCCAGTCTTTAGGACGTCTCTGCCATCTAACAAGCAACACGACAACCCCGAAGAAAGCGGTTAGGCCCATCACGAATCCAATACCTGCGATCGCAAGCTTCTTTGACGACATCCCACCACTTGGGCCTTTGTATTTCCCGTCAACACCAAAAAGCCCATCTAAACTCTCGGCTGCGTTGTGCAGCTTCATGATCTCTAAACCGTTGAGAATCGCATTCGGTTTACCCGACTGAAGATTCGGTGTCGGACCGACTTGAACCAGTATCGAGCCGTTGGTGATAGCAGAGGCATTGAGCACGAAGTCCGTGTAGTAAGCTGTGCCTAGAGCGGTAGTTTTGGCAGAGAGATCGAGTCCGGAGATTGCAGAGAGCTTGTTGATGAACACATTGAAGACAAGCTCGTTTAGCGATTTGCTTACAATGTCACAGAAATGAAGCCTGATGAAGTAATCATGACCAGAGTCAACGCTCATTCTCCAAGAGAGGTTGAAATTCGGTTCGCTGGTTTGCGCATCGGCCATTTCTGCCGCCGTCGCGTAAACCGGATGAGGAGCGATGAGCGTGGTGGCTCCGCCTTCTGGGTAAGTAATCGTTTTGGGATCGACGGTGACATTTCGAGAACCTTCCGGGAACGAATTGTAGGGTTTATCGGAGGCCCAGAATCGAGAGAGGTGATCGATTTTAGGTGAAATTAAACCGCCTCCGATGTTTAACCGGTGAGAGATTTGAAGAGAGAAGCTGCTTAATCCCTTGAAATCAGGAGCTTGAGGAACAGAGGCAGCCGAATCGGGGATAAGCTCGTCGGGAACGGAGACGATCTCGACGGCGTTGATGAAAGCGACGGAGCCTTTGTGTGGTTTGAAATAGAGAGAGAGTTTCTCGGAGGCGTAGATTAGGTATTCCTTGAAGACGATGGAGGAGGAGTCTCTGGCGGAGAAGTCGTGTAAGAGGACGGTGGTGTCGGTGGTGACGGAGAAGACGGAATCGGTGAGATTGTAGAGAGGATGAGGGAGAGGGTAAAAATGGAGGCGGATCCAGTGGCGGCCGGGTCGGGAAATGTAGAAGGAGTAAGTTGATTTTCCGGCGAAGATTCGGGCGGATAAGTATAAGGGGAGGGAATTGGAGTCGGAGATAGGGATTGAGTCGACGGAGGTTTTGATTTCTTCTTCGGTTTGGAGGAAAGAGACGGATTGTTGATCGGATTTGAAATTCCGGCCGTCGGGGAGTTTAGTTTCCCGGGAGGAGCCGCAATCGATGAGGTAATTATCGGCCGGAGAGAAAGAGGAATTGGATTGGACGGCGAAGAAGGGAACAAAGAGGAGGAGGAGGAAGAAGAGGGAAACTTGGGAGGAGAAATGACGAAAATCTCCTCCCATTTTATTCGGCGAGGATTTGACGGTGGTGGTGGAGGAGGAGGAGGATGAGAGAATGAGAGGTTTAGCATGTAAGTGAATATAAACGAATGGTTTAAAATTTTGAACCAAAAATACTTTACAACGATTTATGAAATTCTTGCCGCCGGAGAGACGATATAATTTTTCTTTTTATATTTTTATATTTTATAATTTAAATCTGTTTGAAATTAATGTTTTTTGTTTTGTTGGAAGCACGTAAGGAATCAACGTGCAAAGATGTATGTAATTTTCATTTATTTTTTTTGTTAATTGAAGGAAGTTTCGAGTCAAAAGCTTGATTTTTTTAGTTGGGATAAGTTTCTTTGAGTTTACTATTACAAACAAAACCTGAGGAACCAAATTAGTAGGCAGTTTAAGAAACTCAAACAAAGTTTATCCGCTGCAGATGATAACTACTATTTTTTTCAGTGGTCAAATATTTTTGTTTTGGTTCTAAATTAGTGAAAGTCGTCATGTTCTTTACCCAAAAAAAAATAAGAGAGTCAAGTTTAGCTATTTTTGGTTTAAGATTTGAGAAATATTACAGACTACGGTTGATGTTCGAACATCTACTCATATACTGGAAGCTCACATTTCTAAATAGAAATATATTAAACTGCTCACACAGGCTTGAGATTTATCTGTGAATTCTTCTTACTCACACACATGCAGCAAAATTAGAATTTTTCTACATCTACTTTTTCATTTCCAAAATAATAGATATCACTGATATGATCCATGTAATTAGTTGTATGCGATATTTTTATCGAACAACCTTACGAAACCTACAAATTTCTTGTTCATGTTAAAACCAAACTGATTCCGCAAAGTGGTTTTTCTTGTTTAGACCAATGTTACACAAATATGCCGGGTTTTATGAGTCTTGTATTTGTTTCATCAGTTTTCCTTAGCTGTTGAGTGTTGAGTTGGGCATTGGGCTCAAATGATATTTTTGAGTCGGGCCTGTACAATCTTACACAGACGTTAAGATCCACCAAAATCGAAATACAAGTTATTACTTTATTTCCAAAAAATGTTAACAGATACATGGATAAATTGGATATATAGTAGAGTTTTTCAATTTTTGCATAGTCTTTGGCCCAATTATCCGGCTTAGTTTTGTATCATAATAAAGTTTAAGATTATATAGCATATATAATGTACCCACCCAGGTATATATGTATGTGCCAGCCATGCAGTATTATTTTTGTTTAGTAGTGTTTGTTCGTCTCCTAATATTCGAAAATTATTTCAAATATAGCTCAATTACTAGTACGACTTGTTCGTCTTTTAGTATATATTACCAAGTCAACTTAACTTTGGATATACTCTAGATTAATTCAATTATACAATAAATCATATGTATAGTGATTTATCACTTAATTAGCCACAGCTTTACAGATCAGAAGTAAATAATCCAGCCGTATTTGCACGTGGTTTTTTGTTTCTAACGTCTGTCATTCGAGTTAATTATAAACAAGTACTCGTACTCGTATTGGTTCTATTTTGAATTTTTTGATACATCAAAGAAATATATTCTACGTCAAGAAATGAGACGAATAACGGTTTTAGTAGTAATTAAGATTATAGATTATATTTGTCTTATTATGTATCCTTCAATTTATACTATTCAGAGTTATAAATGTATTACTGATTACAAAATCTGTACATACACAAATGTATAATTGATTAGGTAGACTACATGTCACCATATTCTGGATTGGTTGATGAAACAACACTATCCAAAATCGCGTTTAAACAATGATTGATTTGTTCTTCAAATTATATGTCGTAATAATGATGTTGGTGATGGTATGGAAAGAAAAATCCAAATTATTTTATAAGATTCTTAGTTTAATCGATATACATTAAATGTACATTGGTTGCGGTTGTGATGTAAACTTAAACTATTGAAGGAATATAATTGTTTTTAAAAGTTTCTCGTTACAAAACAAAACCTCTCATAAGTTTAAACTCGAGATTTTAACATAAAAAGTTTAAAACTCTAGAATATATATAATTCCGGTTAATAGCAATTGAATAAAACGAACAACTAAACCAATAGCAAAGGTGTGACCGTGTGAGGAATGTTGACTTTAGATTGGTGGTAGCATATTGACCATTCTAGTTTTTGGAGGTCCTTCTAATCCTACCGTACCAAAGGCTGAAGTTTTCGGAAGTATTTCCTTTATGACAAAATAATTTACAATAGAATATCTCTGATTTTGTAATTAAAATTGTAAGTGATGCTGCATTTGGAGGAAATTCACAATTGTGCTCTTTTAGACAATTGTCCATTTACTTTTACGAATGAGGTAGAACATATTTATTTAGTTTTAATTCGAAGACTTTTATTCTTTTGAAAAGAGCCGTATAAATACAAAATGTTTAAAATAATAATATTACTTAAAAATAATAAAATAATATTAATTGCATATTTAAATGGGTAGTATTAAGAAAGAGGCATGTCAACAAGAAGGCTTCATATTGGTAATTCACCTAACCATAGTGTTGGTTAGATATTCGGTTGTACTAAACTCAGTAACACCAACACCACAAACCTTTTTGTGAGATTTGACCATAGTAATCTAATTAATTATTATCAATTTAAAGAAATATAACCTTCAAAGAAAAATTAATTGATTGTGATATCTAACCCCGCCATTTGTTTTAAGACATAGGTTGTTCTCAAAGGATAAATAAGTATAGGCTTTGTTATAAATTCACAAATAGAAGTTTCAATTTCTCTAATAAAAATCATGAATCATTGTATCTTCATTAGCAATTACTATTCGAGATATATAAATACAAAATTCTTACACATTTCGTAAATTTTTTGACAATTCAATTGATGTTACTAACTGAAAAAAAATTACTGAAAATAATTTAACTATCATAATAGATTCTGTCATTCTGACTATTAATATAATAACCAAGTATATTTTTTGATCATTGCATAATTCATACTGTATTATAGACAAACTAAATTAGTATGTAATTTTCAGAATAAAAACATATAAAAACGTATGGAATGTCTACGTTCTAGGTTATTGTTTACAAATATTTGTGGTCCACTTCTTGTTGGAGTAGCTTAGAATCAAACATTATAGCTGACTTTCGAAATGATTTAATTCCAATTTCAAGTAGACTACTTAATAGTTAATACCAACAAGTATAATATATAGTACTCCATTTATCTTAGCAAATGTTTTTGAGTATTCTTTCTCCATGGACTCTGTAGTTTTTTATACATAAAAGCAAGAAAATGAGTTACCTGTTACACGTTAAAATTCGTGTTACTCTTTTAGATATGAAATTAAATCTGCAAATTTCCAGGTGTATTTTCTCGTTTAACTTGTTCTTCGTCTAATGGAAATCAGAAATGATGGATCACGCCTAAATTATTACGATATGCCATTAATAAAAAAATAATCGAGAGTGGTATAATAATACGGAACGATATATATAATTATATAAAGATACTAATAAAATTCAAACAAGCAAATGGAGAGCTCCCTAACCACCAAGTCCAAGTCAATAAGACCGCACACCAAATGCATGCCACAGGTTGGACAAAGTTTGATCATTTCTCACTTCTCTTGAACTCTATACATTTTTTTTTCTTGATTATTGTTTTGTAACAAGAACACGATTGTTAAGTAATATATATGGATAAAATAAAGTTATTTATAGTTCAATTTATAATTATAGATCAGATTATGTAGGCTATACTTTTTACTTTTCACTAAAGATAAATTTAGTAGGTTTCGGTAACTTAGATATGATCAAGTGGCCTCAAGCCAAGTTAGAAAAGTTTGGAAATTCCTCACTCAAAAATCATTTTAAGCTGTTTACATTATGAGGAAAGCATAAGAGCACCATGGTTTTTTCAGTTATAATTTGGTTATTTTAAAAAGTTACTTTACTCTTTTAAGGTCTTATCGTTATTCAATTTCTTGAAAGCTAAGCCTTCCAGTTTCCTCAAACCTATAATAATTAAGCTTTCAATTGAATACTAATACATAGACTCTCTCTTCCACAATTTAATACTATATCAACACACACACATTGCATATAATATGTACATCTAATGTATATGTATTTATGCAATGAGTGTATTGTAAGCATCTAAATCCAATTAAAGCACTAAGCATATCACACAAGGAAACGACTTTTCAAGAAATATGTATCAAAAATCAAACCCAAATATTAATTTTATTTCTCCTAACAAGCAACAACATTACCCAAGAAACAAATCTACGTTATACCCAATTAAACCCTAACAAGGAAACGTTATACATATTTTTAAATTATATTCTACTCACAATAAATATCATTTTCATGCAAAAAAGCATCGCTCTTTTTTTTTTTTGTTGCTTTACAAGAAAAAAGAAAGTTTAATTTTACAAATTTGTCTAAACAACTCCTCAGCGTCAGGCAAAATCGGTTGGCCTATCTCTGTTCCCTCCTCTAACACCCAACCCACAATTAATTTAGCAAAAAATTATATATAATATCATTACAAATTTATACACATATATACATATACATATATATAGATGACCCTCGTTGAGAAACCCCTTTCACAATTTGGTGGATCATTCAAGAAACACACATCTTCAAAGAAAAATAGCAAAATTAGAATGAAGAAGATAATGGAAGATCCAAGCAAGATTATGAGAAGATCAATCCACACTTTCCTCCAAAACTACCACCGTGCCACCACCGCAGCCGCCGTCGTCCTCCCTTTTTCCGCCGCTCTCCTCCTCTCTCAGCCCTTCTTCTCTTCTTCGTCTTCCTCCCTTCACGCGAGGCTAAACACGCTCTTCCGTGGAGCGGGTTTCTCTTCTTCTCTTGATTTCTTCAATATTCTAAGCCTTAAACTCTCACAGACCCTTTCTTCCTCTTTATTCACTCTCCCTTTCTCCCTCACTTTCTTCCTCTTCTCCAAAGCTTACGTCATCAGACTTCTTTCAAACAAACATGACTCTGAAGATTCCTCTGTTTATTACCTTCGTCTTCTCAGAACTTACATTTGTAACTCTTTCTTCCTTATCTCTGCAAACGCCTCTGCTTTTGCTCTGTTTTTCTTAGCATTCAATGTACTAGAATCCTTTGGGTTTTATTCTAGAAACTTCTACACTCTGTTCTCCCTATCCTCAGCGATTATCTACTCGATAATCCTCGCAAACGCCTTTGTCATCTCCAATTTAGCATTGGTTTCATCGACTTCCTCTTCATCAGGAGGATACACAACGATTCTCAAGGCGTGTCTTCTGATTCGTGGAAGAACTTCAACAGCATTGGCTCTTGCTCTGCCTACGAATCTCGGTTTAGCAGGAGTCGAAGCTCTGTTTCGATACAGAGTCGTGAAATCTTATTACCAAGGAGATAGAGATATTGTCTCCATAGCTCTCGAAGGAACTTTCATAGCTTACTTATACGCTCTCTTCTTGGTTCTTGACACCATTGTCAACTTTCTGTTTTACCAAAGCTGCGTCAAGAACGATGAGGATCAAAAGTTGTGTAGAGAAGACGAGTATTCGATCAAGATCCAAATTTGCGAAACAGAGAACACGAAGATTTGCATCAAAGGGCCAAAGGGTTTCCAGGAAATTTTGTGATTTCTTGTGTTTGATTGATGTAATTATTAAAAAGAAGATTGTACTTTTTCAGAGATTATTGATTCTTTAAGGATAATCTCGAGTAGCTTTCACTTCAAAGAAAGGCAAAGTTAAACGGTGGAGAACAATCACAGGATCTGCAAACTTCTCTCATTCTGCTTTTCTTTATTTTAGTCATTACAGTTTCCTTTTTTATTCTTCCTCTTCTTTTACTTATTTTCCCATCATGTAAAGTCACATACCAGAAACTATAATTAATGCCAAACTTGGAATTCACATTTGGTTAATCCTACAGTAGAATTTCATTGCCGACATAATATATGATTTAATTACTTCTTCAAGCTAATGAAGATGTTGACCATATTCTCACATTAACAAGGAGAGCCTTTGTTTTATAGCATAGATAAGTTCAAGCACAACCTTTCATTACAAAGATAGAAGAAGAAGTCACAGTTATTATGAAACAGACAGAGCAATAAACCTTTTTTGTTTTTTCCTTGAATTGAATCCTAAATATAAATTGATATTGGAGTATGTTAATGATACAGTTTACACTAAAAAGACAAAAAAGGATAGCGTGTTGTGTTGTCTTTATCACTAATCTCTCTACTTGAACCAGTGAAAGCAAAAGCCCTTTAATACATCATTCAATTTAATCTAAATTTCTTCTAATGGAGAGAATAAGAACGAATCAATTATGCTTTTATAAGTTAAAAGAATCAGAGTGGAACCTGGAAAACGTGAGTAAAAAAAAAAAGGTTTAAAAGCTTTGCAAGATACAAGTAAATAGTGTTTTGCTCAAAGGAAATCAAGAAACAATTAAGCAAAATTTTGTAGATTACCATTATTATATATATAAAGCAGCGGATTCAAAGGTCCAGATTATGGTTCAATGTCTTTTAGATTCACATTAAACCGGACAATTATACCTGATTTAATTATATACTACCAAACCAAAGAAACCAAGTCAAAACCTACAAACCGGCCTTTTCTGGTTGAACCGGCCGGTTCTTGGGTTTAAGTGAAAACTTTAGGGCTTCAAATTTTTTGAAGCTCAGACAACTTTTTTTTTTCTTCTTTTCCAACTTCTCCTCTGCTCGTAGATAGTTCTCAGCTTCGAGGTCGACGATTTCGAGCCAGATTTGTAACAGTTTTCAGGTTACTTTCTTTTGGTTTGTAATTTGTTTCTTTCGAATTAGTAAACTTCCCTGTTTCAAATAATATCTCTTCGTCGTCTGATTATTTCGTTTGAGGTTGCATCAATCTTCAACTTAGGTTCATTTGAAGATTCATCTTTTGGATGAGTTATATTGAGTTCACGATTTAGCTTCAGTTCCATCAAATTTTAGATTCTCAAACAGAATAGTAATTATAATTCTAAAATTTGGTATGAGTTTAGTGAAGCTCCATTTTTTTTTCTCAAACCCTCTCATTGTTATCTATCTTTGGTCCTACTTTGTTTGTTTCAAAATTTTCTGATTCCCAAGTCATGTTTTTTCTAAAAAGTCTTTGCTTTTCATTGTAGCTTTTAGGAGTGGTTAAAATGGCTGGGGGATCAAAGAGGTCTAAAAGAGCAAGACTTTATGACAGTGAATCAGAAGAAACAAGCGACCAGGAAAATCTCACGGTAATTTTTTTGTTGCTTTTGTCTGGCTAAGTTATTTGGATGGCTGTGTAGGTGAATTAATTGGCTGAGAATTCTATAATAGGTGGAAGGGGAAAATGAAGAGAATGAATTATCTGATGGGATAGAGAATGGTGAAGGAGATAGCATGGAAGATGATGAGGGAGGGAGTGAAGAAGACGACGAAGGAGATAGCGAGGAAGATGATGAAGAAGATGTAAAGGAAGATGTGGATGGAGAAAGCGATGAATGTGATTATGGAAATGACCAAGAGAGTGAGAGTGGCGATGAAGGAGACGGGAACAATGGAGATGCTGAGATGGAGGAGCTTCAGAAAGAGTACATTGAGCTTCGTTCACAAGAACAGTAAGATTTATCTGAACTATTTATGTCACTTTTGTTTTCATCATGGTGAATTCTTGTAGTTGTTTCTAGAAACGGTAGATACTCTTATTAAAGTCTTAACAAGCTTAATGTGCTTCTTCCTGGTGTAGGGATATATTGAAGAACCTGAAGCGTGATAAGGGTGAGGATGCTGCTAAAGGTCAAGCAGTGAAGAACCAGAAGGTCGGACATTGCTCTACTGTTTGTGAATTAGAAATCACATGCATGTAATTGCAGATGTATATACCAGGTTTATGTTAGTGAGATTAATCTAGTTTCAGACGATTATTTTTTTGCGCTCCTTGTATAGGCTCTTTGGGATAAAACTCTGGAGTTCAGATTCTTACTTCAGAAAGCATTTAGTAGTTCAAACAGGCTGCCGCAGGTAAGCTATTTCTCTTCTCATCTTTCATCTGTTAATCCTTGTATGTGTCATCATGCTTTTGACAGAAGGAAATGATATCCAGGAGCCTGTCAAATCGTCTTTTTGTTCGGAAGATGAGAATGTCTCAACAGCATATGCAGAGCTAATTACTTCATCTAAGAAGACATTAGATTCCCTCTTGGAGTTGCAAGAGGTATGTCTGCGAAGATATGCTTCACTGTTCTTCTTCTTTTTCCTCTGTGTTGAGAGTTATATCTTGCTTTAGTAACTCTGCGCCTGGTGTGTCTAAGTATGTTGTCTCTCAGTCACCTTTCTTTTACTCTATTTATCCAAAAATTGATTTTTGCAGGCTTTGTTTGAGAAGAATCCCTTAATTGATGAACAATCAGATGGTACGACGTATTCAACAAAAAAGCATAATTATTATCAGCATAAGCAAGGGTCAATAAAATATTTATTTTTTTCCATTCTATTGCTTCTCAGGAACAGCTACTATAAGGCGTTCAGAATCCAATCAATCAGATGGAGAAGATAGCGATGAATGGGACCGACTATCTGACATGCAAAGAAGGTATTCGAGACTAACTGTCTAACTGCAAAACATTAAAGTTCGCTTGTTCTGTCCAAGAAATAGAATTTTATTTCGTAAAAACATGATTGTCTTTATCCGGAGACCAATCTCATTACGCTTATATGTTTCGTTAACACAAACTTGGTCTTTGTTATGTAGAATGTCTGTGTTCCGAAACAAGGCCGTGGACAAATGGCAGAGAAGAACTCAAGTCACAACTGGTGCAGCTGCTATTAAAGGAAAGCTCCATGCCTTTAACCAGGTATAGACAGTAAAACCCTAAAAAGATTTTGCTCTTATACATCTGGGGATTGATTTTTCAGGAATCTAACTTGATTTATCTTCAAAAACCAGAACGTTAGTGAACAGGTTGCTTCTTACATGAGGGATCCAAGTAGAATGATTAAACAAATGCAACAATCAAGATCTACTGTTGCTGTTTTTGGAACCGTAAGTTTTGGCTATAATAATGAAACCTTCCAAGATCTTAGCTTTGATGAGTCAAATACATCTCTTCAGTTTGTTCTGATCCTTCAAGTTTCCATTGACAGGTCCCTGGGGAAACCATGGTACCAAATCAAGAGGTATTATCACAGTGTTTCTTACCAAATTAAGAATATTAAATCATTTGATGTGTCTTATTAGTTATCCATGCTCTGACATGTATACTCTTTGTCCAGGAAAAAGAACTAGAAGGAGACCCTGAACTTGTGGAAGATGCTGAATTCTATCAGCAATTACTAAAGGAGTTCTTTGAGACCATTGATCCAGCTTCCTCAGGTATAGTAGACCAAACACATTGGAATCATTAGATATGAAAATGCTCAGCGATTATCCAACAAACTAAGTCTTTGCTTGTGTTGAGACTTGATTCTAGTCTGGTTCTGGTTTCCCTGGAGAGTTTTTGGTTTTCTGAAATCTTGATTTTGCCATTGGCAGAGGCGGCTTTCTACGCAATGAAGAAATTTCAGACGAAGAAGAGGAAAGTTGTGGATCGGCGTGCCTCTAAGAGCAGAAAGATCAGGTTAATAAAATTCTTCATCTCTCTGGAATGGATTCATAAGCACAATTTGAGTTTCCCTTTTCCTTTTGAATAATTTTGTCTGAAAAAACGAAATAGGTATAATGTTCATGAAAAGATTGTCAACTTCATGGCTCCACGACCTGTGAAGATTCCTCCAAACACTGCGGATTTGCTGAAGAATCTGTTCGGTCTCAAGACCAGAAATGGTCTGTCTGAAGCATTATAATATGAACAAATCGCGCAATTTTGAAACGCAGGAAATAGATGGAATTTTGTTTGGTGTGGTGTGTTGTTGTAATACAAGATTCATAGTGAAAACTGAAAAACTCGTTTTATCTCCATCAACAAATAATTGTTTCTTAGTTCTTCTTATTGAAAGCCGCCGAGTTACACAAAATTTGATTAAGTTTTTTAAATCAGCTCAATGGTACATAGTTCTGATTGGATTTCCAGATCATTTTAAAAGATATACAATATAAACAGTAATGTCCAATCTAAATTTGGATTTTGGAATTAATGATAGGAGGACTAATTGATGCACTTGTTTAGCATGATTTTAAGTAATGTCCATTCTATATATGGAATTAATTATAGGAATTGTATGATATGCATACTACTTTTGTAAGAAAGATACTTGAGCAAACGCTGTCGTTTTGGCTCGTAACCTTTGAAGCCCTAGAAACAAATTAAGACCACCTACAAAGCACATAATATTCAGTGTCTTCTGGTTCTGGATTTCACACTTTTTTAGCTTTGCTAAACTCCATTAAATAGGTTTCTCTCTGATTTCTTCCTCAGTTTATCAAACTGATATTAACATTCCCTTCGATTTCCTTAAAGCAGGAACTATGATTCTTTTATTTTTTCAAAAGTTCCCTGCTTTCTGTTTCGTATTTTGCTCTCCGTTTTTGTATTTTGGGTCTACATATGTATAATGGTTTCTCCTCCTGAAAAAAATCGGATACATAAGCTGAGTCGGTTCCTTTCTTTTCCGTTGTTAGCTTAGGTTTCGAAAGTTTCCACCTTGAAACTTCTGTTAGCTATAAACACGTATGTTGTTCTCAATGCGCGCTTAGATTGTTATAATGTGTTTATGTAATCTGTTACTGATTTGTGGGATTTGGGGGTGGAGATGATGGAATATTAAAGTAAAAGGTCTGAGCAGGATGCAAATATGAGTAATGTGTGTAGCAATTGATGTTTAATTTAGTTTCGAGGAGACAAACTTAAGAAGAATCTAAATAGGAGAGGGCCCTTGTCCATGCCTTGAGCCATGGCATCTGTGGCTCCGCAAACTCTCCAACAATGAAACCTGATTCGCCACTGCACTATGTGCTGTGTCTGCAAATCTGATGGGGTCGATTATAAAGGCGTGGGGTTGCTTTCTAATATTGATTGCCAATCTAGAATTCTCCCTACATACATTTGTCTCCTCTTGCTTCTTTTTCATCATTTAGCTCTGCCCTCGTATCTCCTGCACTGATCAAAGACCTCCTTGACTGATCCACATTATACTGCGTCTTGAGGTTCTCTTTCTTGCTTTGTCGATTGTTGAAGCGTTTGACAAGTTTTATTTGATGTAGACATAGCTTCTCTTCTTTGGTGTTTTAGTTCATCATTTTTGTATAATGCGGCCTATAGAAGAAGTATGTATTCCTGAAGCTTTTTATAGCATTTACCTTGTTGTGGTTAAAAATGGCGAGTCTTTAGGCGAAAGTATGACTCTTTGGAGATCCATGACCTATTATGTGTGCAATATCAACATTTTATGCTTATTTTGTGCTGAGTCTTAAGTTGGATAATTATGATCAATGATTCTATGTGCATCGCTTATTATTATTAAGAATGTTAGATTGGGTTTAGTGAGCATTAAGCATATAGGGTGCGTTAACATGTTCTGTACAGTTGTGGTTGCAGCAGAGTGTGAAGGAGATGGCTGGACACAAGATGGCACACGCAACATTGAAAGGGCCAAGTGTTGTGAAGGAGTTGGTTATCGGGATCACGCTCGGTCTAGCGGCTGGTGGGCTATGGAAGATGCATCACTGGAACGAGCAGAGGAAAACAAGAGCCTTTTATGATTTGCTTGAGAAAGGTGAGATTGGTGTTGTTGCAGAGGCGTAATCATAGAGAGATCTTCTTCCCAGTACCAAGTATTTTTTGACGATGACGATTACCTCAAATTTTGGCGTTTGTTGATTAAAGACCCATTTGTCGTTTTATTTCGTTTGGCTTCAACGTTAGAGGCAGTATTATGATTTCTAGCCATTTGTTTTTTGTCACTGTGAGACAATGTCTTTAGCTCTGATTACAAATAGACATGTTTGTCTAAATGCGGGGGAAAAAACAAGATGTAACTAAGAAAAACAAAATATATAAATTCTAATTTTGTGGATTAGATGTGTAAATTTTAATTCTCTAAAGTCTAAACGTTTTTCCAAGTTGTATATTTTTTTTCTTTCAGCTAGATGTAGAATAAAGAATGTAGAGAAGACAAAGGACAAATCAAAAAGACGGAAAGTACGGTAATAGTAAGAGGAACCTTTTCCTCAAGTCTCTCCAACTCTTTTCTTCTCGCTTCCTCTTTAAGTTTTCTCTGAAAATTCTCCATTTTTCTTCCACTTTCTCTCCCTCTCTCTCTTACACAGATCTTCCAAGTTAATAGATCTCCAGTACGCATTCCTTATCGCTTCACCGAAATCATTAAAAAAAATATATACATAAACCCAACATAGTCTTTTTTTTTTTGTCTTTCGCATCTTAAAAGATCCTTGGATGCGTCTTTGGAGCTAAAAGTAAGATTCAACAATGTTAGAAAAATCTTCTATCTACTCCACTCCACTCTAGCTTTGTAGATCTTTTTCTATCGTTTTATTGATTCATCTTTTTCGGATAATGTTTCCGAGTTTCTGCTATTGCAGATTCATTAGCTGCTGTTTCATCTTCTTTTTCTTTTTCTTTTTCTTTTTCTATTTATTATTGCCGAGTTTTCAGATAAAAAAATTTCGGTACGGTACTCATGAATCTGATCTTCTTCCTCCTCCAGTTTAAGTCTCCTGGATAATCTGAATCACAAAGATTTCCATCAATGTGATTTTACTACTCGATCCTGTTCTTGAATACATTTTTTTTTTTTTGGAATGGACCAGTTTTGTTGCTTTAAATAAATACTCTTTAGAGATCTTAAACGTAATAGTCAGCACAAAGTCAACTTCCACAAGTATCTGTCTTGATCCAAATCCTTCTCTTTCTTGCTACTGCAGGTTTACTACTCTCTCCGTTCTATTACAGAGTTATACTAAGCGAAATGCAGGAGGATAGCTTATGGAGATTGTGTCCTGTACAGGATATTGATACATTCTTAACCAGCAGATATGGCGACAACAATGCGCTTTCTTTATTGTATTGTGATCTTTACATGAGACAGTTCAAGGAATCATTGAAAAAGACCATGCTTGAGCAAGAATCTGTCTTTGAAGATCAGGTAAGCTTTTTCATTCCCCAATTTTTGTCGTTAGAGTAATGTGTCTTCAGTAGATGTTTCATCTCAGTGTTTTCTGTTTCTCTGATAATACTTGTCAGCTCAGATCCACGAGCTTCATCGTCTTTATCAAATGCAGAAGGAACTGATGATGAAAATGGAGGGAACCAACAACATATATAGTCAACCTCGACATTTATTCCTTAATGCCAGGGCCTCTAGTCCTAGAGCGAGCATACACTGGATGGGTTCAGCCATCTCCACCTCCAAAACTAGCGTCTTGCCACCAGATGACGCATCTGCCAAGATTGATGAAGCTGGTTTTTTTGGAGATGAGAGTGATAAGTCTGGAGAGAAGGTATTGGAAAAAGGTTTAAAGAATGGACAAGTCCATCAAGTTCTCAACTTTGCTAAAGATCAATCTCCAAGAAGCATCAAATCGGCCGTCCACCCGGAAAATGTGCAGCATTCATCTGCTTTGCTGAGGTCCAATTGTATACTTGACTTGAACGAACCTGCTAAGATCGAGGAACATTCAGATTATGAGCTTAATCAGTTCCTGAGTCCAGCCCAAACAAGGAGTGAAAGAGCAGAATCTCAAGCGCAAGACCCGGATATCTCTGCAAAAAGCCAAGTTGGTGAGAAATGTATCTTGATGGTACATATTAATGTTTTCTTGTAACGTTTTCCTGATGTAATGAAAGCTATACCGGTCCGATCAATGATCTTTGAGAATTGATTAGCCACTTTCTTTTGTGCAGAGAACGAAATCGACTTGAATATGTCTCCCCTTTCAACCGAACAAGTGACAACTTTCAAGGAGATAGAATCCGAGCAACCCAGTGAGATTGTTTCAGCTTCATTGCACGGAAAACAAGGATCAGTACCATCACAACTGATAGTTCAAGCGCTCCCATGTTCAAAAAGCATTTCACTTTCCCACAAACGTTCCTCGTGGCCTAGGAAGAAACGAAAACGTGGAGCAAAATCCACCACTGCGGAATCTGTTCCTCGCAGGAAATCCCGGAAAGGCTCAAATCTTGACTCGAACTATGGTGTTAATGAGGATGATAACCATTCTCTGAGTACTACCTCATACATGACTGAATCTGACCATAATCAAGAGCGTCTGGAGAAAGGGAGTTCGAGTTCTCTGTCTGAGATTAAACCTGCTAGAATTTTGACCAGTTCAAGAAAAAGAAGATCTCGTAAACCACACATAGATTCAGGCAAGGATACTATTGCAAGAACCAAATCCAAGACCAGAGGGAGCTTTCTTGTTACAGAGGAAGAGGAACAAGCAGCAGCAGAGGCTATAGTTGATATGTCATTATCAGAGTCAGCAGGAAATTCCAACATGGAAACCTCTAATTGGATCACTCCTCTGCGTTGGTTCGCTAATATTGCTTCTTCGGTTGTTGAGGCAAAGACATTGCAGCTAACAGAGATGAAAAGAAGACACAAGAGGACCACACGCAGGCAACAAAAGCATGAAGATCACCACAACGAGATTCTCCCGAGCCTAAGCACTTTTATAGGAAAGGAAACGAATGATGCTCACTCTAGGTACTGCAGCTTGATGGAAAATACGGTAATCGATTGGGGAACCATAACAAAACGAAGAAGAGGCATCAGAATTCCAAAACATCCATAGCTTCCTTTTCCAGATTCTTGAGGAAGAAGAAGAAGAAGATAGTTTTTGTCTTTTGTAACAGAGAGTCTCGTTACAGAGATCACACACTACACGTAGGGGATATTAAAAACTCATTAAATGAGTGAAACTTTTGCGTCTTAGCTTTCTACACTTATCTGTGAACTAGCTAGATGATACTCAAAGAGGCTCATCTTATTTATAACAGCATACAACAGAAAGTTGAGATCTTTAGTCTTTATGACTCATCTTACTTATTACTTAGTGTTGATTACTTATTATTAATCATTCAAAAAGCGTTTTAAGGAGTGGAGAGTTGAGTAAAATAAGGGTTTTGAAGAGTTTGTTGAAGGAGATCATCGTCGTCCCAAGAGTCTCGATAAGTCTCCAGATTTTCAAGGGAATTCAATATAGCTGACTTACACAGCTCCTTTCTCCATTCCTCCAGATGTGGAAACCCGATGTAATCTGCGTATTTATCGCTATACTGCAATTTATATATATAAGAAGAAGAAAACAGAGATTCAGATTAGAAAAAAAAATGGATCTTTGACCCAAAAAAGAAAGAAGAGTAAGAGAAAGTGTGTTTTTTTGTACATTGAAATCGGCGATGTCGTGAGTGTTACGTTTGGGGATTCCGTTGGCTTCTCTGGATCGGTAGAAATCGGCGATTGATTGCATCATCTGATCGGAGGGAGGAAGTGAGGTTTTGCCTGACAAAAGCTTAGCGATCCATTTCGCTTGTGATTCGAAGAAAGGGAACCCTATCAACTGCATTGGTTTTCGTAAACCGGACATTGATTGATTGATTGATTGATAATCATTCATACGAATAAGTGATTTGGTTTCAAATGAATCATTTTTTTTTCACCTTTCGAGGGATGCCGACAAAGGAGAGAGAAGGAGAGAGACAAGGAGAGAATGTATGTTCGAAGAGTGGGCCCACTCTATTATCATCAATTTCCACTCTTCCTTTACTCTCAAGAAATGGGAATTTGTACCAATACCTGCACATTAATCTCTCTCTTTTTTTTACGTAGAAAAATCAAAACAAATTTCGCAAATCTAAAACACTTTTTTATCCGTATATTTAGCATATCAGTTTGTATTAATGTTTGTCGTTGCAGCATAATTTGGATTTAAATTTAGTAATTTGCATCAGTGCATGTGTAAGTTTCATACGACAAAAAACAATTTGAAAGTTAGAGAAATGTATCTTAATTGAAAGAGTGGATATGCTGCAAGCCTACTTTGTCACTATGATTAACTAGAAGAATATTATCCCTGTTTTTTTTTTTTTTTTTTATCGACAAGCAAGACGTGTGCATATATGACATATTGACATTAGTTTATCATTTTTGGGTATGACTCATATACATGACAAGGAATCAAGAAAACAATCAGAGGTTCGAAAAAAAAAAACAAAAATTTATTTTCTAATTTTTGAAAATCCAATAACTTTATTTAAAGGCCAAAAAATATGAATTTGTTATAAATAGATTTACCATGTTAAAAAAATGAAAAGAAATTAACCTAAAATATGTAAAATCATATCAAAAGAAAACTTACCCGGTACAGTAAATAATGGTGTCAGCTACAATACAAGACCCATCAACGAAAATGACCCGTCCATCTTCTTCTAGAGATTCAATCTACAACCATTTATTTTTACATCAATGCACTGGACCACAACCATATGAAACACGTTTTAAAAATAAACTGTATAGTATAAGTACTATTAATTATATATGATGATGAATGAAAAAATGGTGATGGTGAGAGACTGAGAGTGTACCTGTGGATGAAGATGGAAGTTTTGATGTTTTGAAATGACTTTGGACAAGCCAGGAGGAACGTCAAGTGATTTGGCACTTAGATGAACTTCCTTTGCCACATCCACAAGCTCTATTGATATGTCTTGTCCACTCATCGAACACCCAACGACCACCACCACCTAATCATTCAATTAGTCATGATCATCATGCATCATAAATCATCATTCCATATATGTATCATCAAGTTTATTTATTAGTTAATCACCTCATCACGAAAAGGATCAGGCACCCTGTAGATATGGCTATGAAGCTGCTTCCTCTTCCACAAATCCATTCCTATAAACACCAAAATCATATATCAGAAACAATACCATCCTTTTTGTCAACCTTTTTTGCTTTGTTACTACCACTAAGAACTTTCTGACAAGAAAACTAATTTCTTTAAATTTATTTGTATAATGATTCATTCTACTATAAATGAATGTATTATTCTTTTTATTGTTTATATAGAAAATTGCATTTTTGACTCCAAATAGTTAGTTTGAGATAGATCCTCCAATTCATATCTACATCAACTATACACAGAACAATGTAATTAATCATATATGTGTATATATATATACATATATAAAAAAAAACAAAGATAAATGTATATACCTATAATGGAAGGCAATCTAGGATAAGAGTAATGGCCAGAGGCAACAACGACAGCATCAAACACTTCTTCAATAACCTCTCCACTCTTCTTCTCTACACTCTTCACCATCCACCTCTTCATATTACCATCGTCATCATTATTATTATCATCATTCACCATCCCCACAAACTCAACCCTTACATTAAACCTAATCATCTCTCTCAACCCAAACACTTGACAAAAATCCTTAAGATACAACCAAAGCTCCTCATGCCCTGGAAATCTCCTCGTGTCCCTTCCTTCTTTTGCGATGAACGGGAAATCAGAGAAACCCATTACCTCTCTCGGAGTAGCCAACCTCAAGGATGAGTAAACACTGCTATGTACTTTTAGGGCTTTGGTTTTTCCCAATGGATCTTCTTCTTCCACGTTTGGTTGGTATAGCCATTGCCCTCCTACGTCGTCGTTTTGCTCCATTACCACCACCTTGTGCCCTTCTTTCTTTAGCTCTCTCGCCGACACTAACCCTGATGGTCCTGCGCCTATCACACAAACCTTCTTTGATTCGCTCTTAGTTGGTTCTGTTATCACTAACACCATTCTTGTCGGTGCTCGGAGAAGAAGTTAAATGATTTTGATTTGATTATGAGGTTGATAGGTTTCTCGTTGTCTCATGGCTCATGGGGCATTCTTTATATATAGTTGAATAATGTTTTTGTTGGTCAGTTTACAGGGGCATATCTGGAAAATAGAGAGCCATGATTTTATTATTTTTAGTAACCATAATATATGTACATATATATATATATGGCTTCAACTATGGACAGGAATATAATTTAATAGATTCACTAAATCTGATGTTTATTAATTTACTTAATATAGATGAAATAGTTAGATTAATTTGCTAAAGAGGTAAAACTGAAATAGAAAAATTAACGTAAGAACCAACTTATAAAAATGATACTACTCAAAAGAAAGATTGACGACGGCAAAAAAGAAAGAATCAAAAGAAAATTCAGAAAATAATAATAAAACACGTAACAGAGAAAATAAGTAAAGCAAAAAGAAGCTTGTGATCGAATCTTCGTTTGAAATATCACAAGCGATTTGATCTACAAAACCATTATTACTAGTATCTGCCGATTGTAAATTTTTGATATTACTATGGGGACGTGCTCTACCTTTAGGTAATGTAGATCCGCCTCTGTTATATATTGATTTTTTTTGGTTAATGCAGTGAGGATTTTAAGTTTATAACTAACTAAACGAAAAAAGAAACATATATAGTGACATTTTCTTCTATTCAAAACTATTTTTTTCTGTAGATGACTATTTTATGAAAAATTATTATTCTTATTACTGTATCATTTTATTATCATAGATTCATTATTATTATTATTAATATTACTAATTGGACATCACAGAAAGGTAAATATTATATACCAATGCAAATTAATGTTACAAATCAAATTGCTTTGTGAAGTAAACGAATACTAATATAAAGAGATGAGACGTGGTAGACAAAAAAAAGAGGACGCAGGTAATACTACAAAAACAATGATAGCAAAGATGATTGATTAGTTATAATTGTCTTTTCCACGCTAAATGTGGGTGACTCTTGTTTTTACGATATTTAACCAATAATGAGTTATGCATGTTGAGTTTACAATTTCTCCGAAAATAGAAAGTACTCAAAACCTACGAATTAGCAACCATGATCCTGATGTAATTATATGTCATAGACAACTTAATAAGCTGTTGTCGAAGCAATATATACCGAAGAAATTAAAACACTATCATCATTAATTGATCCTTTATTTGAAAAAGTTGATCATTATTGTTTGCTTAGCTATATATGCATAATCTATCCAATTCAAATCGGGCACGGGCATATCCTAAATTTATCATTATTAATCCTCCTCGTGGATATCAAGATTAAATATTTTCATGCACGGGATCTAAATTAAGCAAGATATAACTGGGGCCGCATTAAATATATCAATAAAAACATTTTACATTACATTATTCATTCATTGAGGTAACGGGGGACCCGGTTTGATCAATCAAGATCTCTGACTGACCAACCTTACGTCAATACGACAATTCCATATTTTATGTAGGTCCAATTTTTAGTATTTTTTTACAAAAAAAATAATATTATAGTGTTTTTTACAAAAGTGTAATTTTTATGAGTACGTTGGAAACTTTCTACTACAATAAATTTTCCTTAAAAGGCAATGGTGTAGTATCCTATATACAGCGTTGCTTTACACATTTTGACTGTTGTTAAAATTACTTTAAATGTTAATTGGAAAGTACGACTAGTAGTTTACCAAAAGGCATGTCTTACTAAACTGTCACATTATATATATATATATATGTATATATTATCCACCAAAATTAAAGGAGAAAAAGTCACAAAAAGTAACCTTTTCAACGAAGTTCTGTTTGTTGGAAATCTTATCAACAATCCGACATATAGACCTTTTATATACGATAGAGACATAATAATTAGATTATGTAATTGTGGATTTACCCAATAATTGAGCATTATTTGAGAAGCTTAAAGGAAAGATGACTTCAGAAAATTTACTCGTTAAGTGCTATTACCAATATGATCAATTTTTACAAAGACCTTTTAATTTCTTGCCGACGAAATATTTACTGTAGTTGTTCGTATATAAAAAAGGACCGAGGCATTATTCAAACTCATATTATTAAATGGCACCAACCAATTAGGATTCTTTACACCACGTTACCAATCAGAATAATTTGGTCAGGTCAATTCATATCAATTGCATCACATTCACATTAGAGTATTTGCACTATATGACAATACAAATCATGGTATTTAGGAAAACAACAAGCTTATTTCATTGTCCAGCAAACAAAAGTTAAAAAATGAGAACAGTGTATGAATGATTGATGATTAGCGTGAAACTGCATGTTTTCGCTGTTGTCACTACGCTTTCACACACGCAAAAATGAGTTAATACGGACAAACACACATTAACAAAATAATCAATATAAATTATATAATTATTGAGTAAAAGGTGTCAAATTGACAAATTCTTACGGATCTATGCAAAATAAAATATAATATAACTAAAAGAAAAAAGAAAAAATTTGCCGTGAGGAGCAGCACAAATCTTTAAAGAAACCTTCATCTAATTGACTATTGGTAAGCAAATATTATTATTCAGTCGTTTCCTTTCCTTTGATCAGCATCCAAATCAATATTCCTTGTTTATTATTGGATCAGTTGTTTCCCTTTACTCGGTTTACTCTGCTCATATAAACGATTGGGCCTACGGTGGGCTTTGTACTTGAATAGAAAATCCCTTGTTGACAAAAAAAAATCCTTTATAAAAATAAAAAAAAACATGCAATCTGAAGTTCTGAAGTCTGAACTATTCGAGTTTAGCCAGTTTAATAGTCCACTGTCCATCGCCCGCTTAAAATCTAATCCCCCTCGTAACATCATCATTAAATCAGATTAGACGAGTTTCCATTCAAACGAATCGATTCTCCACGGGTTTCATTCACTACACGTCTTCTAATAATTACTATCATTTTAAATACGTAGTTGATAAAAAAACGGTGGCTTTTATTTATTTAACTATGGGACGGCCAATATATGTACATGAAGAATAGCATATAAACTCATGTGTAGGATACTTGGCATGTTCCTGTACAGGGGAATAAGAATTTTGCTACTTTTTTTTTTGCTTCAAGAACAAATTACCACATTTCCTCATCTTTCTCGTGAGCTTTAAGAGGATATAAGACAAACATATTGATATATATATATATATATATATATATATGAAGCTCAGACAATATTGAGAGTCTCTTGGGAAGATTAGATGGACAGTTTAGTTAAGCAAAGAAGAGGAAGGTACACGTCACAAAATATCATTTTTATTAAATTAATTGTGCCTATAATATTTTTGATAAGTCTAATCGTATCGTATTCCTATCAGAAAAATTGTTTGTGGTAAGATAAATATTTGTTTTTCTTGATATGCATATTTTATAGGGTGTCAATTTCTGAATCCAAACAAACGGATTTTCCAAAGCTATCGGAACTGGCCATAACCGGTAAGTACCACTTGTTTAACATCTCTTTCCATGTTCCAATATAAAGAATCACAAAAATAATTTGAAAGATGTTTGACTATACTATATATTTTGCTTTCCGTGATATCAAATTGAAGATAATCCAGCATTAAATTGGCTGAAAAACCAATCATATTGGTACGAAAAAAATGACTACTACAACGAGAAAGAGAGTGAATTCGCAGTTTCTATTGCGGCTGCTGCATTTGTCATTAGATCAATGGAGGAAGCATATGAAGAAAAGACAAAAAAGATAAGAGAGGAAATCAAGAGGTCGCGGACGAAGAAAACCAAATCGGTAATACCTAAAACTGAAGTAAAGAGACTAAACGAATCATTTACTCAAGAGGTGCATATTGGAGGTAATTAATACAGTAGACTAGCGAAGTGGTTACTACCTTTTTCAGAATCAAAACTTATATTGTAATAAAAACATTTATTGTAATATGATTTTTTCTTTCGTCGGTAGAGGAGAGTTTCAGAAAAAAGCCGTCGGAATATTCACCAGAAAACCGTCGGACACAAGAGCTTGGCTCATCCTCCAGAGCATCAGGACTTGCTAGAGCGCCAAGTAAAGCAGATTCTTGGGAAAACACTCAAATGAATAAGATTAAATTAAGGTCAATTTTTAATTCTTAGTTTTTAATAATATAAGATATTAAAAAGTATACAATTTCTTTGACCCAAAAAAGTATAAGGTGTCTTATTAGTTACGTGGAAATTAACTCTGCTTGAAGGTATGAGAAAATGAAAGCTGAAATTGTGGGCTGGGAAAATGAGAGAAAATTAACAGCTAAACTCAGAATGGAGAGGAGAAAGGTTATTATTTTCCTATATAATGGCTATTTTTTTTGTATTTTAAAATAGACGGTGACTAATATTTTAATTTTTTTCTATAACATAGAGTGAACTGGAGAAGAGAAAAGAAATAAATAACCAGCATTACAAGTCAAAATTAGCAAGGATCCAACTAATTGCTGATGGAGCTAAGAAACAGCTCGAGGAGAAGAGGAAGAGCAAAGAAGCTCAACTTCGAGATGAAGTAAAGAAAATGCGTCGAACGGGCAAAGTTCCCATCAATTACTTCTGCTTTCGGTGTTACTAAAATCAAGATTAGTTTTATAAATTAAATTGATATTTGTGGATATCTATGAAAGAAAGAAAAATCGAGAAACTCATGATATCTAAGATCATAAATAAAAAAAACTACCATATTCAATAATGAATAAGTCTTTTGAATACATCATCAGTTCATCACCATGCGTAATTTACAGTTTTTTTTTAATTTCTCAAAATGAATTCCTAACATTTTGAAAATGAATAAATTTCTATAGATTTGTATGAATCACGAGCCATAAATTGATATTTCGGATATCATAATAACAAATAATAATTATGCTCGATGAAAATTGAATATATGATGTGATAGTCGATGTTTACATGCGTCCTCTCCCCTATTTCATACATAAAATGTATTAAATAAGTCGAGTGAACACAAATAGGGACCAAACAGGATTTGAAAGATGGATATATGACTCGATGTAGCGATATGCCATCAAAAGAAAATGAGGCATTCTTTGGTCCAGCCAAGCTTCTCTCTTACCCTCTTGGTTTCTTTCTCCATTGGCAAGACTTATAACTAGCAACTCCTCTATGTGGTGGCCAGGACCATTAGCATTTACTATTCTCTCTTCTTATTTGGAAATTTGTAATACTGTCCTTGTACAATTCTCTATCAATAATTTTTTAAAAACTTTTATTTTTATTTATTATTGATTTTGTCGCATTTTCTTAATTTATGTAATTAGAAAAATTTCGAAAAAAATGTAACTAGAAAAATTTCTTTACTTATCTGATGCTATGAATCCGTGCTTTGTGAAAAGAAATGGCTGGTTCAACTGACATTAATGCATTCCAATTATAACTTTCTCAAAATTAAACTTGTAACGTATTTTTTTCAAAAAAAATATTAAAATTTGAAGAAAAAAAAATCTAACAAAAATGTCTAAATTGGATTTGATGGCTTTTCTAGAAATAGTTTATATGGTTTAGGATAAATAAACGATAATATAGTATATCTTATTGGCTTAAAAGTCTCTTTTAGTTTGTTTTTTTTTTTTTGGGTCAGCAAGTTTCTCATAGTTTATTAATAAAATCTAGTTCGTCAAAGATCCCCTAAGAATAACTAAGAACCTTAATTTGAAAGTAAGATAAGTCTTTTTTAAGAAAAGTAGCTTCATGGATTTATGTTGAGTACGTAGTAGCTCAAATTCGCAAAATTATCATGGTAAAAAGCAAGAGCACATACATTTGTACATGTCAACTGAAAGAACACATGCATGTTTCCATAAACAACCTTTAACTTCTTCTTTTTTTGGGGTAAAAACAACAAAAAGACGTTTCTATGTTAGGCTTATACTTTTATTATAAAACAACTATTTAGTCTCATTGTAGTGATCAACTAGAATTGCAGTGATGAAAAAGAAGGATTATCATAAATCAAATGATTTAGCACAGAAAATAATTGATTTGAAGTTTGAAGTTAGGGGAAAAAAACAAAAAGGACTATGAACAGATAAACTCTGAGGAGCGTTAGGATTCGCTGTCAAGAATCTAATGCGAGAAGTTGATTGGCTGAATTTCACAGATCAACACTAGGTCCCAAACTAAAAATTCAACATCAAATAAGAGATATACACGTGTCATAATGACGACATCAGAATTAAGCTGTCAGCGGTGGGTGAATTCCAACTTTAAGTAAGATGTTGATGTGACACCAAATGATTGGGAAATCTCTTACCTTCACAATACGATACTCAAGGTCAAGGGTAATCTCGTCAATAAACCTCTTTTTTTTTTTTTTTTTTTTTTTTTTTTGTTCTGACTACTCAGTATCACATAATATCATGATTCATGTGAAGTTGATCCACCGTCAGGCTCTGGCTCTGGCTCAGGCTCAGGCTTATTAGCCTCTCAAGTTGATCCAATGATTGAGAAAGAAAAAAATATAAACGATTGTTTTGCAATCCTTAGTTTTCTTGCAGACTTAATTACCCGAATGAAGACTGAATTTGAAAGTTTTGTCCTTTGAAAAATTCTGCCTTATTAATGACGTACTGTCTGGCTGGATCGGTAGCTACTTGAAGTGTCGGCCAGACAGGTTGTGCTCGGACATCTTTTGAATTTCCTTTTTTTTTTTCTTTTTTCTTTTTGTATCGGAGATAAAACCTTAGGTTTCGGATACACAATGTAGCTTACCGTGTAGGCTCTAGGATTATGTTTCAGTGTCCGCTTTCAATTTTGGGAGCGCACGGGCTCCTATACCTTTTTTTCTTTTTATTTAATTTGCTCGATTGATAAATAAGAGAAATCAATCAGATTTCTCATATATATGTATTATTCTTCATGGAAATCAGTAAAACAACCTCTTAATAGTTTGTTTTTCTCCCACAGTATCATAACAATTACTTTTTTTTTTTTATTTTTAGTAAAACATTTACTCCTTAATTGACGGTAGAAGTTCCATAAACTGTTTCACATTAATGAATCCTGAACATTTGATATATTGTGAGATCAGATCATGAGAGATAGAGAATGTGGACAAAAGAAAGAATAGTTTTAAAAAGGCTTAGAAGTGAGGACACATAGATTGATTCATTCCTCGCAACTTGCATCAAATGGACTTGTTGATGCCTGACTTCACATCTCACTCTCATTTTTGACATTCGAATGCCATACTATAGTTTCGGATTCTTACGTGTTCGCTCCAATAAATATGTCTTGTCTTCTATACTTTAATGCGTATATATTTCAACTAGGTTCTATTATGTAACGAATGAAATTCCCATTTTTTTCTAAAAAGAAAAATCTATTATTAGAAATGTGCTTCTTTCTTAATCGGGTGAAAAAACACGCTTTACTAGTTTCTACCGAGTGGTCACTGGTCAGACAATGCATGCTAATAATGGCCTTTCAAAGGGACTCATCAGTTGAGTGCGAAATGACGAAATTGCCCTCGTTTATTGGATATTTGGGAGGAGAGAGGGCTCTTGAGCTGAGGGGCAGAACACAACAATCCTTTGCCACACATGTGCTTCCTCCACATAAAAACCATTTGACGTTTTGCAGGGACCATTTTAGAGAGAGAAGGGACGAGTAGAGAAGAGAAAGGAGAGAGAGAGAGAGAGAGAGAGGCTCTTTATTATAACTTCCATATGGATCAAAGGCAGACACACTGCATGAGTTGTCGCTGTAATTGTGAAGAGTTTGAAAACAGAGGAGAAAGAAGATTACAACATTTTCAAGCACGAAGAAAGATAGAAGAGAGAAGAGAAAAAGGGAAAAAAGAAAGAAAGAAAAAGCTTAATTGTCAGTTTATTCTCTGCAAACGTGCGGCCTAAGTAACAACACATGTAATCCTCTCTGTTTCTGATAAGAACCCTTTTCTGTTTTCTACCCAAAAAAAAAAAAGAGACAAAGCCTCACGCTTCTGTCTCTGTTTGCTACTCTCTTTCTCTCTATCTCTCTCTCTTAACACAAAAGTTTTGATTTTGTAATGGTGAATCAGGTCGAATTACGGAGTGAAAGAGCTCACATGGGAAAATGGGCAATTAACGGTCCATGGTCTAGGCGAAGAAGTCGAACCAACCACCTCGGCTAACCCTATCTGGACCCAAAATCCCAATGGGTGTGAGACTTTGGAGTCTGTGGTCCACCAGGCGGCTATGCAGCCAAGCAAGCTGCAGCTGCAGAGCCAGAATGGTCCAGGCCATAATTCTAAGAGCAAGGACGGATCTTGCTCAAGAAAACGCGGTTATCCCCAAGATATGGACTGTTGGTTCGCTGTTCAAGAGGAGAGCCATAAAGTTGGTCACAGCGTGACTGCAAGTGCAAGTGGTACCAATATGTCTTGGGCGTCTTTTGAATCTGGTCGTAGCTTGAAGACGGCTAGAACCGGAGACAGAGACTATTTACTCTCTGGATCGGTAAGAATCAACTAAAACGCTTCTTTTCCCCTTCTTCTGAAAGATGAGTAGAGAAATAACCAAAAGGGGAGTTTTTACAGGAGACTCAAGATACTGAAGGAGATGAACAAGAGACGAGAGGGGAAGCTGGAAGATCTAATGGAAGACGGGGACGAGCAGCAGCGATTCACAACGAGTCTGAAAGGGTAAGGAAAATCGTTCTTTTTTGCTAACCACAATTTCCAAACTCTTTTAAGACTATCAAAGCCGACTCTTTTACCCTTCAAATGGGTTTTGAGTTTTGATGCAGAGACGGCGTGATAGGATAAACCAGAGGATGAGAACACTTCAGAAGCTTCTTCCTACTGCAAGTAAGGTAAATCTAATATACTAGAAGAACCCACTATAAAAGGTTTGTACTTTTTCTATATTGAATCTCGGTTAAGCTACTAAATCCGAAGAAATATATGGATATTGCAGGCGGATAAAGTCTCGATCTTGGACGATGTCATCGAACACTTGAAACAGCTACAAGCACAAGTTCAGTTTATGAGCTTAAGAGCCAACTTGCCACAACAGATGATGATGCAGCAACTACCTCCACCACAATCAGTTCTCAGCATCCAACACCAACAACAACAGCAGCAGCAGCAGCAACAACAACAGCAACAGCAGTTTCAGATGTCGTTACTTGCAACAATGGCGCGAATGGGAATGGGAGGCGGTGGCAATGCTTATGGAGGTCTAGTACCTCCTCCTCCTCCACCACCATTGATGGTGCCTCCTATGGCAAACAGAGACTGCACCAGTGGTTCTTCACCCGCTTTAACTGATCCGTACAGTCTTTATCTAGCACAGGTTAAAACCGCTCTTACTGTTTCCGAGAAGTGATTTCGGATATAGAAATATTGATCTCATGAATGCTGTTGTTCATGCTTCTGCAGACAATGAACATGGACCTTTACAACAAAATGGCTGCAGCCATCTACAGACAACAGTCTGATCAGACTACAAAGGTAAATGCGGGCATGCCCTCAAGTTCTTCGAATCACGAGAAAAGAGATTAGTGTAGCTGAGTATTAATGAGCCATATATAGATCTTTAAAGATCGATGTGTCGTGATTGTAAAAAACAAACTGTTTTTGACTATGAAAACAGATTTGCAGAGATAAAACTTGAAAGCTTCTCTTCAGTTATCATATTTAGTCATGGTTAAAGTACATATATAAATCCTTTTGCTATTTCGAGGAAAATAACAAGACAAGTATCTCTCGCTCTCTTCCTCTAAAAATATGTTCTCGAAGTTTGAATTCTTGAATGTTAGATCATATATGAACAGATATAGTTTTTGGTTTTTTGTTTGTTCACTGTTCGGAACCCATAGGACTAACCTTCGACGCAGATGTTGTGGCCTTGCTCTGAACTTTCTGAGGTGTCTTAGTGTCCTGAAGAGAGATTACAGTTTCAAAAGCACCAATAAGAGCTTTCACTTTGGTCTTCCTTACCTTTGTCAACTTATTCATTGTCTCTTCAATCACATTGTTGAACAATGTCATCTTTTTCTTCTTCCCTTCTACTTGTCGATGCCTCAGAACAACCTTCTCACGTTTAATACCTTCACAAGAATCGGTTTTTGTCTCTACACCCAATCTTTTATCTCTCAGAGTCTTCTTCCTCCCTTCCATTTGTGTTTTCAGTTCCTGCACAACCCTCTTTCTCAACTTTATCCATTTTGGAGAAGAATCCTCGGGTTTCGGATCAAGAGTCTTCCCTTTCTTGAAACTCAGCTGCTTCGCTAGAGTCACCTTTACTCCTGTTCTCTTAGGGCTAATCTTCTTCTCTGGTTTTGGTTTTGCTTCAAGGTCTGCAGAACCACTTTCTTTCTTCTTTGTCAAGCGGGTACTGATTTTAGCTGGAATCTGTTTAGTAGGACTATGATCTGCGGAACCACGTTTAGGAGTAGTCAAGCTTTTATCTGCAATTCTCAGGGTCTTCTTCTCAGATGATGGTTGCTTTTCTCTCTGAACACCTTTGACGCTAGATTCAACAACACACACAGTCTTCTCTTTTACATCTTCACTTCTCATCGCCTTCTCCTTATTCTTGGAACTTACGCCATCTCTGATTCTTGAAACCTTCTCCATATCAGTCTTTGACTTGTCACTTCTCACGCCAGGAACCTTTTTAACAACAGCTGAACCACTGAGATTCCTCTCGGTTTCTTTGTTCTTCCAAGCTTTATCATTGCTTTTAACACTTGAACCATCAATAGATCTTGCCATCTCACTATCTTCTTTAACGCTAGATGATTCCGATTTCACAGAAGCACATTGTCTTCTCTTTGCAGCCACAAAACTCTCCGGTTTGGTAATAACCGGAATCGGTCTACTCAAACTTGCCAACGTCTTTCTTGTCAAACTTGAAGTCATAGATTTTGCAGCCTCTGAGCCTTCAACACTCTTTCTCCTCACAATCTTCCACGGTTTCACCGCATCCTCTTGATCACACTTCTTCCCGTGTTTACAGAACTCATGAGTCGAGCTCACATGATGATTCCCACGATAGCGTGACTGAACCTGCGGTTTACCAGCTCGTGTACCGATCGCTCCTGTGGAGTGCCGTCTCAAATTCCCAACTTGTGGCTTAGGCACTTTCTTCATCTCTGGTATACACTCTTCTTGATCCTTGGTGGACGCCACAGACACAACATCTCCCACGTTTTCCACGTCTTTTACGAGTACTGTTTCCACAGAATCTTCTTCTGACATCGCCGGAGGATTTGTATCCAAAAAATTCTCAATCTTTTTGACCTCTGAACTGTTCTCCTCAGCCATTGAAACCTGTAGAGGATACAGAGTGCATTACCAAAAAGATCCCAGTCTCAGCAAGAGTAATTAGTTATGAACAGAATCTCATCGAAATACAGGACAAAATTAGAACTCTTCTGTCTAATTATACCTAATCTGATCAGATTGTAGAATTTGACATCATAAAAAACAAATCTGTAAACGAGAATCTACCAAAGATGTTGAGATCTCATTAAAATACCAATACGAGGTTAAATGAAGAGATCTACATTCAAACAAGGACACATGTTGACTTTGAGAATCTCCATGAAAATTATGTGTATGATCTAAAATTCTCTAGTTGTATACCCCAATTTTTTTTTTTTTAAAATTTTTGAGTTCTGATCGAAATTTTGAGGACAATAATGACCTAATTCTACAGTACTGCAAGACTTACTCTACACGCTTAAAACCCTACCAACAGTTTCAAATTCAAAGGGACACAAATTTAAGCAAAACGCCAAACATGAGAAATCAAGAATTCAGAAAACGGTACCTTTAGATTGGTGCTATAGAAATTACAATCTAATTCTCAAAGAATTACCACAGAAGAATTACAAAGAAATCGGCAGAAGATGAGAAAAAATTATATATACCAGAAGGAATGAGATTAGGCTCCCTTTAGTTGGAAACAAATTGATGAAAGAAGAAAGGTAGATTTGATTGTTAGGAAAAGAAACACACACAAAAACACAGACTAGGGAAGAAATCGTTCTTTTGGAAGAGTCTTATGAGAGAGGGAGAGACCGACTTTTGTAATACATATATTATCTCTTTTAAGTTTTTTTGGGATAATTTATTAGTAATTAAGTTACTTAAGCTCGAATTAATATTTAATGTTTATATTATCAATTTTTGTCTAATTTTAATTGATATAAAACTGATTCTGCCATAAAAAACAATCTGATATTAGGATTTGATGCTATTAATACAAATCCGTGTTGTTTAAAATATCACTAATCTCCATATGTATTGCCATAAAATAATGAGAAATGCATGAATAATTCCAATAAAATAGATTATTCTTTTTTTGTTAGTCTAAAGTATTTTTGTGGAAAGGTCATTATTATTTTTTGGCACAAAGAAAATTGACAATTTAATAGAAAATCACTTCTAAATCTCAAAAATAAATGATATTGGATATATATGTTCAATGTATGTTGAGATTAGGGGATCTTGTTTATTTAGGTGAGAAATAAACTGAATATATATTTAAAAAAATTAGGAGAAGAAAAAATAAAAGGATTTCGTTACTGATTGTACTTTGTGGAGGGAAAAAACAACTGAGGGTACTTTGTTACATCATATGACATAGCTTTTCATGGATCCGACACCTTAAGTTAGTCTTTTTTTGTATTTTTCTAAAGTATAATGCTTTTGGCATTAGATTCTCTGGATGATGATTTACTGAAAAAGAAAAGATCAAGGCGTTGACCCAACTCCAAGAATAAAGATGCACTAAATCATTATATAAACTAATTAATTATTATTGTTACTACAAGAGAACGGATTATTATATATAGTATAAAATACGATGTGGCCGACAGAACAATATAAAATCTAAATATAATGAACTGGAAATTCAGGAGTAATTGTATGGTTTCGTTTAAAAATGGATACGCATAGTTGAAATGAAGACACACATTTCACAACACACCGTACATTTAATGTGATAATGTTTGTTTTTCGAATGTCATTAAACAAAACTATTTTCTTGTGTATGTCTTGGCTGTGTGTGGTAGCCTCGACCACAAGACTGGTTTTAAAGGCAATGTTGCTTCATGCTGGTGAAAATCTGGTAAGTTGGTGGGTGTGGGCCGTGTGGCATGGCTGGGATACGTGTCTGGACTCTGGAGAGGCAATGTTATATAAATCATAAATATTTTAAACACTCAGATTATAAAAAAAATGGCCGGCAATTCAACAACAGTCGGCACATTTAAAAGATTATATGAGGAATCAGAATCAGCAAAAATCGGATTTTATAGAGAGAAACTCCATCCAGCAAGTTCCAGAGCCGGTCCTGAATAAGATATTAAATTGAAAAATATAAAAGGTTTAGTTGAGACTTTTGAACCGACCATATGAAATATTGAAATAGGTAGGTCTAAGGCGTCTTTAACACCAGTGCTAATGCAATTTGCAATAAATTTAGAAAAGACTTTATGGGCCCGAAGCCCATTTTCCCTAACTTTTGGAGGCTCGTTTTTTTTGGGGTTGCTTTTCGAAATGATGGGACTCTGTTTTTGAGCCTGTCCTCCTCCTCTTCACTTTCACTGATTCATTCAATTTAGCAAGTATTAACATTATTCTATCTAGAAACATTATTTTGGAAAATTATTAACAAAAAATTAGTGTTACTTCCCCGCTTGCCTCTTTTGTTAATTCGGTTTTCAAATTAATGTTTTGGGTATAATTTGGGTTCGGTAATAAACCGGTTTAACTAAATTGACATGCTTTTTTATTATGAAAAAGAATAAAAGAGAGAAGAGGCGATAAATTCCAGAGATGAGAGACTTTTGTGAAGTGTTGTCGACGGCAAGAACAAACAACCTACTCTCTGCTCTTCTTGCGATTTTTTAACTTGAGAAAATGGATTCTTCTTAGGTCAGTTTCTATTTCTGATTTTAATTTTTGTTTTGCTTTGCTTTATCTCAGTCAGATTTTTCATATCTCTAACATGTATCCGATTTAGTTATGAACCAACCATAATAATTTAGAAATTATCTGGTGGACTTGAAATTGAGTGTCGCTGTCTTCGTCATTGACTGAGACCAACTTTTGCAATTTGAGTTTTTCGTTGACTCATTCCAGCCCAGAAACAAAACTTGAGTTTAACGACCCGAACCCGCTCATTTTTTTGTTTGTTTTGCCTAACCCGCAAATTTCAGAGACCATTTCATTATTAGTTTATTAAAATCCATCACCCAAAAAAGTCAACTAATGGTCTTTGGGCATATGCGTCTCGTCTCTCTTGAGACCATGTTTGACTAATCTATCTAATTAAAGTCTAGCTAATTTGAATGGTAGTTGGAAAAATCATGATGAAAATATTCCACAATTATGAAATTTTCCTATATTGCAATCGCACTAAAAATATCGCAGATGAAATATCCACATATACAAAGTTCAAAAATTAATAACAAGGCTGTTTAGTTTTCAACTTCATTTTACTTATTTATTACTTGTCTGCTAAGAAGGTTTCGGTTCAGTTCTTGTTCTTGTTCTTCTCATTCCTCTGTATTTTGTGGGTCTTATTTTCCATTTTCTTGATATTTCTTTTAAGAATTCTTACTTTTTGCCCTTTATCAATTGATCTTTGTTCTTGGTTTCTTTGAAAATTTAGCTTTTTTTTTTTTTTTGCTGTTCTTGTTTCTTACAGATCAACCGGTGGAGACGTGAGGCTCAAACAAACCGAAATGGGCTTCAACGTTTGTTTCCTTGTGTTCTTGATTCGTCTGCTTTTACTTCCGGTTACTTTTGGTAGCAACATGGAACAAACCACCATTGTTATAGACGGTGAACATCGAATCGCTGAGATCGATGAGAACTTTGTCTGCGCAACTCTTGATTGGTGGCCACCTGAAAAATGCAACTATGATCAGTGTCCTTGGGGCTACGCCTCTCTCATCAATTTGGTATATAAACAACTTTCACCTTTGACCACCCTTAGTTAGTTACTCCATCTACTTATGTTTTAATCTTTTCAAATGGTTTCAGAACTTGTCTTCTCCTCTTCTTGCTAAAGCTATTCAAGGTTTGCGACCTCTATCACAATTCCCGATATTCGCATTCCCACAGACTTCTTGCTGAACTATTTGGATTCTTGTTAGCTTTTAAGACGTTGAGGATAAGACTTGGTGGTTCCTTGCAAGATCAAGTGATCTACGACGTAGGAGACTTGAAGACTCCTTGCAGTCCATTCAAGAAGACTGACGATGGATTGTTCGGGTTCTCTAAAGGTTGTTTGTATATGGATCGCTGGAACGAACTTAACCGTTTCTTCAATTCAACCGGGTAAGTTATATAATCCTTAGTCTACTTCTATGCTTTCCCTTTTGGCATAATCCACAGTTAATGATCTAACTCTCTAAATTTGCAGAGCTATTGTGACTTTCGGATTGAATGCGTTGTACGGGAGAGATAAACTCAGTGGAAACTCGTGGGGAGGGGATTGGGATCATATCAACACTCAAGATTTCATGAACTACACGGTCTCAATGGGTTATGCTATAGACTCGTGGGAGTTTGGTATAAAGAAGCTTATATATATATATATATATATATCTCTTCTCCTTGATCTGTCTGCTCGGTTTTATATTTCTTCCTTCTCATCTTTCTTTCTTGTTCTTTGACTAGGTAATGAGCTTAGCGGAAGCGGTATTGATGCAAGCGTGAGTGTAGAGCTTTACGGGAAAGACTTGATTGTACTCAAAGATGTAATCAAGAACGTTTACAAGAATTCTCAGACCAAGCCTTTGCTTTTAGCTCCAGGAGGATTCTATGATGAGAAATGGTACTCAGAGCTTCTTCGGCTCTCTGGACCTGGTGTTCTTGATGTCATGACTCATCATATATACAATCTTGGTCCAGGTCTGCATAAGCACAATAAAATCAAACAGAGATATTCTCTTTGTAGATTTCCTAGACAAACAATGATTGAGTGTTGATTTTAAGTGAATCTTGCAGGAAATGATCCGCAGCTCGAGAATAGGATACTAGATCCAAAGTACTTGAGCGGGATTTCGGGAAAGTTCAAGAATGTTGACCAAACGATTCAAGAACATGGACCTTGGGCTGCTGCTTGGGTTGGAGAAGCTGGAGGAGCTTCTAATAGCGGTGGCCGTCAGGTTTCTGAGACATTCATTAACAGCTTCTGGTGAGAAATTAAGAATCAAAATCCATATTCAGATTTCTCCATCTTTGCTTGGTTTCTATGATGATTGAAAAACCTGATACTCCCTACTAGGTATCTAGATCAGTTGGGTATGTCGTCTATGCACAACACCAAAGTATACTGCAGACAAGCTTTGGTTGGAGGTTTCTACGGTCTGCTCGAAAAGGAAACGTTTGTTCCCAATCCAGATTACTACAGGCAAGTTCATAACAAACCCTATAGGTTAGTCGTAACATAACAAAACCCTGAAAGATTCGTTTTTTTAATCCGAGCAGTGCGCTTCTTTGGCATCGTTTGATGGGTAAAGGCGTTCTTGGCGTTCAGACAAATGCCTCGGAGTATCTACGCACTTACGTTCATTGCTCTAAAGGAACAGTGAGTGTACATCTCTCTATCTCTAAATGGTCCTCTAGTCTCGGTTTCTAACCGTAGAATCTGTCACCTCAGGCCGGAATAACGATACTTCTGATAAATCTGAGTAAGCAAACGACGTTTACAGTCGGAGTCAGCAATGGCGTGAAGGTGATTTTGCAAGCAGAACCGATGAAGAGGAAATCTTTCTTGGAAACAATCAAGAGCAAGGTTTCTTGGGTGGGAAACAAAGCTTCGGATGGATATTTGAACAGAGAAGAGTATCACTTGAGTCCAAAAGACGGTAACTTGCGGAGCAAGATAATGCTCTTGAACGGTATCCCTTTGGAACCGACGATCACCGGAGATATCCCAAAGCTTGAACCGATTCGGCACGGCGTGAAATCTCCTGTTTATATCAATCCATTGTCGATCTCCTTCATTGTGTTGCCTACCTTTGATGCCCCTGCTTGTTCATGAAGACGATAATCTTTTGGTATTCTGTAAAAATGAAAAATTGAATAACAGAGAGCGTAATTTTCTTGGCAATTGTATATGCATATGATCAAGAAAATCATTTCCTCTTCATTTGTTATACAATCGAGAAGTTTCTTGGAAACACTCAAGAGCAAGAGCAGGTTATCTATGTAACACTTAATATTGCATATTGGCAAGTGGTTTATTCCAATCCAACTTTCAACAGTTTCATCATGTGATCAAGGAGAAATATAGATTAGTGAATGTGACCGACTATACAATATGAAATATAAAAACTTGCAGTCTATGCTTTCTTTCTTCCATTTGCATAGATCAAAATCATACAAAAAAAATAATAATGAAGAGAGCTAAAAGTGGAACCATTTTCTAGGTAGTTTCTGAGACGTTTTCTCTAGAAACTTCTAGGATGTTCTATCGCGTCACACGGCGAAATCGGCATCAGAAACTTCTAGAACTTTGTGGGTACCAATAGGGTTCACGCCAGCCTTGAACATGTTACCTTCAACGTACCTGCAAAATGGAAACATGTCGAGATTGAAGAAGGAAAACCTAGAACTTGCGGCCAAAACAAGGCTCTCAAGCTCGTCCATATTGTTCAAAATTCTTTATAGTTGGGAGTTTCAATGGGTTCAGTCTTTTGTCTGAGTAAAAGCTTTACGGTTTGAGAACTCACATTTCTTTGAGGAAGGGATGCTTGTAGAATGCGTCCGGGATTCTCCCAGTAAATTGGTTGTGATCAAGATACCTGGTTTTAAGAATGATCCCAAGAGATAGTAAGAAAAAATCTCAGACGACGATAAAGATCAGCAGTCTAACACAAAAGAGTCTTACAGGTATGTCAGTTTAGGAATATGAGCAATGGCAAAAGGTATGTTTCCGATGAATTTATTGTAAGACAGGTACCTACAAAACCAATTAAACCGACATCAGAGATATCCTAATACAGTTTATCGTAGAAGATGACTTAGAGAACAAAGTCTGATTAAACATGCAGTGTATAATACTTACACAATCTCCAAGTTTGTCAGATTCGATAGCTGAGCAGGGATTCCACCACTCAAGTAGTTATTATTCAAGTACCTGAGGAATCGAGAAATTTTAAAAAAGAGAAAGCATTGCAATGCTTATAATAGAATATATCAAATGGAACAGAGAAGCAGAGGGCAGATTACGAAGAGATGCTTACAGGTTGCGAAGAGCTGGAAAACTTCCATCAAAACGGATGAGCTCCCTTATAGTTCCCACCAAATGATTGTTGCCAACATCTCTGAAAAATAATAAAACACAAACCAAACCAGATTTCAGTAAAACCAATGAAAAGTTATGATAAAAAAGACCAAATTGTAAGTAGAAGGTGGGAATTGGTGTTTACAGGTGGCGGAGACTTTGAAGCGTCCCCAGTTCTGCAGGAATTCTACCAATGAGACGATTTTCTTGAAGATATAGATAACGAAGCTCGGGAAGAGCAGCCAGTTCCTTTGGAATTTCTCCCTTGAAGCTATTGAAGCTCAAGTACCTTGAAGATACAATAGAATAACATGATTTCATTTGGATACATATAGACAATCACTAGAAGCTAAACGAAAACACAAAGGTACTCACAAATGGGTTAGTCTCTTCAGCTCCCCAATCTCCGGGGGAATCACATCTTGTAGTTTATTCCACCTCAGGTTTCTAATGGTTTCAACATGAGTAAATGATTAGGTGAAGTACTTGGAAACATATGAATGCTATGATGATACATTTAACACACTATCCAAAGTTGGTCTCAGAAGAACAATAAAATGAAAAAAAAAAAAGACAGTAATTCAACAATAGATCATTGTAAGAGCACAAGGAACATACAGTACTTTCAGCCGTTTCAGACGCCCAATTTGTGGAGGGATTGGCCCAGTGAGCTTGTTGTTATGTAGATCCCTGAAAAGCCAAACAAACCAAAACCCTTTTCAATTTAATCAATCAAAAACAGCAAAGCTTTAAAGAATCCTCAGGCATCTCCGTATTGTCTACAATGATCTCGTTACAGAAAACTAGGTTGCAAATTGATTTTTACATAAATCTACCTACTAATGTCAGACACTAATAAGGTTTTAAGAAATGAACTTACAGTCTAGTCAGATCCAAAAGGTTTGTTACTGCAATTGGGAATGGTCCTACAATCGAAACCGCGTAAACCTCTCTGTAAATCAGACATATCTCAAGTAAATAGTTGAGTCAAAGCAAATCAAGCTGATACTTGAGAAAACACCAAAGTCGGAAGAAGAAACTAGAACTTACAATTCTGTGACAACCCTATAGTCTCCTTGAGTAGAACAGGTGACACCAGACCAAGGTGGAAGGTCTCCATCTCCACAAGGATCGTCACCGACCCATGAATACACCACTCTCCATCCCAAAGAGGCTTTGATTTCATTCAAAGCTTTCACTGTGCAGAGAAGATGAACACAGATTTAACTTTGAGGAAAGCTGAGCAAGAGCTTACAATATACAGTAACAAACTAAATGATATTAGCAAAGATAGAACTTGATTGAGATCAGTACGGATATTATCAGATCTATCCACTGCTCACACACAAATCTCTGTAAATTTCAGCTCAGCTCAGATTAGAAAGGAAACGACAAAAACAATTTCAAAATCGAAAATTTTGTGCTCAATAATGAAAATTGAATAGGAGATAGAACAAATCTCGATAATAGGTAGCTCTCAAATCTGTTAAGAGCTATAAAAAAAAAATCAATCAATGGAAGATCCATTAACACAAAACCAGAAGATAGAAAAAGCAGAATTACCATCTCGCTTCAACGTCTTGGAGTGAACAAAAGCAAACAAGAGAGACAAGACGCAGATCAGAAGTAGCTCACAGCGAGAAGCCATGGTTTTTTTTTATTAACAGCCGAAGTGAAAGAAAGAAAACGGATCTAAGTGGAGAGCGAAATCAAAAAAGCCATTTTTATTCTACAGTACCTCCTGACATTCGTAAACCGATTACGTGAATTCAAACCCGCATCTCACCGACGGGTCTGGTACCGACCCGGGTGTGTAACGAATTCGGGACAAATTATTGGTTTTAATCAGCTTTAGTATTGTTAAATGATAAAATCACTGATAAATTAACAATGCTGGGAAAAGTTACATACAGTAAATGAATCAATGTTGCAAAATAGTATGTTCTTTTCTATGAAAAATAATAACTCTGATGAGATCAAACCCAGTTTTGCTAATATTTATTTAAACCAGAACCGGTGAAAGTATACCAAGCCTAAAACAAAGTTGGAAATGTTCATCATATTACAAAAGATTTATGTATGGCGTACCAGCAGTTTCACATATCGAACTAATATAAGATCAAACACATAACAATTTGAGTTCTGACAAATCATAATATTCCGAATTCTGACAGTTTCTCAAATTAAACTTGAAAAAAAACAGAGCAACTTCAAGATCAGTTCTCAGAACTGCAAGATGTGTCTCCACCAGATGAAGAAGACGACTCGCTGTTAAGCTTCTTCATCTCCTCGTACGCCCATTCAAGTCCGTGACAGTAATGCAAAGGCGGATTAAATCTGGTATCACTTATGTCATCCGGAAGAAACGCACCATTCTCCACAAGAAACTTGACGGCTTCTCTCTTGCGCTCTTTGGCTGCAGCGTGGAGAGGTGTCCACCCGCAGGAGCCCCAGGTTCTAGCATCGATGTTGGCACCACGTTCGAGGAGCAAATCCATGACTTCTATGTGGCCTCCCTCGGCTGCAAGGTGAAGAGGGCTCACTCCTTTTGATTTTGGTCCCCATGCTAGAGCGTTCACGTCAAACCCTTGGTCCAGAAGCTGTTTCACTGATTTCAGATCGCCTTTCCTGGCTTTTATGTGCAGCGGAGTCCAGCCTCTGTCATCGACATTTGATCTTGGGGATCTGCGTCTAAGAGAGTTACGCCTGAGCGAGAATGCAACCGGCTGTTCTTGGAGCATTTTGGGTCTGAGCTTCAAGTTCAGGTAGAACAAGCTTTGAAAGTAGGATGCGTGCTTGTGTAGGACTATGAGACTCGGATAGGAAATAACCAAAGCAGACTTCCTCAAGAACTCAGTCAGCAGGATAACTTACTCTATGAGAGGACACAGATTTACATGATTTTTTGGTGTAAATCTCAACCAAGAATATCAAAAGCAGTGGCTAAGGGTTTGCGACAATATCCAGAATAGATACTGAAGGAAGGCAGACTAATGTAACTCAGTTGAAAGGGAGCAACTAAATTAACGGGAGGCAACCGAGTGATTGGCGATGCAGTAAGGGAAGGAGGGATTCAAACCAGGACCAAAGACACTAAGCTTTTGAAGAATCACAGTAAGAGCCATAGACAGGGTAGAGAAGATGAGCATCACTTTGAAATGATTAGTGGCGAATCCTACTGAAGCTCGACCACATTGAGACTGAGAAAACCTGATCTATGTGTTTACCCCAAAACTCAGCCAAGAATGCAAGTGATGGGAAATGTGATATTACCAGATCTGCCAACAAAAGAATGGACAAGAAAACCAAATTAGTGAAACCAGATGAACAAAACAAAAGCAGAAAAAGCCTCACAAATCTTTGAGGTAATAACACCAAACCACCCACACAAATATGAGCTAGTGTAGAGTTTTCCCTATTTAACGTACAAGACACCAAACCCAATCAGAGCACTATTGTAGTCTTTGGAATCAATACAAATAAAAGCATCACACTTGAAAGTCAAATCAATCTAATCAAGGAAACTAAGAAAACGTCGATCACCAATCAAAGAGATCAAGGGCACCCAATTCCACACCAATCAAAACAACTTCTAACAATAATGAGGAACTTAAGCATACGAATCCAACGATTCATCCGAACAAAACCGAGAAAAGTCCATTTTTTTGAGAAAAAAAAAGAACAATGAAACGATAAGCAAGGATTTTCACGCATACTGAATCAATGAAAAGAAGGGATAAAAAAACCTGAGAAGCTCGTACCGTACCCAGCGAGGAGATAGAGAGAAGCAGAGATGGTGGACACCAAACTCGGAATTACAGATTTTCTTCTCGCTGAGGAATATAGAGTTGGACCAAGGGTTTTTTCGTCGAGATAGAATCGGATTCTCAGAAGAAGAAGGAGGCGTGACAGAGAGAAAGACGAGTTTTGTTTACTATATTTTGTTTGTTGTCGAATTTGCCACCTCATACAGCTTAATTAAAAAAGGCTTTCACAAATAAACGGGCCTGAATATCTGGCCCATTATAAAACGGTTTTTCTGGTAATTTCCCGGTTCGATTTCGTGTAACCTAGGTTTGTGTATATTAACCTTGGAACGGAGAAGCTCAACGCCAAGCTCGCTTTGTTGACGTGCGTAAGTGAGCAAAATATACTCGTGGCTCGGGCGTTTTCAATTTTGGTATGTATATCGATTTGAGCTTCCGTAATCGCCAATTTCTGTGTTAATTGGTATATAACTATCGGTGAATTTGGTCGGATCCTATTGCGATTTATATGTTTTAGTCTCTGTTTGTTGTGGCTGCAGTTTAATCGGATTTTGGTGAAGTTTACTTCTCTTCTACAATTCATTGTGAACCCAATCTTCATTTCAATTTTTTTTCTTCTCAACTCCACTTCTTGGTTCGTGTAAGCTGTTCTTAGAAGTAAAATTGGATCTTACGGTTTTTATTTGCCGATATTTCTCTTTATCGTAGCTTATATGTTTTGTTTTGTCTGTAAAGCTTTAGTATCGATTTTGTTGGAAATTTTTTGGTTTTATTGGTTCTTTTGCATAGTTTTTATAATAAAGCTTTTTTTGGTAATTTTGGAGCTTGTTCTTACATATGAATTTACTGGAATTGAATGCTGATAATGAATATCCTCACTGGTTAGATAGATTTTCTGGAGAAAATCAGGCCCTTCTGCTTTATGATGATGTTCGTAATCCTTTTCACTGTCTAATAATTGTTCGTTTCATATGTCAAAGTTTGTGTCTTTATCCCTAATCTGGACTCCTTCGCTTCCTTTTTTGGCATTGCTAATCAGCTTCCTGCATTCCCATTAATGTAATTATGTATTCTTACAATGATTGTATCTGAGCAGGCGTTGTATAATAAAGGGTTAGTTTCAATCTTGCAATGGCATCGAAATGTCAAGTCCGTAGCCTATGTCGTTCCCTTCTTCGAGCGGGACGTCAATTCCCTGACTACAACATCAGGGAGTACACAAAGCGAAGGACTTTGGATGGGTTCCGCATGAACAAGAGTCTCACTGACCAATCAAAGGTTAATGAGGCTTATGCTGAAGGTAAAGCACAGCTGGAGGTTGTAGAGAGGGTGCTCAAGGTCTATTCAGCATATCCTCCCAAGACCAAGAACATCATGGAACTCAAGCTTCAGTAGATGTATGTTTGTCATTTCAATACCCTCAAAAGCTATTTGTTTATTGTTGATTGGTTTTTGAGTTTTTATTGAGAATATTATTGATGAACTGGTGGTGTTTGACACTGATTATTAATTCACCTATTCCTTATTTCCTCCCAACATTGCTTTGTGCACTTCTCATCGAATCTTTTTGTCTTATGTCTTTCAGACCCTACCAAGTGAAGAGAGGACACTATGAAAGAGTTTCTTGTATTGGAGCAGAGATAGACTGGAGAGAATGAAGAGTTCGTGGCGTTGATTGTTCTTAATAATCTCAAACGATTCTGCATTGTTTCATAGAAAAGTCCCCAACTTTTCTGTAGTTTATGTACTCTTATGTCCATGGTTAGCGCTGATGCTGTTAGGTTATAAATCTGGGATTCAAACACATTATTATTAATCTATTGTCAGAGTTTCTAAAGAAATCTTTCTGATACAGAAGAACAACAGCAAAATTGCTTGTGTCCTGGACAAACGTGAATTTTTTGGTTTTAAGATCAAATACAACATAGAGTAAAAAGGTATATAACATGATAAGAACCGTTTGGGTTTTTAAGGAACAAGATCAAACGAAAGAGGTAGAGAGTGCAACATAATATCTCTGTTCATCTACTTCCCGAGCAAACGGCGGCCCCGTTGGTTAGATTGTTGGACTCTGAAGTTGAGTTCGTCAACATCATCATGAAGATGATCAAGTCCTTTGTTCTGCTTTTCGATTTCACTTCCCATGTCAACTGCCATGTTCTTTAGCTCGCCCAGTAGATCACTCAAATCCGAAAGCCCATCGTCTTGCTTAGCTTTCTCCATCTGTTGTAAAAAAAGAGTATAAATAAATTTAGCAAGATTAGAGACAAAAAGACAAACTTTTTTTACTCAGATATTAAAGAAGCTAGCTTCGGAGGTTCATCAATGTCTCAAGTTTGGATCTTTGTGCATGTATGCAACACTCATCTCAGATGCGAGAGTATAATAATGTTCCTCTGAAAGAAAAAACAAAAGAAGAGAAAGGGGAGAAAAGTCCTAACCTCCACTTTCTGATAGGCATCAGCTGATTCAGGGAGCGGTTCTCGGGTTCTTGATTGTGCTTTCGGTGCCGGGTTCAGTCCCAGTTTTTCCCTTTTCTCCAAGTGGTTAACTCTTCTCGTTGGTGAGTGATCTACGCCGAACACAAAGAGTGGGAATATCATGCAATTAGGAAAAAAGGTAAAATAGCTGCGAGAATAATCGAGGAATCAATGACCAAGAAGCAAACCTCTAGTTATGATTGGACCATCTATAGAGCGAGTCTTCTTTGGCTTCCAAGTCTTTGAAAACATACCTCCAAGGCTTCCAAGAAGCTTCTCACCCTGAAAACCAAATCCACAAAAGTAAGCATCTCAATCAATAAAACTCCTGTCATTCTTACTCCACGCCAACTAATATCCTAAAAATATAAGTTTTCCATTAGGAAAAGGAAGAAAAAGCTTACTCGACTGAGATCATGATCTATTTCAACAGCTTTATGGTGCGTCCTTGTGATTTGCTCGCCCTGCTCGTGCAACATGACCAAAGTTCTGGTAGCATCTGACCTTATATCTTCTGCTACCTTGAGACAACCCTGTACAGATTTCGTCGTCTCTTCAGCCTTGTACACAGCGTAACCCTCAAGCTCCTGAACCGACTGGTTTTCAATACCTCCTGAATCTCGGAAATTGTTCTTGTACTGATATCTGGAGTTGGAAGTCAACGACTGTTTCGATGAGCTATATCCTTTCTCAACCTCCTCAGCATCAAAAGGGTTTGTCATTTCAGCCAAAGAGGGTTCAGAGGACGTCCTCTTCGAAGGGTTAAGGGTGTGTTTGTTGTCCAGTTCATCATCTGAATCAAACGGATTCGGCTTGGAAAACTTTTGAAATCCAGGATCAACCGAGTTATGCTTGGGAAGCTTTGCCGGTGATTTCCTCAAACCAAACATTCTCTTTCAAAGTAATATCACAGAACTTGTTGCTTCGGAAAAACGAACACTTGGAGGATTGCTAACTAATTAATAAACGTTCCTGCAGAAAACCAAACAGTAATCAGAATTGATGTTGTGATTCTAACTTCTAAGCTAAGAGAATAAGGTAAAGCTTTAAAAAACGGTTTTACGATACTAAAGCTTTAAACTTGATCAAATCCAAGACAAAACAAAACATATAAGCTACGATAAAGAGGAATATCGACAAATAAAATCAGTAAGATCCATTGATTCCACTTCTAAGAACAGCTTACATGACAGTACAACACATCACTAGTATAAAACAAACTCCTTTCAGATATCAGGTTTAAACCTAATTGGGGAAGAAGAAAAAAAAAAAGAGAGCGCAGGCATATGAAGCGGCTAAAGAAACAAAAGTAAGCAAAATTCACAGAAGACTATGATAGCCCACACAAAAATTCGCTCGATACTTTCTCTAATTCTCTCTGCATCGAGAAAACAAACAATCTTCGAGGAAAAACTGAAGAGGAACAGAACAAATCGAAAACCCAGGATCTATGAGATGGCGAAACAAAAGGAAAAACTAAAATTGAGCACAGCGAAACTGAGAGAGAGCAGATCGCGGTTACCTGGATGAGCGAAGAAGTGGAGTAGAGAGAAAAAGAAGAAATGAAGATTGGGTTCTTAATGAATTGCAGAAGAGGACCAAATCAATGCGAAGAAGAAGAGATCAGAGAAAGGGCAAAAGGATTTAACGCGGAAACGACTAGGAACGACCCACGAATTTGAGTTCAAAGTCTTTTGGGTTTGTGTTGACGAAATTTATTTAGGAGAGATTTTTTTTTTTTAATAAGAGGAAAACAAATTTTGGAGAAAATCAATAAACGTGGGTACAATAAATTAATAAAAATTATTAAATCTAAACGGTCATATAACGCTCTTCTTTTTTTCCCTCCAATCTTAAAAAACAAATGTCAGTTTCTAACAAAACTATTACATTGTGAAAATAATGATAATTAGTTAATTACTATATTTAAATCACATTCGTGATTCGTGGTTATATAATCCTAGGAATAATTGGTTCTGTTTCTTATAGGAGAATAGTCAGTATTATATTTCCCAATTTTTTCCCCTTTGTTTCTGTCTATTTTATACCAATGATTTTACTTTATTGTGCATGAGCCATCCCAATTTCGATTTCGACGTCTGGGGTAAGTTGTCAACTTGTCATCCAAAAAGAACGTTCTATGTTGAATTTGTCAATTAAACATATTGTACCCAAAATATCCTACTTGAACAAAATAAATTGTTTGACAATATATATCTATACGTATGCATATGATTTTTTTTGTGTGTGAAAACGTATGCATATGATGTATGCCCAATTCATCACATTATTTTATCTAATACCAGTTACACAAGTAGAAAAGCCGAACGTTCTCGTAGATATGATATTTCGATATATCAGATACATTGATTTAAAACGTATACGAAAAAATATGAATCCAATTCAATTGGCTCTTACGTTTTGATCATAAGCACACGAATTTATACTTCGACCCAAAGAAAGAAAGCCAAGAGCCTCATAATTTGAGTGTTAAGCTTTCGATTTGTTTTAGTTAGCTCAATATGTCAGAATTGCTTTTACGTTTTGATCATAAGCCAAATATATTAAAACTTAACAATAATTGTATGACTGGTTTTCTTTTCTTCTATATACTGTATACCAAGTTAATATATTATTATTATTATTACTATTATTATTATTATTATTATTATTATTATTATTATTATTATTATTATTATTATTATTTATGAAGAACAAGTTGGATTAGGTATTTCTTAAAGTCCAAGTTGGATTAGGTTTAGGTTAGACAACAAATTTACAAGCCTTTTGATTAATAATAATACACATGACTGGTTGTTTTCTTTGACCCATTCATTTATACAAGACTTTGCACATACATGATACAATTAGAAAGATTTTTTTTTTCAGAAAATAAAAAGGAAAATACAGTATTGGGATAGAAAAAATGGGCCATTAAAATAGGCCCAACTGAACTAGACTCATCACAGGCCCATAAAATATCGCCGAAGAGCAAGTAGCTTTGGTCAATGACCGTTGCCTTCCAATTTCCACAGTCACCTCGCTTCTTTGGGTTCTGGAAACGCACCAATTGGAACCACTTTACTCTCAATATCTACTCCTCCTTTAGTGCTTTGACAAACTTCTTTGGTATTCTCTTGTGCCTCCTTAGGCTGATACCGTAGCTCTTCCAACACGTCTCTTGGATGATCTTTCTCTTTAAGGTTTTCTTCTAAAATTTTCTTATCATCAAAGAGAACCTGTTTTCAGTGTTTAAGATGTATCAAGCTCTCATGCTTTTGAGTCTCACATTCATTCAAGTCTAACTTAAGCGTAAACCAAAAATTCTTCCACTTACCTCTGCATGTCTCTTTACGCTCTTAGCGTGCTTTTTGCCCATCAGATGAGACTCGAAGACGATTGGATGTACGCAGATAACGTTGCAAATACTACACACATATACTTCAGGTTCAGCTCCATCTTTATTGACATTGTCCTTCCCCTTCTTGACCATGTACTCCTTGAGATGCTCAGTCGCTCCTTCGGGGTTACTTTCAGGATCGCCTGAGTTCATTTCTAGGTGGTTCTGATTTGGTATACTTAACTCCCGGGTTAAATTTGCATCTCGTGGAAGTTCTAGTTTCTTGATAATGCCACCAACCCATTCTCTGTAGGGTAACATCTTAGGACCATTAGAAATGAGAACACTTCAATTTACATAATAAAGAACTCCAAGTTGGAAGCTTTTACCTAGCTTCTTCAGGGGCCGAAAACTCAGGGTTTAGTTTGGCGAAGATAGACTTTGCATTTGGAAGAGGTTTGTTCTCATTCTCAAGTACTTCTTCAAAAGTTTGACAATTTTCTTCGACATTTCTTTCAGAGGTGGCACATCTCTCTCTGAGCTCCTTGTTTTTATTCTCTAAGCAGTTAACGTTCTCAAGTGCCTCTCCAGGCTGAATTCGGAGCTCCTCAATCATTTCTGTCGGGTGACCATTATCTTGAATCATTTCCTCTTGAATTTTCATATCATCAAGCAGACCCTGTTTCAATAATTAATGTATCAACCTTCATGATTTTGATTTCACACTGAGGCTCTAGAGTTGAGGCTAAAACAAACTCCCTAATTAAACTACGAAACCTGAGATTTTCATCCAAAAAATCAGTATCATAAAGTAGTGACTTTAGCGAAATCTAACACTAACTTACCTCTGCGTGCCTCTTAACCATATTAGTGTGCTTCCGGCCCTTAAGATGAGACTCCAAGTCGGCAGGCCAATCACAAATAACACTGCAAAGGCTGCAAACATATGGTTCAGCTCCATCTTCAGTCTTCTGCTTTTTACTCTTCTTTCTCTTCTTCTTCGTGTTCATGTCCTCGAGATGCTCAGTTGGTCTTGCAAGTGAATTTTCTAGCTCACCTGGCTTCATGTTCAAGCCAACTTTTAGCATGCCTTCCAACTTCCCATTTTGTAAAGGTTCTAGTTTGTTGAGGATCCCTTCAAACCAGACTCTGTTACACAAAATATTATTATATCAGAGAAGACTTCAAAATTTGACACTGAAGAAGCACTATTGAATTTACCTCAATTCTTTGGGCACCCGAAAGTCACGGCTTAGTTCACTGAAGACACAAGCTACATTTAGAGGAGCTCGCTCCTCACTCTCCAGCCTTTCTTTAAAATCTTGCCAGAACTCTTTACCACTCCTTTCAGATGCTGTACAACTCTCCATCAGTTCCCTGTTTTGTTTTTCCAAGTACTTCATAGACTCTTGGGCATCCCGAGACTGAAGGTCATTGTCTTGAACAACTTCTTCAATGTTTTTAACATCAACGAGAGCCTGCTCCAAAGTCAATAAATAATAGAAATCAAGCTTTCTATTTTCACATTTGGACTCTAGTATTAAGGACGAGAGATAAAATTAAATGTTTCTGAGAGATCTTGGACTCTAGTATTAATGACTGCAGCACCAAAAAAATTAGAAATACAAGCTTCAGATAGTAAAAGGGTTAAAACTTGCCTCTGCTTGCTTCTTCAACATAGCAGCACTCTTGGGATGAGAATCAAGGGAAGCTTGGGTAGGACACACGACACTGCATGAACTGCAATGTGCACTTGCCTCAACTCTGGCTTCAACCACCTTATTCGTCATCTGCACGTCCTTCTCATGACACTTACTTGGTGCTGCAGCCATATTTTGAGGCTCACCCAACAGTTCCAAGTTCTGCTTCAGCTTCCACTTCAGAACCAAACGCACATCCAGTGGAGAAAGATAAAATGGGGTCAAAATTTGATATCGAGATATTTTCTTTCAAAGGCAAACAGAGCTAGAAGCGAGAAAGAAAAATATGTGGTCAAACGTTTTTGACTCAAATAGACTCTATCGCCAGACAAAGACAAGTGTATTTGATATAGATATCTGAAAGCCAAGAAATGGAAAGGCGGAAGAAACAGAAAGTTCTTTTTGGCTCTCAAAACTAGGATGCTTACCTGAGCTGCGTGTTCCTTACCCGAGAGATGCAAAGTGAAAATTTCAAAGCTTTTGCAAGCAACATTGCATATTTTGCAGAACCAGGTAGATTCACAAGTTTCCCTGCAGTTCTTCTGAAGCTTCTTTCTTCTTGTCTCCTGTTGCAAGAGCTGATTCGGGGCATCTTGGCTGGGTATTTGAGAGTCGTCAAAGAGCCGTGAGTATTCACACTGTGTGAGAGAAGCCCCACTTGCCAATAAGCTTCTCCAGAGCTGTGTGAGAGGAGCCCCACTCACCAAAAAGCTCTTCCAAAGCCATGTGGTCTTTGCAGAAGCGACCAGCGAGGCTGAAACTTGTTGAGGGTGAACGAGAAGAATGTTGTATCTCTTCATTCGCAGCCGGTGAAGAGCATCGGAGAAGTCTCCATCACCGGAGATGAGCATTATATTAGCCGGAGCAGGATTTTCCATCACCCACATAAACATATCCACCAGAATCTTCTTGTCGCTCGCGTCTTTCTTTCCTGTTCAAGAATGATACCAAATCCAATTTCTTTGATAAGAAAAACAAAAGCCAATTGAATCTAGAGAGACGGAGATGATGAGATTTAACCGGAAGGGACGTGATTGAGAGAGATTCCAGAGGAAGAGATAGCTAGCTGGACTGAATTAGGGATGAGACTGGTGTTTCCATAGGAAGAGATGGAGAGAGGGCCACAGTAATTCATAGTATTCAGAGCGGAGCTGAATTTCTGAGCTATCCCATGAGCATCAAAACCATTGGGAACCGGACAGTTCTCAATGTCCCACCAAACTGATGTTTTGGCCCTAGCGTACTCAGCCTCCGCGTTGCTCATTATCTCCGCCGCCGTGTTCACCGTCGTGATGACACGGCTCTCTCTCAAACACAGCTTAGTCTCTCACACGCTCCTTTGATATTATTGAAAAGACGACAAAAAGAAAAGGAGACTAAAAAAAGTAAATAAAAATGACTTTATTTTAAGGAAAAAAAACATAACGACTGATTATTGAACAGTGAGCAATATATTTTCGTTAAGTTTTCTTACATTATTAGGCACCTAATCATGGGGTATCAGACAACCTAAAATTTTATGAAAAAAAAAAGATCATTCGTTGCAGACAACATGAGTTTAACAGTTGTTTTAACTCTTTGTCTTTGATCCCCAAAGGCGGGTCCAAAAGTTGTCCACTTGGACCTTAATCTCTTCCCTTTTGCCAGCCACTCCTGCAGACTCGTTTCCAGGTTCCCGTGATCTTGCTTCGGCTTCGGATTTTTGGTTGGACTCATCTCCCAGCTTCTCCTTCACCACATTCACATCTGGTGGCAGTTGTAATCTCTCAGGAATCACATCCAAACACCCTCTGTAACCCCATATCCAAGTAATCATTAGATACACGCACATATATATACTGATCAAAATTTAAGACACAACTCCTCTGATTGTTGTTGGCTCGTACCTTGATTCTTTAGGTATTCTAGACTCTCGATTCACTATTTCAGTGAAGGCATGCGCTAAGTTCTCAGATATGGGGTTAATCTCCTTCACTTCCTCTTTATCTTCTTGTCCTCCTTGAAAAACGACATGATCGTCGATCTTTACAAGTGTCTGCTCCTCTGTTGTTTCTTTTTCTTGATCGCTTTCGTCTCTTGTTTTCCTTGAGTCGGCAATGAGTACCTGTTCCAATGCTTTTCGGTCAAATTCTTGTCGACTTCTCCTTGAATCAACAAGTGCCTTCTACAACAATATTCTAGTTTAACATCTTTATCTTTGTTTCACTATACTGCTTTATAGGCTTAAGAGTCAGATATAATATATACTCCGTTACTTTCGATGTATCAAACCTACGGAGACATGTGTAATATTGACACACGAAAGAAAACCAAACAGTAGAGTTATAAACTTGCCTCTGTTTGCTCCTCGACCATGGCAGCATGGTTCTGAGTCTGACTCTTCAGATGAGAATCAAAGGCTGTTTGGTTTTTGCACATTACCTTCTTCGTTTTCTCTTCATTCTCCTTAGAAAGCTTGGCCGGTCCCTTACACATGTTTTCGTTCTTGTCTGATTGCAATTCCAACTTCTGTCGGTGTTTTTTCCCATAGATATGATTTGCATATACAACCTTGCTGTCGCAGCTGATCTTGCAGACTTGGCACCACACGGGCTGTAAAAGCTCCGGTTCCTTTATAAGTTTGGTTGAAACGCTGGACTGAGCATCATCACTGGCTACTAGGGCAACCTACATCAAGAATAAAAGTCAGATGGGTTTGAATTTGATCAACAATAAAGAGGCACAACAAGAACTACAGTCTTTTTTTTTTTTTTGGTCAAAGCAAGATGTACAGTCTCTACCCGGTTTTTAGTACTTGAAAAAGGTTCTTTTACACTGCTTTTTGAGGTGCCACTGCCACATATCTCTCTGAAATCTTTGTTTTGCTTCTCTAAGAACATAGGATTCTCTTGAGTTTTTTGAGATTGCAACTGAGGCTCTGCAATTGCTTCTCTTCGTTGATCCTTTTCTACGACAGTTTTTTCTTGCAGCTTCTTAGAATCAATGAGTGCCTGATCCAACGCTATTATATTAGGCATATACTTTACTGAACTGTCAAGTTTTTAATGTTAATTGAAATCACAAATTCTCGAATAGCCAAAAGTTAGAAACTTGCCTCTGATTGACTCAGCATGGCAGCATGCTTCTGACCCCTTAGATGAGAATCAAAAACAATCTGACTCTGGCATGTCACATTGCACAAACGGCAAACATGGTAAGCATTAGGTATAGGCTTTGCAATTGTTTCTCTTGGTTTATCCATTTCTCCGACACATTTCTCTTGAAGCTTCTTAGAACCAATGAGTACCTGATCCAACGATAATATATCAAGCACATGTTTTTATCTAACTGTAAAATTTTGTGTTTATAAATTCCTAATGCTAAGTTCAAATAAAAAAATTCTGAAACTTGCCTCTGATTGACTCAGCATGGCAGCATGCTTCTGGCCCCTTAGATGAGAATCAAAGACAATTTGACTCTTGCATGTCACATTGCACAAACGACAAGCATATTCAGGATTTGTTTTAGGCTCTGCGATTGCTTCTTTTGGTTGATCCTTTTCTCTGACACCTTTCTCTTGAAGCTTCTCAGAATCAATGAGGGCCTGAAACAACGGTAATATATCAAGCATTACGCATACCACACTGTAAAATATGGTATGTTTGTAAATTCCCAAGTTCTTGAAAAGCCAAAAGTTAGAAACTTGCCTCTGATTGACTCAGCATGGCAGCATGCTTTTGACCCCTCAGATGAGAATCAAAGACAATTTGACTCTGGCATTTCACATTGCACAAACGACAAGCAAAGTCAGCATTTGGTTTAGTCCTACCTTCACTCGCATTCTTCTTACTCTTCATTTTCTCCAAAACCTCCTTAGGAGGCGCAACTGGTCCCCGTGACACGTTTTCAGACTTACCTAATTGCAACTCCAAGTTGCTTCGGTGTTTTTTACCATATGTGTGCTTTGCATATGTCTCTTTGCTGATGCAGCTGATCTGGCAAACATTGCACCATACAGGTTCCACAACCTCTGCTTCCTGTATAAGTTTGGCTGAAACGCTGGCCTGAGCTTTTCGACTGCCTACCAGCGCACCCTGCGTTAAGATACCATTTTGATGCATATTTCTTCTCATCTCTTGAGGTAATCCTCTCTGGTTTTCACTGGCTTTGTGATCCTTAGCATCTCCAGCGTCAGAAGTAGAACCAGTTGGTTTGCTGGACTGAGCTTGTTCAGAAGCTGGATCTTTTGACATTTCTTGATTAGAGACATGACAGCGTCCATTGTTGACCAGTCGCGAGGATTCACCACAAGTAAGAGGAGGACCCCCCGATGCTAGGCTTGTCCAGAGCCATACATTTTTGGCAGCAGCAACAAGCGGCACAGAGGCCCGTGGAGGCTGAGCAAGAAGAATCGTGTACCTCCTCATACTAAGCTGGTGAAGAGCATTGGAGAAATCTCTATCACCAGAGATGAGCATGAAATTAGCTGGTGCAGGGTTGTCTACAGCCCACAATAACATATCCACTAGGATCTTCTTATCGCTCGCATCTTTCACTCCTGTCCAGACCACCAAAACAGCACACATTCAATCTTACGTCTCACCCTAACACAACTTATAATATAACCCAAAAAGATTGAATTTTTATTACAATCTTCCAACGCAAAGCAACTCAAAAATCAATTTCTGGAACAGCAAAGAGAGAAGAAAGCCAAAGACTAATAGGAAGGATCCTGGATCATCATCATGTCTCACCCTAACACAACTTATAATATAAAACCAAAAAGACTGAATTTTTATTACAATATTCCAACGCAAAGCAATTCAAAAATCAATTTCTGGTACAGCAAAGAGAGAAGAAAGTCAAAGACTAAAAAGGAAGGATCCTGGATCATCATCATCTAACCACAAACAATAACCAAAATCATAGAAAATCAACAACCCAAAATCCCAATTCCAGGAAAGAAACAAAGGGGGGAAAAAACCTGCAGGAACGTGATTAAGGCCAACACCAGTAGAAGAGAGAGCTTGCTGAACAGCGAGAGGGATTAGAGTGGTGTCGCCATACGCGGAGATTGAGACAGGTCCACAGTAATTCATCTTCAACAAAGCCGAGCTCACATTCTGCGCAATCGTATATGCATCCCAACCTTTCGGGACCTCACAGTTCTCTATATCCCACCACACCGACGTTTTCGCCCTCGAGTACTCGGCCTCCGCCGTTGTCATCGCCGGAGATTCTAGAGAGAAGAGACACAGTTGTTCTTCAGATGAAGCAAGAGAGTGAATGAACAGAAGAAAAAAAAATTGAAACTTTCTATCTCTAGAGTCGGAGATCGGAGCTGGCAAATCTCACATCTTAAGTAAGAGTGAAGAAGTTTCCGATTTATATCTAAACCATCTTTGTATCCGCTTTTTTTTCAATTATTGTTTTTGTACGAGCAAAAGTAGAAGAAATACACTGTAATTCAACTTTTTTTTTTACATTTTGTTTTACAAGCCACGTCAGCAAATTAAAAGCGCGCCAATCAGACAATGAGATACTGCTATAAATAAAGCCTATGATAGCCGTTGTACGTAGGAGGATGTATCTCCATGACTCCATCGGTAATCAGCAGGAAAAAACACTCGAAAATAGGAACTGATAATTAAGCCTATTTATTAGTAACATTAATAATTTGTCCTACTATAATAGATACAGGCATGCCTAATCCGTTCCGCTATCAAGTTATTTTCCTAGAAAAAAAAACTCTCACATTTCCATTTCGAAGGCCATATTTTTGAATTTATTTAAATATTTCTAAACTAATATACTCGATTATTTCAATTCATAGTGTATAATTGTTTTTTTTTTTGTTGGTAAAACACGATGTGTAATTGTTACCTTACGAAAAACAATAAAGTTAATGAGTTATAGATCATTTCACATACAAAAAAAAAGGTTTATAACTTCCTCGTTTTCAAGATCCATCCAACTACCCCAGTTTGGGAAATTCACAAAACGTAATTGCAACTTGTTTCACTCAGAAACTAATTTATAGAGACAGATATAGGGAGACTACGCAGCTTGAACTTTGAGTTTGTTTTTGTGTCCACGACCTGAGATATGTTCTTCATGCCCATCTGTTGGGTAATGGACCTGGCAAATGCCACACCACATGGTTTTTGGTTTGACTTTGGCATGAGCGCTTTGACTGGCTACTAGCGCGGTCTACACAACCAAAACCAATTTAAGTAAAAGGTGTTTCAAACTACAACAACAACCGTCACACACAAAAAAAAAAAACTATCAAGTAAATTACATATGTGCCACACACACATCTAATCTCGTTGGTTCTTGAAGAGGTTACGAGTTTCTTCACATGATAGACTACTTGGAACTTTTTTTTTTTTTTAAAAAAGGATTCTTTGGATCAATACCAATTTGCTTACGGTGAACTCAAGATTGTGCTCAAAGAGAGGACAACAAAACAATCACACATGAAGGAAAAAAAATAACAAACGAGAGAACATATATTGTTTTTACCTTTTGCTTGTGCTTTTTACTTGAGAGGTGAGAGTTTAAATCAACTTCGCTTGTGCAAGTAACTTTGCATGTTTCACATGATTTCTGGCCACTCTTGCTTTTAACGGCCAAATCTGAGCTCATACCCTTGCTCGGCTCAGCTTGTTTAGGAACCTCGGTGCACGATCCACCAGCAACTATGCTCCTCCATAACCACATTGTGTTTGCAGCAGCAATCAGAAAGGGAGATGCATGCTGATCAGGACGCACTAGAAGAACGTTGTACCCCATCATCCTCAATCGGTGAAGAACATAGGAGAAGTCTCCATCACCAGAGATGAGCATCATATTAGCAGGAGCTGGATTTTCCATTGCACACAACAACATGTCAACAAGTATCTTCTTGTCACTCCCGTCTTTTACTCCTGTTTGTAATCACACACCATCAAAGAAACCTTAATCACCATCAAAAACTGCAAACTAGACACTTGAGATTCAAAAAGATTCAATATATAAGAAAGAGATCAGAGAGATATAAACCGGGAGGGACGTGAATGAGTGATACGCCGGTTGACGAGAGAGAGTTCTGTACAGAGGAAGGGATTTTATTGGTGTCACCATATGCACCAATGGTGAGAGGACCACAATACTTGTTTTTCTCCAAAGCCGACTTGATGTTTAGAGCAATCTTATGGCCATCACAACCTTTGGGGACCATGCAGTTCTCAAAGTCCCACCACACTGAAGTTTTAGCCGTTGCAAATTCTGCATCCGCCGGTTCTCTGCTGGTCGACGACGTAGTTAGATACTTGAGCCCAACTCCGTTCTCTATTCTTTTGGCCCTTGCCACCGTCACTTCCCGGGAAAGATTAGAAAAAGGTAGTGCCCGTGAAAGTGAAGCTAACGCCAGCTTTAGTTTCATTTTTTTTTGTTTGATCGGTTTTGCTTGCAAGAAATAGATTTAGACCTCAAAAACTGGCGGTAAGTTTTACGCATTCTTGGGATCAAATGGAGTGTGTTAGCGTTCCACTAAACGACAGATAAAATGCTAACTAAACAAAAACGGGAAGAAACCTATTCAATCATTACTGTGTCTCCCTCTATTGGTAATTAGCAAAACAAAATCAAAATTAGGATTGGTAATAACCTACCTACTCGAGGCATGTACCGATGTACGCATGCCTGTACAACCTGCACAGCCCAAGGCTTAACGTGTAAGTTTAGTATATTGATCAAGCTTTTTCTTGAAAGATAAACCGTCGAATTATTACGAAGGATTCCCAGTTTGGAAGTTGTAGAGTCTTTCATCATTAATCAAGAATTTCATTGCCAAAATTTAAAACCCTACGGCAACAAAAAAAATTATATACAACTTCGCAATAACCAAAAGTCATACTATTTCAGCATCCATCCAACAACAAAGATGAGACTAAAAAGACAAGTTTGGCAAGGTTCTCTAATTGCATTCTCTTTCACTCTAAATCTTATAAGGAGACAGATAAGTGGGTCGTACAGACATGTTTTCGGAAATGCTCTGCTTGGGCTTCAAGTAAGGCATCTCACACCATGAGGTTCTAAAAGTAGTAAAAGTGATCTCTAGATTGGTTGGGCTTAAGGAGACGACAACAAGCACAAACAAAAAAGTGTATAACCTACTTCTCAACTTCATCTTCCACCAAACACGACAATGATCTGTATACAAGAACAAGAAGCTTTTTTTCCCAAGTAAGACCTGGTAACCCCTTCTTCAAGCAACCGATGGTAAATTCTTCAACCACGGATCCCAAGTCTTCCCAATCGAATACACATGTTGATCAATTCTGCTGTCATTCACTGGTATAGTGGAGTTGATTTCTCAACTACGATCTTGTCTGGGTTATTCGCATTGGGCAACCAGTTTTTGTTAAATGTAACTGAAGTTCAACGTCGCATTATTAGTTATATTCATCATTTTCCGAACGTAGAAAGTGAAAATAGGAATCGTGTCTTTAGAGGAAACCCAGGTTTCAGGTCAACGCCTTACTTTTCACTCCAAATTATGTGTAAGAAAAAACAATTTTGCAAATACTGAAAGTATCACAACATAGACTTAAGCAAACTGGTCACAGTTTTATAACTAAAGTGCATGAAATGAACAGAAAACGAGGTCAAAGAGAATAATATCAAATATATTGCCTTTAGTCGCTGAGAATAAAAGAGGAGCAAAAGAGAAAAACTCATCAAAAACAAAAATGAGAAGGAATTCGACTTCTAGTTTCAAATGCAACTCATTCCATGACTACTCTCAAGCAGAAACCTCCACGTTGACACTCTGTCCTCGTGATTTGATTTAGATGGCAGCTGCGATCCTTCCTGCGACTTGGTCAAGATCCCTCTGACCACTTGATGTGATCTTCCTCCCTCTGTTTACATCAGAATATTTATATGTTAGCTAGTGAAGATGTCATAATTGAATCCGTAAGGGTAACACTAATGAAGCCATATACATTTAAGCAAGCTTTTCATAATGCGGCGGATACGATAAAAACTCACCCTTTAGTGTCAATGTCGACAATGTTCATAGTCTGGAGTTGCTGAAGAATGTGACGAGCAACACCACCACTGCTCTTGCAGAAATGAGGTGGACGGCTTCCGTTTCTCTTGCTTCCTCCATAGATCCTACGGAAGGCACCCACTCCAAGACCACCCCTTAGGTATACTTTCCTTGCCATGGAAGCTAAAGAGTAGAATTTTGTCTCAGAATTAATATTAACAGGAGACTTGACCAAATGCAAACAATAAGGAGACTTGACGAGATGTTTAGAATTACATACCGGCTCTGATGTAGTACCAGTCAGGGTCATATGGAGCAAGCTCCTTAAGTTTACCAGTCTTGACGATGTCTGTCCACGAAGGCAGCTCAATCTACATGAAAGGAATAATATTTGAGATCAATATTTGTAATACTCTTAGATTCTAACAAATACGACTACCAAAAATCCAAGCTAAGCAACCAATACCAACACCAATATAGTGAATTCACTCTAATTTCATACACAAGACAAAGATGAAGACTGAAGAGACACAAAACAATGTTCAATCCTGCTGAGATTTTGATTTCTCGGCACTGTTACGATTCAACGGTGATCATCTCACACTCATGAGCTAAAATTTAGCTAAAATAGGATACGGGCCAGAGGCTTAGAATCACGATTCGTCAGATTTACCTTGCCGGAGCGCTTGAGATGAGCAGCGTAAGCCTTGACGAACTCGTGCGGAGAGACATCCTTCACCGTTTTCCCTGTCGCCATTGTTGTCGCGCCTCTGATCCTTCTTCTCCTCCTTGTGCTTCGGCGTCGGCGCTGCTTGTCGTGCTTTTGGAGTATTCGAGATGGGACTGGGACGGAATTATGACAGGCGAAATTAGGGTTTTTGAGGAGTTCCCATGAGAGAAGGTTTAGTACTTTACATAATTACCCTTATTGTTTTGGGTACTGGGCCTATGAAATATATGTGGCCCGTAATTTTGTAATTCTCATTACAATGTAACTGCTAATCAATAATTTCGTAATTTCCGCAATCAGTGTAACATATATTTAATTGTTTCATATAAATTTCATAACTCTAATTGTTAAGTGTCTTAGTCTTAAGATTCAAGTGATAAGTAATATTTGAGCGATTATATTTTTTTTTAATCTGTTTTCTATAAACTCGCATTAAAAAACAAAATAAAAAAGCTTTCACCTTCAACCAAACCCTCCGTCGTAGCTCAGATCACGATCACCGTCACGAGCAAAGAAGGAGTGACTGTGAGAAAGAGAGGCGAAGATGGTAGCAGGAGGAGAAGTAAAGAGGTCTGAGATGATGCAGAATCTCTTCGGAGATAATTCCGAGGAAGAAGAGATCGATTCCGAACATGAGTCCAACCCTCAGCCCAACTATCAATCTGTAACTCTCCTTCTTTTTACTTCCCTTAAATTTCGTTCATTTCCTGAATATTGTTTCGGTTTTTCGTTTTTTGCCCACTGTTTTCCTGAATTACGATGTTTCGGTATTCGGAAATCCTTGTCGCCTGAATTTTAGGGTTCTAAGTAAACTGCAAGAGCTAATTCTGAGATCAACATGTTTTTATTGTATGATTCTATGTCATGTTCAGTGGATATGTAATCCATGATGTCGTTTGATTTCTTGTCTTTTTCAATAAACGGAATTTTCAATGCAAGTAAAATTGTGGCTGAAAAAAATTTCCAATCTAAACTCCAATAGGATGAGGCCGAGGGCGGGGTGGAGCCTGAAGAAGAAGGTGAAGCTGAGGTTGAAGCTCACGGAGAGGCTGAGGCTGAAGCTGAATCTGACGGGGAACAGGGTGATGTAGAACCTGATCATGGAGAAAGTGAGGGTGAGAGGGAGCAAAGTTCTCAGGAGGGTGATGTTGCTGATCGCCAAGAGGAAAGTGAAGAAGAAGAAGAAGAAGAAGTAGAAGAAGAAGTAGAAGAAGAAGAAGAAGGAGACGAGGAGAGAGTAGCCACAACCAGGAGACGAGATGTTGTTGAGAGTGGATCAGAGAGGTCTGGCGAAAAGCATTATGAGTCTGAAGATGAAGAGGTTGATCAGACTAGGAGGCCAAGGTACCCTTTTTCTCATCTGTTGTGTGGCTTCTTATGAACTCACTGTGTTTTGGATGCGTTTAGTAATGCTTGCTAGTCATCTGACCGTATCTGAGATTCCTTGGATTGCCAATTTGCTAATGGCTCACTTTGTCTGTTGTAAATGGAAAAATGGCATGGCGCGTAGATCACCTAGTGAGGAGAAGGAAGAGGCTCAAGTTGCACAGTCAAACGTAAATATTCGTAATGTATTTGGATCTTCGGATGATGAAGATGCAGAAGAATATGTTCGGAATGACATTGTGCCAGACGAACCTGTGAGTTTACATGGCTGTTTCTTATCCAATTTCTGCGTACGTTTAGAAACCATATGACTTTGCACACATATGTATGCTGAGATGTCTAAATTTTCAGAGATCGCCAATCGAAGATGAAGAGGGCTCTGAGAAGGATCAGAGACCTGACGATATGGTGCTTGATGATATGGTCCCTGAAGAAGATCTTCGATACGAGTCAGAAGATGAGCATGTTGAAGCTAGGCATAGGGAGAAGCCAGTTGGCCCCCCTTTGGAAGTGGAAGTTCCTTTCCGCCCTCCTCCAGGTCATCCCTCAAAGGTATGTGCTTTATTTTGCTAAAATAGTCTCCGCTGACATGCGAATCAACAGTTTGTTTTCTATTGGATTTTTCCTTTCTGATATCATTGTGGTTCCAAAGAGTGAGTTTCTGATGTCTTTTATGTGGACGATCATTGCTTTGAAACATGCTTCTGCATTTACTTAGCCTGAAGGGTCATTTTTGTACAGGAGAATGCTATTCAGTCTTCATTTTCTAGCCCGAAAGAACAAGGTTAACTTTTTTCCTTTACCATTTATCTCTTTGATCTTTTTCAGATGAACATGATAAAAGTTTCCAATATCATGGGCATTGATCCAAAGCCATTCGATGCCAAGACATATGTTGAAGAAGACACATTTGAGACAGATGAATCTGGAACAAAGAAGCGTATTCGTCTGGGAAATAATATTGTTCGCCATAGGTTTGTTAAGAGTCGAGATGGCAAAACATATGTAGGTGTACACTTCTTCAAACCTTTTCCCCCTTTTGAATTTTCCATCAAAGCTGTGATGTACATTCTGATATACCAATTTCATGAACCGGCATATCTTGGTAAGGTCTCAAATAATTTGATGAAGGTAAATATCAAATGTTGAATGATTTTCATTCAGGTACATGCTTTTGATGCAATGCAGTTTATGTATTCCGGATTAGCTTATTTTGTGCTTTCATGATCATATGGTTGGAAAGAGATTTTACGATGTCTCTGTACAGCAGTTCTTCTAATCCTTTAGGCGTCATTAGAAACCTGCCCATAAACAAGGGTTTTGGTATTTCTTGGTTTTGTTGGGCCTGTTGTGTATTGCACTTATGTCTTTCTACTTTTTTCTTACTTCTGCTGCAGTCTACTAATGTCCCGTTATGTTCATTTGCAGAGTGAAAGTAATGCTCGGTTTGTAAGGTGGTCAGATGGAAGCCTACAGCTGTTGATAGGAAACGAAGTTCTTGATATAACTGAACAAGATGCACAACAAGACCAGAATCACCTTTTAATCAAACATGAAAAGGTGTTACTTCCTCATTCCTTTTGCTGAAGTTACCCAATCGATTTGTAATTGTTTCATCCTCCTAGGACTTGAATCAACGATCAACTGATTTCTTTCAGAGGACCCATATGATTCTCTTTACTCTATGACAAAGGCTTCTCATGGGAAAACAAAATGTCTCCCACATTTCAAAGTGGTCTTGCTTCTGAAAATAAATCCGACTCTAAGAATGTCTCAACTCTTGCCTTATCGTGATGTTGTTGTAGGGAATCCTTCAATCACAAGGAAGAATTCTGAAGAAAATGAGATTTATTCCATCATCTCTAACGTCAAACTCCCATAGGCTTTTGACTGCCCTTGTTGACTCGAGGCACAAGAAGAAATACAAAGTTAAGAACTGTGTCACTGAGATTGACCCCGAGAAGGAGAAGGAGAAGAGAGAAAAGGTAACCTCTTAATTAAGCTCCAACAATCAAACTGTAATTTCATTGTAGAGTCTGTGGACTTTTCTGATTTAATATCTCAAAACCTCAAGGCGGAAAGCCAAAACCTCAAGGCTAGTACAAAGCTAAGTCAAGCGAGGGAGAAAATTAAGCGCAAGTACTCACTTCCTGTTGAAAGGAAACCACTTTCCACTGGTTACTTGGAAGGTGCTCTTGAAGAGGTTTGTTTTCTTTAGTTTGTGTCCTTGACATTTTCTGAAGCCAAAATTCCACCAGCAACGACTGATTTTTTCTTGGAACTAGGATGACGAGATAGACCACTATGGTTCTCATCGCTCAAACCGTGGCTTTGAGGAGGATCTCGAAGCTGAAGCGCAACGAGAACGCCGAATTATGAACGCCAAGAAGGTAAACCAAAAAAAAAAAAAAATCTCTTTTGGAATGCAAAATGCGTTAAAAATTAAACAGTTATCTAACCGGTTCTTCCTTTTGGTTAAACCAGAGCCACAAAGGCTTTGCGGGGAGGTCTTCAATGACTTCAGCGAGACCATCAAGGCGTCAAGTGGAGTATTCTGAGAGTGAAAGAGAGGAATCAGAGTATGAGACTGAAGAAGAAGAAGAGGAAGAAAAGTCACCGCCACGTAGGAGGGTCAAGGAACCGGAAGATGAGTATGAGGAAGATGCAGAAGAAGATGAGGACGAGGAAGGAGGAAAGGCTAACAGATATTCAGAGGAAGAAGAAGAAGAAGAAGAAGAAGAATCTGAGGTACGCAAAGTAAAATCCCTTATATCATCTGTTGTTTATGAGGGAAGATCATTGAGATTGTAATATTATGTTATGGTAATTGCAGGGAGTAAGGGCAGACAAGAACCGTGGGAGTGGCCGGAAAAGGAAAGGGATTGAGTCCGACGAGGAAGAGTCTCCGCCTAGAAAAGCTCCGACTCATCGTCGTATGGCCATGGTCTATGAAAGTGACGAAGATTAACTTTTTTTCTTACATCTTTCATTCTCTCGTTTCGTCAAATTTGTTATAATGTAGTCTGGAATTAGACTCGTTTTAATCAGATTAAAAAAACCATCAAATCATGGGATCGAATTGATCAATTTTCATGTAATATTAGTTGATGATAATAAATATGATGTTTACCCTTTTGTAACTACGAAACAGTTATACAAAAACCGGGTCGGACTTCGAACCTGATGTATCTTTGGATACGGTTCAATTTGGTTTGGCACGTTCGAAAATCAAGTAAGAACAATATATTTTGATTTCAACTTGGTTTGGCACATTCGAAAAATCGACTTATTTTAAGCAATTTACTTGTATTTTGGTCGACTGATTTTTAATTATTGTGAATTGGTCATGAATTCATTGAATCATGCTTTTGTGAGAAATGTAAGATTACGTTTTTACAAGGAAAATACAGAATAACGGAAAAAACAAGGATTACGTTTTTAGCGGAAAAATACAAAATTATACTTTTAGGTGGGAAATAAAGAAATTACATTTTTTTTAACAAAATATAATTTTTATCTCAAATTCTTTTTTAAAAAATTGGTATAGATTTCAAAATTTGATAAATTTAAGGCTATAAAATCAAATTTGGTTTAAAAAAAAAGAACGACTCTATTAGTTAATAGTGACGACTTCATATCATCTGGTGGCTCATCAGCGTCGTGCAAATTATTCAATGGAGTGTTCTTGCTCGAACCCCAAATAACAATCCGAAACCAAGATTAATTTCGTGTCCTGACCAAAAAGTAAAGAAAACAAATTCAGCGACAGAAAACACTCCATTAATCTTTAAAAGAAGTGCAAGATAGAATGCATCATTGAATTTAGAGAGAGGAAGAAGCAACAACGTACCTGAAGAGAGGTTATGTTGGGAGGTAACACCATGCGTGTGATTAGAAGACTAGTGAACGAAACTCTCTTCACTGCAAAGAGTTCGGAAGTTGAAGTATCACCAAGAACCAACCACCACGCTTCGTCTTTCACCTATAACCAATGTAAACGTTACGCTTTTTTTTCCCTTTTTGATCTCAAATGAAAATCTGTGGTAAGTCTTTCGTGAAACCTTTGGGAATCGAGGGGCCAATGCCCTCGAGCTATTCCTCTTTGATGTCTTCTCCAATCTGATTTCCAGCGTCGAAGGCTTCTTCTTGCCATCGGAATCCTTCTTTTGGAGTCTCACATTCATTTGGATCCGCGGAAATCGCTGGAGATCCTAATTAAGACCGGAAGAGTATAGATAAGTGTCAGACAAGTTCAACGAAGTGAAGGTATTAGATGCGTAAATGTAAAAGCTGTGACCAATTTGCGAGAGGTTTTGGTATTGGTACCTGAGATAATTTGGATACAGGGAAATTTCCGGTTACACTTTTTAGAGTTTCCCTTGGAACATCTAATAGCTGATGCAGCGTGAGTATTCCTCTTGCGGTTAGAGATCCTAGAAGATCGTCATTCATGCATGGAATCATCCATAATGACGAATCTTGATCAGACCACATGCCCTAGAATCAAAAAGAGAAGTGGATCAAGTAAAACCTTCGCGATTCGTATTGGTTCTGCTTCCAAAGAAGTGAAACAAGATCAGTGTAGTGGTATTCAGGAGAGTACCTGCATGACCATTTGCAAGAGACGCATGCACGTCAGCGAGCTTGAGAGCCATCCACTGTTTGCGCAGATATCTATCATGGCCTGGAGGATTCGAATGCTTTGGTCCAAGACTGACTTTAGATCCGTGTTGTAATCACTGATTGGAAGTGCCAACTGAGAAAAATGTGCCTGGAGCACCACAAGTCGTGCATTATAAAGAACGCTCACAATCATAAACTTTGTGATTCAAGCTTGAACTCATACAGTTTGGATATTTGTTTTTATCCTTCAATGCATAGTAATGTGAAAAGTACATGTACCTGGAAGAGCAGATTCGCCTTCACATGAGGATCATCTAAATGGTTTTTATCCACGGGATACCGAACTTTCTCTGACAATGTTTTGTTGTAATTTTCCTAAGGAAAAAGAGGCATAAAGAACATGAGGTGCGAAAATATAGACAGCTTATCCCTAAATATACTTTTCTAGGATAAACCTTATATTTTCAAGTACAGAAGTGTGAGCGAACTAAGAAACAGACCTCATTGTGCCGCACAGGAAGCTCATCATACTCAGACGCTCCCGCCAAAATATGCAAAAATGCCTAAAGTGTTGTGGTAAAAAAAGTCACACACAAAATGTCATTAACATCCGTGCATGGACTCATGTTCAAGTTTGATACGCATTAGAGTTGATTCGTTCAGCTTCTTCTTACTTCGAGTGATGTGTCGGGGCCTATATTCGAACCAAACATAGACACGGTCATGTAGCAAAGGTAATACTGTGATGCTATTGTACCCAGCATCATAGGCTCCACATTATCTTCTGTAACTTTGAGGCATCCACTATCTTCAAGATCATCAAACGTGTTTTGAACCAATCTACAAGAAATTACATCCACATTACCCTATCTTACAATAGTTTTTTTACTTATTAGATAATTTTTTTTATGAAATAATTTTAGTATATACCTTGATAAGTAGGAACACACTGTTTCATCTTGAGTACCTTCTAGCCCATAGTAAGCAGGATTAGCCATCTGTTACATAGAGACTCAGCTCATAAGACAATAATTCACGGACAGAACAGTTTTCCACAACAGAGAACTCTTAAAGGGAAAAAAACAATCTGGCTGCTGGTGTCAAACTTGGTAAAGAGTTTACTAGTCGGTGATTCAAAACGAAATATGGACTTAAGCGCAATTTCTTATAGGAACCAGTATCTAATTTTTTAGCTGTGTTTCACTTTTTAATAGAATGTGAAGAATAGTTACCAGTCTACGAAACAAATATGTCCATGTAAGATAATGCACTGCGTCTTCTTTGTTGCCGATTGTCCCAGAGACTATTTCTGCATTGAAGTGATCGTGCAACTTCTCTTTCAGGCTACTTTCTACCGGGAATGGTTCGTACAAGAACTGCATATAGAGGATAGATGGTGACTAAGGTAAATTCATGCAAATGATGTTAAGATTGCAGAGAACCTTAATTGAGCTTGACCTTTTTGTAGAAGCTTTTTTTAGGTTCATGTACAAGAATAACCGCTTTCCCATGTTGATCAAACTGTGGACGTCCTGCGCGCCCCATCATTTGCAAGATCTCTGTAAGAGGAAAGTCAACATATCTTTTGGTTTTCCCGTCGAAATATTCTGTTCCCTGAGGCATAAGAAAACATCGCCAACGAAAACAGTATTAAAGAGAAAAGACAATGCGTTACAAGATAAAATCTGAGAAAGCGACTTAAAACAACATATGTGTAATAGATACAATGTCATAGCAGAGGATCTGCTTTTACCTTTATGATAACTAAATGAGCTGGTAGGTTCACTCCCCATGCCAAGGTACTTGTTGAGACCAAAACCTGAAATTGAAGCATGGAATTCATCATCAATTTATGATGTAAAAGCGTAATCATGAATCTAAAGAGTAAGGGCGGAGAGAGCATAAGCTGAGGAAAGTACCTGAATCTTATTGTTCATGAAAAGCTCTTCCACTGCAGATCTATCGTGGTCATTCAAACCTGCATGATGCAAACCAATGCCAAACTGCAACGTATGTCGGAGGTTCTGGTCAGTGATCTGAGAGAGGACCATCTGCAAGTCTTCCTCTGACACATTCAGAAATTGCCGTGGATGTTCGTCTGAGGCCGCAAACTTTATTCCGTTGGAAAAGAAGAAACAAAAGATTATATAAATTAGATTTCTATATTCAGAAGATGATTTGGTGTCTGAATATGATGATAAATCATGCCTGAATAAGATCCAGTGCGGTAAGCCTTGTCTGTCTACGAGATGAAACAAAGATAAGAACAGGTTTTGTAGGTGAATGGGTACATATGGCTGCATATGCTGGCTTGTTCATGCTATTCATCCTTGGGCAGTAATACTTTCCAGGATAACCCTGACAGCAAAAACAAGGTTAATTCTGGAAATATGATGCTTGGATAGTTTCCTCCCATAGCTTCAATTCACCCACGGAAAATGATAATAAAACAGCTCAAGCGACTGAAATTTTGATAGTACAGTACAGTGTAGAATAAGTTTTGTTTGGAGAAAAGATATCGACTAACCTGAATATGAACTTCAATTGGTACAGGTCTGACACTTGGTTTAAAATTGAAAAGTCCGATCTCCCCAACACCCAACCAGTCAGCCAAATCACTGAATGAATATGGACCATCAAGTCAAATCTTAAATTTACCCAAGAAACCAATGCTACAACCAGAAGTTTTCGGAAGAGATAAGTTGACTTAACAAGTTCATATCTTAGAAGTGAAATTCATGAAAACGCCTACCAGAAAAATTGAGAGTGAGGCTATCTTCCACAATTACAGTTTTAGTAGATAAGACTTAAATTAAACTCGTTCACTCATATATCACATCATAAGTATGGTATCCTTAGCACAGTAGAGACATGGATAACAGTCTACCAGCTTGAACATTTAGTTGCATGTTTCATGGTTAATTCAAGAAGACAGGCAAAAGAAAATACACACAGAAAAGAGCCTACAAATTTCAAAGAGACAAAGTACGGACCCTGCATTTGCCAGAGCAGTAGAGAGACCAACAAACCGAACGGAGCGCTCTGTCTGTGATGATATGTATCTCATTCTAGACACAATAACCTGGAAACCAAATGTTGCCGAAAGAATATCAGCTCTTCACCAAGATCATAGAGACATTACAGGTGTCATGATATAACTGGATAATTTAACCAACTGGTTGAGCTTAGTATATGTAGTTAGAAATGTGAAATAATAGTTTTTAAATTTCTACCTCAAGGATGGGTCCTCTGTCAGCTCCTAGCAAGTGAATCTCATCCAAAATAACAAGGCCAACCTATATCCAAAAACATCAAGTTACCTACGAAAAAGGCAAGCCGAAGCAATCTATTGACAAAGAAGTAAACCTTTTTGACGTAACTTCGAGTATGCCAATTACGACTAATGCCATCCCATTTTTCAGGGGTAGATATGATGATATCTGCAGACAAGAGAGCTACTAAATCGGGAGTGTAATCTCCAGTCATTTCAACCTGTAGAGAAATGCGGG